CTCCAATGTTGGCTACCACGAGGGTGGCATCGACCCTCGCAGCCTAGGCATTGGCGCCAACATGAATCCTGCCGACCAGAATCCTCCGATCAACACTCTCTATATCGGCAACTTACCCGCGATCTCGCCTCCCACGCACCCTCCGAACTTCCTTGAGGAGTCTCTGAGGGCCTTGTTCCAGCGCCGCCCTGGCTTCAAGCGCATGTCTTTCCGCCAGAAGATCAACGGGCCCATGTGTTTCGTGGAGTTTGAAGACATTCCTTACGCGACTCAGGCCATGCGGGAGCTGTACGGCAACACGCTCAGCGGCCTGGTCAAAGGTGGTATCCGTCTCTCGTACTCCAAGAACTCCCTCGGCCAGCGAGGAAACTCGCACCAGCAGGCTATGAACCAATCCATGTTCGGCGGTATCGCTCATACCGTGGCGCTTGCCGGCATGTCTTCTGGTCCTTCTGGAAACCAGATGGGTCCGAACCCTGGCGGTTACGCTATGGCTGCTTCGCAGCCCGTGCCAATCGGGCCTCCGAACGCTCAGGGCGGGCCCGCAAACAATGAGCGCCGTCCGTCTGAAGCACCCTCCTCTCTGTCGCCCACGGCCCAGCCTTTCAACGCCCCGCTGCCAACTTCGCCGAGATCGCAACGTTATTACGCACCTGGCGAGCAGCGTCCGCCCATTTCGTCGACGCCCTCCTCGAGCAACGTCAACCCCTCTGCCATTCCCTCGAAGGGCGACGCCAGCAATGCCTTCTCCTCTTTCGCTCCGTCGTCCGCAGGTCAAGGCGGCTTCTCGTCCCCCGTCTCTTCGCCCATCCGGACGCCGGCGTCCCTCGGCTGGGTCTCCTCTGGTGCTAACAGCAACAACGCCAACAGCACTTCGGCCAACACTTATGGAGCGTTTGATGCCTTTGCAATTCCGCCTCATGGTCTCGGTTCGCTGAATGGAGCTGCCAACGCTTGGAATCAGAACTCGAACAACACATCCGCTTAAACGCATATTGATCGCGATACCCTCCACGAATACCCAACCAGTACACTTTTCTCTCTTGGGTCACTGTCCACCAAACAATCATGTCACGGCTGGGCCTCAGCTTCAGCCTATTCATATAACAAGCGCATACGCCTCCATTTTTGCACCGTAACTCCAACCATCAATCGTATTCTCGCATCGTAATCCAACTTACAAGCGTCATCGCCTGTCACCGGCCGCACACTTCCCTACATATTGTCATCTTGCCATAAGTCTCATTGCTGGTGATCACAACAATCGCATCACCCTCACTGCCCCATCGATTCAACCCAACCATGCCATCTCTGTTCCGAACTCCGACCTCTTCGTGCATGCATCGCCACAATCTTGCATGGACTCACATCATTGCGCCTCAATCCACAGATGTTGAAAGCTCTACCGTAGATACCACACGCTGCAGTTAAATTCCTGGCTAAGCTGGTCTTTTCCTTCGCATGCTAGCATACGTAGACGATGTATCTGTCCGCATTGGAGTTCACACCTGTCTTGCTGCGTGTTCGAAGCACGCGACTGGCACTGCTATTCATACGAGATAAGGTGCAGTGGTTGTGCCACAGCTCAATAAGTGGAGGGGTCGAAGAAGTTTCACCTGTTTCGAGTTTCTGAGATCGGTCCTGACATCTTCCGACTTTTCCTAGATACCCAGTACCACTCGTCATCCGCCATGGTTCGTTATAAGGTTCGCCAGACTCGCGGTACGTATAGCTGTGGTGATTTTACGATAGCTGACGCGATCTTGCTGCTCTTCTTTTGACCGACATCAACTTGGAACGACTGAACACCTGCAACTCGGCGCCTTCCTTCCTGCCTTCCTCCGATCAACCGTGAACGACGTCAACGTCCTCTGACGCTTTCTCAAACCTCTCTTTGGATTTGGGCATTACATTCGCTGTCGTTCTGTCCTCTTGGCGTGGTCTGCCGATCCGTCTGCAATCCGAATCCTGTCTCTTTGGACCGACCTTCCCCGATACGGCAACACGCAATACCTTGACAATACTGGCTCACACTGCGACGATGGTTCACGACAACAGAGGCCGTCAAGGTTCCCTGCGCTACGGAGATTGCCGCTCTCCTCATGTGCTTCTCCGCGACTGGCGACATCCGTGCGACCTCCGAGGGTGCTTCCGGATGCGCCTCAGCGATGCGGAATCTGCACAAGTGCATGGAGAAGGGCGGCGGTGGCGGCAAGGGCAGGGCAAGCTCGGTGAGTATTGCTGTTATGATGGGAGACGGCGAGCCTGTCTTTGTGAAGGCTATTTGGCGACCACTCGGCTCTGCAGCTACGCCTTGCGCAAGAGAACCAGCTAACTCTCAGATCAACTACCTGCTCTCCAAGGTGCGATAAGCTGCAACCCCTTCTCATCAGCCTCAAATCACCCACTCCACTCTGGACTGTATTATCATGCACTGCATAGCTATAGCGAGCGCGCCGGCGCAAAGGGCACCCCGCATAACTGACACGTCTCACCACTGATCTGCCACGAATGTGCCGGTTCCATGCAATACATGAAGATGGTAATACTGTTACAGAATCTATAGCCGAGAGAGACCAAAAAACTACTTGAAGCGCTTGTACGCGTGCTTCTCGTACTCCTTGACCTTGAGAGTGCGCTTCTTGGGGAGGTGGGGGACACGGGGCTCGACGAGGGCGCGGCGCTGCAGGGCGAGGAAGCGGTCCTTGAACAGGTTGCCCTCGGGCTTGACCTGGCGGAGGGACTCGGCCAGATCCTCTCCCAGCTGGACGGGGACAGCCTGCTCGGGGACACGGAACTTGCCGACCTTCTCGCCACCAGCGTACCCGGCGCGCTCGCGCTTCTCCTTTGCGAGCTTGCGGAGACGCTTGGCCTCCTCGATGGCCTTCTGGCGCGCCTCGACCGACTTGCCGAGACTCTTCGCGCCGGGAATGGCGCGCTCGAGCTTCTTCCGCCGCGCCTCGTCCTTCTGCGCCTGAGCGGCCTCCTTGGCACGCTTCGCCTTGTTGCGCTGCGCCTGCGTCTTGCGCTTCGTCGGCTTCTTGACGAGCGCAGGCTCGTCGTCCTCGCTCTCCCCGTCCTCGTCGGAGTCGACGCCGTCGCCGCGACCAACCGTCATGCCGTCGACGTGCGTGTCCGAGATCTCGGCGTCGACGGCACGGCGGCTCGCAACAACCTCGCCGAGGAGGCGGAGACGCTCCGCCTCCCTCTCCTCGGCGGCCAGACGCTTGCGCTCCTCCTCGGCCGCGGCCTCGATGAGCTTCGTGTGCGCCTCAACGGCGGGGTTGTACGACACGCCCGCGACGGGGAGATCGGCAGCCAGCTGGGCCGCGGCAATCTCCAGCCGCTGCTGGCGCTGCTCCTCGATCGTCTGCGGCGCCTTGACGCGCGGCTTCACCATGCCCTCGACGCCGAACCCGTCCGCGGGCAGCTCGACTTCCTCCTCCTCCTCCTCTCCCCAGGCGTCGCGGAGCGTGCTCAGATCCGTCTTGCGCACGTCCGCACTCGTCTTGTCGTCCACCGTCCGGCGGGCAATCTTGCGGATCCGCGCCTTCTCCTTGGCCGTCACGTCTGGCTTCTTCTTCGGCGCGACGGCGCGCGAGGTCAGAGACGGCATCGCCGACTTCTCGTTCAGGACCGCAAGCGACCGCAGCGGCTTCTTCACGCGCTGTCTTCGGCGCACTGATGTCAGCTGTACCATCCGTCGTCACGAAGCTTACCCTCGACATCTCCCGTCGTGTCGATCGTGAAGAGGTCTCCGTCCGTTTTCTTCGAGTACGAGCCGCCGGTGAGACGCTCCTCGGCCCGCTGTGCCTCGAGCGCCTGCTCAACAGGACGGATGTCGACGTTCTTGCGCCACGCCTTCTTGCCCTTGCGACTCGTCTGGGAGAGCTGCGCCGGCGCGCCAATGTCCTCGAGCTTCGGGGCCGCCTTCTCCTTGCCCTTGCCCTTGGCGGGGCGGTCGTAGGGCTTGGCCGTCTTGCCAGCCTTGGACTTGGCCGCGGTCTTGGATGTCGACGGCATTTTTGGTAGTGTGTGTTGTTGATCGATGGCACCGACAGCCCTCAGTGCGACTATGACGGTCTCCTGCACCAGGCTCTGATCGTCAACTTCGAAATCTTGCCTGTGGTCCCTTAGGTGGCGACTGAAATCTGGGACGCGGGATTAATGTTGAGAAAATGGCGGTAGGAATATTCGGCTCACTCACCCAGGAAACAGGCGAACCACCACTGCGTTCGGAGCCTTACGGGACCAGTTCGGGCGCACCAACCAGCGAACCAGCAGCCGGACAAGCCAGAGCACTCGCTGCACAAGCCGAGTTGCACTTCACCACTCTACCTCACCACTCCCTCTCTGTCCAAGCAAACATGTGGCCCCTCAACGGTAAGCTTGTACCTCTCCGCAGTAGCTAACGGACAGCTCAGCCCCACATCAAGGAGCGCCAGATCGCCCTCCAGGTGCGTATGCGAACGATCGATGGGACTCGGCTCGGCGCGGAGAATTTAAGGACACGGAACGCGGAGCGAAGTTGAGATGGGACATGAGGCCGAGGCGTCGCGCGGGTGGGCGGATACGACACGGAAGGAAGGAGAAGGACACTACTCGAAGAAGAGAAGACAGAGACGAGCGAGAGCGAGTCCCGGAGACAACGAGATCGGAGCGCCAGGACTCGAGACTGACTTCACAGAACCTTGCCGGCAAGGAGCCCGTCTACCTCCGCAAGCCCGGATCCAGGCTTTACATGGGTGAGTTGCACGTTGCGTGCTGCTTGAATACGTGCTGATGCATGCCCCCTTCATCGCGCTCCGTCCGACCTTGCAACTGCTCTTCGAACGACGATATCTTGGCCTCGAAATGAACCCTGCGCTCACCCGTTCAATTCCATATTCCAACACCGTCATCGATGCCTGACTCCGAATCACTACCTCTTGTCGTCTGTGCTACGAACGCCCATGCCCTCGCCGTGTGGCTTGCCTCTCGCCTTGCATCATTCGGCAACGCCCGTGTTCTCTCACATCCGCCAACTCATTCTCGGACCGAATTCGCGCCTCGGCTCATCAATGCAGCCGGTTTCCTTGCCCTCCTCGGTGTCGGCCTGACTGGCAACATGTACTACCTCATCCAGTACGGCCGTGTACGTATCAAGCACTTGCATCGTTGAAACAGCTGCTGACGTTGTGCTCTTTCCAACTGTATCGGGTTCAACCGCGTGTCCCACTTGCTTCCGCCCTCCGCGCTGCCGCAATTCGCCTACCAATGATGTTCGCCTGTAATCACCCCCCGCACGCACCGTCTGCGCCTCCTCATCTTCCGCTCATCTCGGCGTCGGTACATGCAGGGCAAGGCCCCCAAGAAGGACGAGGCTGCTTAAATTCATCAATAGTACACAAAAGAATGCATAGCGTCTCGGACAGACGAAATAAACAGGCAAGCAACTGCAGAAATAGCAATTAGCCCCTTGTCGGACGGGATCCGCACCCTGCGTCACTCCTGCCGACCTGGCCACACACCCACTTCAGCCAGCGATCAGCTCCACCCTTCCGCCCACCACACACACAACCACGACAAACAGAGTACTAACCCCCGGCGTCGCCCCATGCCCGTATCGCGACCTCTGGCGCCCCTTGCTTGCCGAGCTGTGCCGCCGCTGCATCGCGCGATCAGGAGCCTGGCAGTGGCAGGGTCATCGGTCCCGGTGTTGACGTCACGGCCCGCGCGTTTTCATTCGTGCTGCAAGTCTCGAGACGTACTTTCCAGACCATCCACCATGAGCAGTCCAGAAGGTACGGGGGTCGTGTGACCTGCGCAAGCAGCCCAAGCTGTGTGAGCTGACACCAGAAGACCTGTCCTCCTCGTACATACGGCGCACGTCGCTGGCGATCGGCGCGCGGCGCCAGTTCCACCCGGCCCACAGCCCGTCCCTGTCCCCCGTGAGTCCGGAGGGACGACAGTCGTTCACGACATCCTTCCTCTCGCGGACGCGGCCCCAGGATCCAGAGCTGGGAACCGCCCAGAGCCACGGGACGGGCCATGTGTCCTTCCGCCAGAGCTTTGGCACCAGCACCGGCCGCCCTGCCGCCGTAGACTACACCGACAGTCCCCTCGGCACTCCGCCGCTGCACCGCCAAGGCACGCACAATACCCATGATGACTCTGGGTTCGGGTTCAGCGTCTCGTCAGGCGACTCGGACATGCTCCGCCGCCCTCGGCGCCGGAGCTCCCTCACTGGACCGAAGTACAAGTGGCTCTCGAACAATACAGGTGACGAGCCAGGCGTAGACGTCCGCTCGGAGCGCGATGAGGAGATGTACAAACACCTCCGGGGGAAGGCGAACGTTACCGTGAGTTGTCCCACTTTCGTCCCCGAAACTGACAGGCAGGTTGTAGACTACAGTCCCGACGCAGAGGCCGAGGACAGCAACGTCCGCATTGACATTAGCGGCGAGCGATTCGAGCATTGGCTCGAGAGCGACGAAGGCGAGCGGCCCATGGTCGATGGAAAGCCAGTCGGCGTGCGATGGAGTGAGCTTTGTCCACCTGTCGTGCGAGCTAACCGCAGTCCATGTGAACGGTCTAAACTGGGAGATTATCAAGTGTCTGACGTTGAAATATGGGTGAGCTGCGGAACGGATTGCGTTAGCTGACAGCAGCCTGCACCCTCTTGCAGTTGAGGACGCATTGCGCAGCGAGAGTTCTCCGCGCTCCAAACTCGACTTTTACCGCAACCACCTCTACCTGCAGATCCTAGTTCAGCACATCTACGACCCGGACGAGGAGACGTTCGAGGCCGAGGTCGACGGCGTCGACAACGGCACAATCGGAGACCAGGACGGCATGGAGGCGGCTGCGAAGCGAGCGCGGCGATGGTGGCAGAGGCGGTCGAACAGCGGGCAGATCCGCCTCCCCGAAGGCGCCGACAATGTGTTTGAGCCCTCTATCCCGGAGAGCGAGCACACGAAGAAGACCAGCGCGCCGAACGACAAGGCGAAGCACCGATTCGTCATTGACCAGCTGTCGGCTAGCTACATGGTTCCGATCCGCCGCGACATTCTGTCCGTCTTCATGCTCCGCGACGGCACTGTCATCTCCGTCTCGAAGACGCCCGTCATGGAAGTGCTCGAGCCGATCTACGAGCGTCTCGAGGATGAGCACTCGCTCCTCCGCCGCTCCGGCGACCCGTCCATGCTTATCCATGCCTTGCTCGACGTAGCAGTCGACCTGAGTGTTGAGATCACACAGGCGTTCGAGGCTGAGATTCTCAAGGCCGAATCCAATGTGCTTGTCCAGGCTGACCTTGACCTCGTGCGCCACCTGCACATTGTCCAGGCTCAGATCACCCGCTTCCGTCGCTCCCTTACCACGCTCCTACACGTGTGCTACGTCCTCCGTGATCAGGACACGATCCGTACCCTCGCTGTGGGCAACCTCTCGAAGAAGAACGGCGAGCCTGGCCTCCAGGTGCCCAACGTGCCTGTCGGGACCGCCGGATATGCTCCCAGTGCCGGCTCGAGTCTGCACGGCAGCCCGCACCACAACAACGTCTCTGGACCCGGTGGTCAGAGCGCACTGAACACCTCGGGCATGGATCCCTCCCACCGACACGCAGGCGGAGACTTTGGCGGTGCCGGTGGCGGCTTCGGCGGCGGCGCAGGCATCTACCAGCCCACGCCCATGCCGGCAGGCTACGCCATGCCCGGTGTCCCCGGCATGACGGCCGGCACCGGCGTCATGCCCACGCCGAACGGCACGCCGCCGCCCGGCTCCGCCATCGGCTCGGCGGGCTATATCTCGCCCAACGCGAGGGTGTACATGAATGATGTGATCGACCATCTTGAGGTAAGCTACAGGTGTAATACGGGTGAAGCTGACAGACAGATGGTTGCGAGCTCCTCGGACCAGTTTGTTGCGACCTGCGACCACCTGACGGACTATTCGTTCAATGTGCTGAGCTTCTACACGAACAACTCGATGGAGCGGCTCAGTATCGTCACCGTCGTGTTCCTGCGTGAGTTCTAGCTGTTGCTCGTCCGTGCGCACTAGCTAACTGACAGCTCTCACGTTCATTGCCTCGTATTATGGGTAAGTTAGCAGCTGGGTTCTTGAATGCCGTGTAGCTGACATGCGCAGTATGAACTTTGAGGACTTCCCGACGCTCGACAACCCCGACTCGTACTTCTGGAAGGTCGCTGCGCCGTGCACTGTCTCGTTCTTCGTCATCTTCTCGTTTGGATACCTCAAGCAGGCGATCAGCACGCTTCTCCGCCGCTTCGCAAAGTACAGGCAGGAGCAGCAGATTCATCACCACCACGCCATGACCGCCCGGCAAAGGAGGCGCAACAAGGGCCGCCTCATGTGAGATGTCGTGTGTTTGCGTAATTCTGCCTCTCTTCCGTATCGATCAGCATTATCTCCAGTCATATTTTTGTTGCGTTCCTAGGCCCAAACTTCTATTATTACCGCCGTCACCTATGCATCTACGAAGTACATACAGTGTGTGTGAGTCTATGAGAACGAACAGGTCTAAGCCTTCCTCTTCTTGATGGAGTTGGAGCGCTCCGCCTTCCTGCCCTCGTGTCGGAGGGCCTTGCGGACGTTGACGCCGCCGTCGGCGCCCTCTCCGCCCTTCTTGGGCGCCTTCTTCCTCTCCGCCACGCCAAGCTTGCCAAGGAGGGTCTGGTAGCTCTCCTTCTCGCTCGAGAAGTCGCCGACGTTGCTCTCAAACTTGCGCTTGACGCCCTTCACCTTGGGCTCGCCCTCGATCTTCTTGTCAAACTTGCCCATCGACGCCGTCGCCGTCTTGGAGATGAGCATACTCCGGTCGAGCTCGGCCTTGCGGATCTGGCGCGCGGTCGACTTCTCGGCAGACGTCGTCGCCGTCGAGGGCTTCTTGTCCAGAGCAGAGATGTGCGCCTGCGCGTCGGCAAGGTTGCGCAGACGCTGCTTCTCGTTCTTGGCGATGCGCGCCTTGCGGTCCGCACGCAGGTTGGCACGCGGGTCGACCGTGGGGTCTGCCGTCAGCTTACACCCTACATCTCCGAGCTGATACAGCCCAAACTCACCCTCTCCACCCTTAACCTCGTGCAGCCACTGGTCCTCGCCCTCGCGGTTCTTGCCGTCGCGGCCCCATCGGTTGACCCACTCCTGCTTCTCCTCGTCCCAGACCTTCTTGTCCTTCTTGACATGCGAGATGCCCTTGGCCTTCGCATACCGCTCCCACTTGGTGAGAGGCTTGGGCTTCGGCAGGGGCTTCTCACGCGGGAGCAGCGTGATGGGCTCCGGAAGCTGGGCGATCGGTCCGTTCTCACTCATCGTCGTCGGCAGGTTGAACAGGTCGGACACGAGAGTTTGCGTACTCGTCAGAGTCAGAGCAAGGATGTGAGCCTCGCGGTTGGACCTGGGGTCAGCTAAGAATCGCTGTCTGAGCTGTTCCTCGCCACTCACTCGTACTCCTCCTCGTCGATCGGGACCGTGTCGAAGGCGGCGAGGAGACCTGAGTCGACCTCGATCGGCGTCGGGCGCTCGAGCACCTGCGTCGTCCTGGCTGTTAGCTATCAATCACAGACCTCAAGCTTACTTTGACGCGGCGTAGTCTGCAAGCTGTTGCGAGACGTCCATGATGCTTGCTGGGATGTACACTTGAAGTCGGACAGCTGCAAGTGCACCTTCCTTGAAGATTTGGGTGGCCACCTCCACCAGGCCGCTAGTTGCCATCAGCGGTGATCACAGGCAGAGCTCAACTTTTTGAATATCTGACGGGTACTTTTTCCCTTTTTTCTCCCGGACTCACCGCGACCTCCGCCCGTTCTTTGCGCGAAAGACGACTTGTTGCGACCTCGAGCAAAAGTCAGCGGAATCGCGAGCTAACACACCCCTCTGCACGCTTGCACCACTCCAGCCCGTTCGACCGACACCGACCCCCGTGTGCGACCATGAGCGGCCTCCTCCCCTCCCTTGGGCGCGCTCTGCCCAGCGCCTCGTCGTCGCGCGCCGCCGCCTTCTCGACCTCCGCCCTTGTCGCTGCTGCCCCGAGTGCGTCCGATACATGACATGCCGCCGACTGCAGCATACTGACACGCAACAGAAATGGGAGCGAAGAGTTTCGCGAAGAAGAAGTCGCCTTCCAAGCGTCAGGGACCTTCCCCGCGCGTCAAGGTCCACCGTCTGAAGCTCACCTCTAACCTCGCGCGACCGGCTCCGGACATGTCCGACCTTGTCCAGCTCTTCCCTGTTGGTATCGTGGTTCTGGAAGCTTGGAGGAGACCGAATACTAACAATAACAGGAGAGCATCATCGCCGAGAACACTGCCAAGCTCAGCGTCATCCCGCGCAAGACGTTCGACGTGATCCAGACCTTTGGACTGCCGGCCAAGGTTGACAAGGACCTGACGCTGGGTGCGCCTGCCACTGTCATCCGACAGGCGACGCTGGACATTGTGAAGGCGCTGGAGAACGGAAAGGATGGAGACAGCAAGGAGGCGCGGTACATGATCACGGGAGAGCGGGGAGCGGGCAAGAGCATGCTGCTGCTGCAGGCTGTCTCGTACGCTCTCGAGTCTGGGTGGATCGTCTTCTACCAGCCGCGAGCTTCGAAGTGGGTCAACTCGTCGTCGCAGTTTGCGTACAACGAGGAGAAGATGATGTTTGACCAGCCCGAGGCGGCGACCGACATGCTCCAGAAGCTCCTCTCGGTCAACCGCAAGACGCTATCGAAGGTCAAGCTTACCGAGGACGTCGTCCTCTCCGATGCTACTGTCAAGAAGGGCGAGGGTCTCGACAAGCTCATCGACCACGGGCTGAAGGAGGACTCGGACACGGCGGTCGCGACGCTCGACGCCGTCCTCAACGTTCTCAGCACGCAGACGCAGTTCCCCGTCCTCTTCGCCATCGACGAGGTCCAGTCCCTCTTCTGCACCTCCAAGTACCGCCGCCCGGACTTCAAGCTCCTTGAGGCGTACAACCTCGGGATGCCGCGTGTCATTCTCGATCTCCTCTCTGGCGCTCGCGAGATGAAGCGTGGTGCTGTCCTCACCGCCACTGCGCTCAGCCAGACCGACGTCCTTCCCTCCGACTCGCTGATCAAGGGCCTCGGCCTCCCCATCCGCCGCACCATGCACGCCTACACCCCCATCGACGAGACGTATTACAACTACGCCAACTCTGGCATCAAGCGCATCGACGTCCCCTTCGGCATGAGCGGCCACGAGGCTGTGGCCATGTTCGAGCTCTTCGCGCGCAAGGGCTGGACCTCTAACAGTGAGTATCAGGTTTCGAGTTTCATTGCGTTTCATATATCTCCGGTCATGTTGAGTTCTCCGGTCATGTTGATGTGTTCCGATTACGATCTCGGATCTGAAGCCATCAGGCGCATCGAGGCGCCACTCGGACTGGCATCTGAGCATCTGCATCGCTAGAGCCCGAGGATTGAGCGGATCACCCGGCATCGAGCTCCATGCGCTCGCAGCGTGGTCCATGGTCCAGGCGTGGCGTGACTTGCACCGAGCGCAGTGCAGATCACGATCTCCGGATCTTGATCTCCGGTTGCGGTTGCGCTCGGTTTCGGCAGTGCCCCTAGTGACCTCGTGACCCGATGACCGGGGATTAGAGTTTCATTATGCGATCTTCGCGCCGGAATTTTGGCGAGCCCAGATGCTACTTGCGAAGCGCAGTAGTATTCATGTCGTGCATTCAACCTTTGGGGCCCTCATATCCAGAGAAGGTTGTGCTGATTCTTTTTAGCTACCGACGACGTGTTCATGGGCGGATTCACCTCGGCGAGCGGTAACCCGAACGAGATGCACCGCGCGTGGCGCTCGTCTCACCAGAGCTGGATCGCGCCTCCCAGCACGCCCGCCTTCATCACCAACCCCAACAGCAAGCCATAAGCCCATAGACCCATAGCATGATGCAGCATCTCTCTCCGGAATAGTCATCCAACATACCGCTTCACCGTTTCGTCCGGTGGGCTATTGGGGCCTGGTGGGACCTGTTGGGATTGAGCGGGGTAAGCGGGGCAACGGGGATGCGATCGAGAGAGCCAGAAAGGGGAGGTATTCCAAATCTGGGAGAGGCTGGATTCCACAGCGGCACTAAGGAGGAAGGACTCGGTTACGCTTACGCTTACGGCGCCCCCCGCCCGCTTGGCCGGATGCATCTGGCCCCGCTGCCATGTGTGCCCAGAGTCAGGACGGTCAGGAACGCGATAAGTGCAAGTCGCAGCGACGTACGTCTGACGTCGGAGGCTGAGAGTTTTGCGAGCAGCTGACTTTCAACTTCTTGCAACGCTTGAGTGCAGTGCCGAGCGCGGTCCTTCGCAGTGTCGGTGCTGCTATCGGTGTCGAGTGCATCGTCGAAAGCACGGTGCTCAACGTTGAGCACTATCGAAGTCATACTGCTGGGTGTGTGGTGGTGGTGTGCGTGGTGCATTTACCGGCGGCGGATTCGGCTACGTCCCCCAGACTTGTCCAGTCATATCTCTCCTCCGGGTCTCGGTTGCATCCAATCAGAGGCTCCGCTTAAACCCGTCATTTTTCCCTTCATACGCTTAACATCGCACCGTGCCAGCATCCCGTGCCTGACCTCCACCCACTGATAGTGCCGAACATACCGAGATTGCCTGCGTGATCCCTGCTAGGCCCTGCTTGGCCCCTGTGGCTTGCGGCAAGTGGAACACGGTGGAGGGCGGGGCAATCCTTGGAAATTATTATCAGCGGTGTTGGATATTATCTCGCCCGCATCACCTGTGCGCTGTGCCGTGCGCCGCCGTCGCGATCTACAGATCGAGAGTATGACACTCAAGCTGTTAGCTGTTCCGTCCGAGGACAGCGAGGTACAAGGAAGGGACCGCATCTCGCCTCGAAGCAAGTGGGCATGCACATGAGCACATGACCTAATCTCTCTCCCCAGATACGAGGCCGGGGCGCCGCTGTTCCCACAATGTCCAACAAGTGAACGAGCCAGCTCCGGCCGTCGCTATCAGAAGCCTCGTCACGGACGCCCGCAACGCAGGGGTGGTGACACACACACCGTGCGCCGTTACCGACGGATGGGCGGTGGACACCGGCCGCTCACGATATCGTGATAACCACACCGGACCGGCTGGCCCAGCCTCCACTGTACGGGTACGGCTATGGTTACCGCGTATGCCTCGTTGGGTTCTAATGCTCGAGCGAGGTCGCTCGCTCGTGCTTCGGTGCGAGGCTCTCGGTGATTGGACATGCGACAGTCAGCTAGACACAGAGCAGTGCGGGCGTGCGGATAAACTTGGGCCGGCGACGGGCGAAGACGAACGACAGAGCCAGCTCTAAAGTACCCCGGCGGTCGCCCCGGTCGGTTCAGCAATCGACGAGTGCAGCACGCGGGGTTAGACACGGGGCCTGACTGGTTGAGCGAGCGAGCTAGTGCATCTCTGGCGAGTTTGCCCGCGGCAGCAGAGGCAGGCATGGATGCATCGTAATGACGAGCGCACGCAACGGGTTGGCCGGGGTATCGGTGGTTGTGGACCGGAGAACGCATGAGAGCAGAAGGGCGATTGGAAAAGTGGAGGTATCATTGCAGCAATAGACCCGACAAGTGCCGACGGTGAAATGTCGGTGTAGCCCAGCCAGCCTGCGCTCGCGGGGACCGCCTATGTGCGCTCTTCAACGTCATCGGCTGGACGCATAGCCGAGACGCCCTGCCTCAGCCCCTGCCCCCTGCCCCTGAGCCTGATCGCAGGTGGAGGCGGTGGAGGGTGGAGGTCCCGTGGGCATGAGGCGCTCACGGAACTCGCGGTCTACTACCTATGCCGCACACCCGTCCAGCCGATCCCAGCCAGCCTGGCCCGTGGCACCCGATTCCATCTCCCACACACCCACTCACCATGCACTGCACGGCAGCCCTTTTAAGACTTAAGACCGCCGCACCCAGAGCCCCTCTTCTTTTCCCCGTGTCTCTATATTGCTCTCCCAGCTGCCCATCTACTAGGAGCAACTCTACTTTCACCACCCCCTCTCTCCCCGCCAACCCCACGATCAACTTCTCCACAATGGCTCCCGCCGGCGTTCAGCTCACCCTCCCCATCCCCCAGGGTGCCGAGCACATCCTCTCGGACGACGCTCTCGCTTTCCTTGCCGTCCTCCACCGCTGCTTCAACAAGAAGCGTCTCGAGCTTCTCGACAACCGCAAGAAGGTCCAGGCCGAGCTCGACAAGGTGAGTAGCTTCGACGTTGATTTCGGAGTCGGCATTCAGCGAGAGAGAACGTGAAAGCCTCCTGGCTCCACAATGTTCCGCCGGCCCTTAGCCGATCTCGCTTTGGCGAACTCCGAGATCTCCTCCGGCCTCCGCGCCATACAGTGAGCAGGCCGCTGACTCTTTCGCAGGGCAAGCCCCTCGGTTTCCTTCCTGAGACCAAGGCCATCCGTGAGGCTCCTTCGTGGCAGTGCGCCCCCGCCGCCCCTGGTCTCCAGGACCGTCGCGTTGAGATCACCGGCCCCACCGACCGCAAGATGGTCATCAACGCCCTCAACTCGGGCGCCAAGACCTTCATGGCCGACTTCGAGGACTCCAACTCGCCTACCTGGTCCAACATGGTTCTCGGTCAGCTCAACCTCTACGACGCCGTCCGCAACCAGATCGACTTTGAGACCAACGGCAAGCAGTACAAGCTCAAGGAGAACCACGCCGTCCTCCTCGTCCGCCCCCGTGGATGGCACCTTGAGGAGACCCGCATGATCGTTGACGGCCAGGCCATGTCTGGTTCGCTCTTCGACTTCGGTCTCTACTTCTACCACAACGCCCTCGAGACCGTCAAGCGCGGCTTCGGTCCTTACTTCTACCTCCCCAAGATGGAGCACCACCTCGAGGCCCGTCTCTGGAACGACGTCTTCAACCTTGCCACTGCCTACTGCAAGACCCCCACCGGCATCATCCGTGGTACCGTCCTCATTGAGACCCTCCCCGCCGCCTACCAGATGGAGGAGATCCTCTTCGAGCTCAAGGAGCACTCCTCGGGTCTCAACTGTGGTCGCTGGGACTACATCTTCTCGTTCATCAAGCGCCAGCGTGCCCTCAAGTCGGCCGTTTTCCCCGACCGTACCGACGTCACCATGACCGTCCCCTTCATGAACGCCTACGTCCAGCTCCTCATCCAGACCTGCCACAAGCGCAAGGTCGCCGCCATGGGAGGTATGTCCGCCCAGATCCCCATCAAGAACGACCCCACCGCCAACGAGGCCGTCAACAACAAGGTTCGCGCCGACAAGCTCCGTGAGGTCACCGCCGGCCACGACGGTACCTGGGTTGCCCACCCCGCCCTTGTCCCCATCGCCATGGAGGTCTTCGACAAGCACATGAAGGGCCCCAACCAGTACTACAACCGCCGCGAGGACGTCAACGTCGCCGCTAAGATGATCTCCGACCCCAAGGTCCCCGGTGCCATCACTGACCAGGGTGTCCGTGAGAACATCGCCGCCGCTCTTTCTTACTGCGCCGCCTGGATTTCTGGCAACGGCTGCGTGCCCATCAATAATCTCATGGAGGAGTGAGTAGTTTTTCTTTGCGTTTTGGATGCGTGGAAGCTCTGGAAGTCATCTCGTGAGGAGTTGGGAAAGGTGGAGCGGTTCAGGGTCACGTGTGGCCTCCACTGCCACACTCGGCCTCCACCTCCACCCTGACCTCCACCGCTCCTCATCATGACTTGGCTGCCCGAGCCCTCCTCGCATCCAGAGTGCAATCCTTATCCGAATACATGGCTAACATTCACAGCGCCGCTACCGCTGAGATCGCTCGTGTCCAGCTCTGGCAGTGGAACCACTACGGCAAGTCGACCGACTCGGGCAAGAAGATCAATGTCCAGAACCTCAAGCCCATCTTCGAGGAGGAGGCCGCCAAGGTCGCCAAGCTCCCCGGCATCTCGGCCAAGCACGTCCAGATCGCCAAGGACTACATGCTCTCGCAGGTCGCTGCCAACTACCCTAGCGAGTTCCTCACCTCGGACCTCCAGTGCCACCTCGACGGCGGCGCCGTCCCCCGCAAGGCCGGCCTGTAAGCTGTCTTTTGCTCTAACGACGAGTGACGCAGTAACATTCAACAAGTTAAAATTATGCAAGTACAGCAATAGGTTATGTATGTACGGATAGGCAATGCATTGAGCTACGATTTCCTGTGACTGTTCTCTTCTTGAATCTCCCCCTTCTATCACTCACGTCTGCATGTTCATCTCGGAGTCGGGGTCGGGCCCAGCGGCAGTGTTACTGACGCCAGTGCCTGTCTCGGAGTTCGATACAGATAACGGCTGATTGCTAGGTTGCCGAGAGTCCGAGAGGCGCACCAGACCTGGTCCAGCAGCGCGCTAGTGTCGGAGCGGTGGCGAGCAGGCGCAGACTGGCTTATGGACCGTGCAGACGTTCTGGACCCTTCGAACGGAGGCGAAGCTGCGGCCGCCCATTGCCCAACCCATTGCCAGATGAACCACCGTGCTGGATTCCAACCTTCCTCAACGCTCCATCACTCACCTCATCATGGATCGACATCATTGCTTTCCAAACCCACCCGGCGAACCCTCCGTCTCTCGCTTGACCCGCTCTCTATGGTCTAACTCACCACAGCACCACCCGTATCGAACCCAGGATTCGATGCAGTCCACAGGCACATGTTCCAAAGAAGGGCCCGGCGCCTTCCTCGAAATCCGACCCCAACCTGCCTCCCTTCTTGCCATTTCTACAACCATGCACAGCGCACGCTGACTCAAACCACTGACATGCGCCATCGCCTGCTGTCACACTTCAGCTATTTGAAGTGTACTCGCCTCAGGAACGAAGAGTCGCTGCGTACAGCTTGCGTTTCATCCAGGTCACGCCGTTCGTTCTCGGCACGATGTTGCCGCCAACATGCGATCGCAATCGGCATCCTGACTATACCTCACCGACAGAGATATACGGACATCTCAAATCGCCTCATCCTGCGGCGGTCATGCTCACAAGCTTTCGCCGCTGTTCCTCGTCTGGTATATAAGCCGGTCTCGATACATCGCTTCCGCGGTGGTCTCCCTGATATCGCTCATACCGACGCCCAACAAGAGCTCCGCACACGATGACGAGTCCTGCCCATACTCCCTTCAATGCTATCAACGACCTCGCCGCACGATGGATAGCAACGCTGCCCAACAAGGCCACCGTCTTCTCTCCCGTCGGCGTCTGGCCCGTGCTCGCTATCCTCGCGGACGCTGCGACTGATGACGTGAAGGCCGACCTGGAGGAGGCTCTTTGCTTCAAGGAGACCAGAGAGAGGGACCTTTTAGACGCTGCGCTCAGAACACTCGAATTTCTTGACAAGAACGAGCTGCTCGATGCTGCCGTGGCCGTATGGGTCTCCAAGAAGTTGGGCGTCAAGGAGGAGTGGCTCGGTCGCCTGCCTGAGGCATCGCGTGGCCTTCTCACCAAGACACCTCGGGACAAGGCAGTACTGGATCAGTGGGCTCGAGCGCACACTCGCGACATCTTTACGAGCTGTCCGGCCATAATCAAGAAGACTGACGACATGGTCCTCGCCAGTGCCATTGCACTTAACATGAGGTGGCCTAAGCCGTTCCACCTTGCGGAGGATGGCCGGCTGAAGAACTCAACGAGGGGTCTCGACGTCATCCGCACTGCCGAGGGCATAACTACCGTCCGAATCCGGGGCATCAAGATCCAGAGAAGTTGGGGGCCTTCTCCCTACGTCGATTGCTTCCTGGTCATTGGCGAACCTGACGCAGTGGCTGCCGAAGTGCTGTCCCGCGGGCATGCGTTGGTGCGCAAGTATGGCACCCTGCCCACCACGTACAAGGAGGCCCTCGAGATGTCTGGCCCCGGCCTCACTCGGAGGGTGAGGGAGAACCACCGCAAAGCAGACAACGAGGAGCCATTCATAACGATCAGCACGCGGGGATTCAAGGTTGAGGCTGAGCACGATCTCTTGCGTAACGGCGTGTTTGGGCTGGAGCGTGCATCGAGTCAGGCGTCCGAACGATCCGAGCACTTTCCCGGCATCACCGATAGCCCGCTCTGGGTCAACGGGGCGAGTCAAAGTGCGTTGGCGAGGTTCCACAGTGAGGGTTTCTCAGCTGCCGCGATTACAACTTTCAGTGGAAAGGGAGCGGCTCGGCCCCGGCCTGGGAGGGCGCTCTTCCTCGACATCAACATTGACCGCCCGTTTGGATTCCTCTGCATTGAGTCCGAGTCAAAGGTGGTGGCTTTTGCGGGATGGGTCACAGAGGAGGAGTTCATGGACAACGAGGACGACCTTAAACTCAACAAGAGGCTCAAGACCGAGCCTGACTCGGAAGAGGATGAGGAAACAACAGATGATGAGTAGCGCTGGTCACGGTGGCTGACTGGCTGTCAGAAGCTGAGCAAAGACATATGACCTGATATGCAAAAGATTCGAGGAAGGACAGTCAGACCGAAAGACGCAGGTTCGGGTGTCGAGTTGGTTTGTCGTCCGGACGGACATCAGGTACGAAACGTCATCCAGACCTCGTTTCAGTCGAGTCACGCTGACCTCCGGCAGTGCAACATTGTTGAAGTCGACGCGTGTAACGTTTGTTGTACCCTCTGTGCCTTTCGGGATCCGGAGCGGGGTACGGGCTCTTCGATCCCCTTCATCCGGAACAGATCATGATCCCAAGTTCATGCTGACGAACCTCGCTAACTTGGAACTCATTGCGACACAGCTCCATTGCCCTTTGCCTCCACCTCCCTGCGATGACTCTGACCTCTCGACCTGCGAAACGTCTGCGCTCTTCCACGCGCCTGTCTAAAGCACACACAGCTACCCGGAGCGATCCTCCCGCGGACGCCATCAACGATCTCGCAGCACGATGGATAGCATCTTTACCCGATAAAGCGACCGTCTTCTCGCCGGTCGGGGTGTGGCCTGTGCTCGCCATTCTCGCGGACCCAGCCACGGAGGACGTTTCAGCCGATCTACGAACAACCCTCTGCGTGGACCGATCTGTCGAAGATGCGGACCTTCTGCATGCAGCACTTGACACGCTCGAGTTTCTGGCCTGCAATGACGCCCTTGATGCCGCAGTGGCTGTGTGGGTCTCGCAACACCTCGGCGTGAGGGAGGAGTGGCTCGCCCGACTTCCAGAGCACTCGAGAGGTCTCTTGACTCAGACGCCAGCGGTCGATCAACCTATCCTGGACGAATGGGCGCGACAGCGCACGCGCGACCTGTTCACCGAGTGCCCTGCCAAGATTGAGAAAGAGGACGACTTCGTCCTTGCGAGCGCCATCGGGCTCAATATGGAGTGGACCACCCACTTCCAGCGGATCTCCAAGCATAAGCTCAGGCAGCACTTTCGGGGCCTGAGCTACATCCGATGTGCCGATGGCATCACCACTGTCCGCGTCGAAGGACGGAGCCGCAATCAACCCCGTTCGGGCGCCATCAACTGCTACCTGGTCCTAGGCGAGAAGGGAGCCTCTGCCTCGGACACACTGTCTCGCGGACTAGCGCTGGTTCGGAGACACGGCGCTTCTTCGATCAGCTACAAGAACGCCCTGAAGCTGGCCGGACCAGGCCTGACCGTGAGGATCGAGGAATCGTGCGCCTTTCAGGACAAGGGCAGACCTTATGTCGAGATTACCACGCCCGGATTCAAGGTCTCGGCAGACCACGATCTGCTGGAGAGCGACGTCTTCGGGCTCGGATCCGCCAAGGAGGAGCCGGAGACGCTTGGCCATCACTTCCCCGGCATCACCGACAATGCTACTTGGGTGAAGGCAGCAGGTCAGAGTGCCGTGGCGAGGTTTAGCTCGGGCGGTTTCCGAGCTGCGGCTGTCACTCACGCACGCGGGTCGACTTGCATGGCGGCACCACGAAAGCCATCACCTCCCAAGTTCGCGCAGGCGCTCTTCCTCGACGTCGAGATCGACCGGGCGTTCGGATTCATTTGTGTGGAGGAGAATACGGGGGTGGTGTTGTTCGTGGGATGGGTCACGGAGGAGCAGTTCATGGACAGCGAGAAGGATATAAGGAGCTCGACCGGCTCCAAGTGAAGGGTGTGACGAAGTCCAAGTGATCTCATAAGTTTGATATCCAGGAGAACACAGACTCCCGGGAACGCCTGCATGTTCCTATCTGGCTCGAGACCAGGAAGCCTGAGCGCAGGATCTGTAACACATCGCAACTGCCAGCGGTAAACGTCGATGCCGAAGATTACAGAATGGAGAGGGTACTCCGGGCTTCATTGACCGGGATACCACTCCGCGAGCTGTCACTAGCAGCGAAGTCAGCCGCGTGCAATCACGATATCCCAGCGCTCAGTCATTGTGTAAAGATGCCAAGAACACACAGCAGCACTATCGAGTCGATAGCATAGGCTTTTAGTACAGACCGGGGTGGGCCTGGCCCGTTCAGATCTCAAAGTCGCTCGACCGAGCCAGAGATAAGATGGCGGATCCCCGCGATCTGGAATAACGCTTCATGGGACCTATCGGGCGCTCTCCCACGACTTGTGCAGCTCCACGAACGTTCACCCATTGCTCTCACGTCTCTCGGGAAATCATCGGTGTTACGGCTTTGTTTTGCGTCTGTGCAGCTGCGGAGTACCCGGTGTGGGCCGTCGAGCGTGTTATCAGGCGCCACCTCCCCGTGGGCCTGTGGCACCCCAGGCCCTTATCGCGCTATCTTGCGGAGGCACCACTCCTATCAGCCGCCCATGCACCTGCACCATCTGCTCCACCACGAGCCCGGAGTCCCGCTAAGCAGCCTTATCGTGGCGCCGGGGTACATATGAACCCTTGCTGGCGTTGTCTGAGCCCTGCATAACTGCTCTCTAGCTACTCACCACAACATGAGCGACACACATACCGCGCTCCCGCAGGGAGCTGGCTGGGCCGTCGTCGTCGGCATGGGCCTGTTCTTCTCCGCCATGATGTTGGCCATCACGCGCCTGCAGACCCGCTATACACCCTACGTGATGAGCTCGGACGAGTTCAACAGTGCATCCCGATCCGTCCCGCCCGGTCTCGTCGCGAGCGGCATCGTGTCCGCATGGACGTGGGCCGCTACGCTACTCCAGTCGTCGGCGACTGCGTACAAGTTTGGCATCTCGGGTCCCTTCTGGTACGCTTCAGGTGCTTGTATCCAGGTCCTTCTCTTCGCCATGATCAGCGCCAAGCTCAAACTGAACGGACCGAGGTGCTACACCTACGTCGAGCTCATCCGTGCTCGATGGGGACCTGTCGCGCACGCCGCATTCCTCTTCTTCGGCCTCGCGACCAACGTCATCGTCTGCACTATGCTTGTCCTCGGCGGTTCGGCAACCGTCACCTCCCTTACGGGGGTCAACACTGTCGCTGCTTGCTTCATCATTCCCCTCGTCGTCGCCGTCTACGTCACCTTCGGCGGCATGCGCGCTACCCTGATCGCGGACTACACCCACACTGTGGCTCTGTATGCCATCCTGATCGCGTTCGCACTTGTCGTGTACGCCACCAGCCCCACGATCGGCTCGCCCGCCAAGATGCACTCGCTCCTCACGACCGCCGCCGAAAACCACCCCATCGCCGGCAATGCGCAGGGAAGCTATCTCACTATGCGCTCTAAGAGTGGACTCATCTTCGGCGTCCTCAACATCGTAGGCAACTTCGGCACCGTCTTCAACGACCAGGCCTACTGGCAGCGTGCTATTGCCTCCCACCCGTCAACAAGCGTCAAGGCGTTCCTCTGGGGTGGTCTGGCTTGGTTCGCCATCCCGCTCGCCATTGCGACCTCTCTCGGTCTCTCGTCCGTCGCGCTTGCCCACGGCCCCAACCCTGTCATCAGCCTGACTCCCGATGAGGTCGGCCAGGGTCTGCCTGCCGTCAAGGCGGCCGCGGCGCTGATGGGACAGCCCGGCGCCGTCGCGATGCTCATCCTGCTCTTCCTCGCCGTCACCTCTGCGGCCAGTGCGGAGCAGATCGCCGTCTCCTCACTCCTTACCTACGACGTGTACAAGGCGTACATCAACCCGCGTGCTTCAGAGCGTCAGCTGCTCTTTGTCTCGCACGTCGCCGTTCTCTTCTGCGCCGTCTTCATGGGCGCCATCGCCACCGCGTTCAACTACATCGGCATCTCAATGGGGTACCTCTACGAGCTGATGGGGTGCATCATCGGGTGCGCCGTCGTGCCCATCGCGCTGTGCATCACCTGGCGCAAGGCGAACGGCACCGGCGCCGTCGTCGGCGCCATCCTCGGGTTCTGTGCCGGCATCTCGGGCTGGCTTGGCATCACGTACCGCCTCAACGGGAAGATTGACGTGCACACTACTTTCGGCGACTATGAGATGCTCACGGGCAACCTGCTTAGTATCGGCGTCGGTGGCATCATCACCGTCGTGTGGTCCCTGGTCAAGCCTGAGAACTTTGACTGGGAGATCACGCGCGCCGTCAACGCCCCAGCGACGTACGTGGAGGAGAGCACCGTCGAGGTCGTCGAAAGGACGCCCGATCTCACTCCCGGCGGCAGCACCGAGGAGCTGGATAAGGAGAAGGCGATCGCGACGCCAACTGTAGTCAGCGTCAAGGAGGACGCCGCAGAGGCTGCAGCCGAGGACACTGCAGGACTGAAACACGCCTACCGCATCGCGGCATGGGCTGCTCTGTCCCTCACGTTCATCCTCATCATTGTCGTGCCTCTGCCGCAGTTCTTCACCTCGTACATCTACTCAGTGCAAGGCTTCACGGCGTGGGTGTGCATCGTGCTCATCTGGCTGTTTGTCGGCGCGACAACAATCTCCCTGATCCCGCTCTGGGAGGCGAGGGGCACGCTCAGACTTGTGGCCGAGGGCATCTGGGCGGATCTGACAGGGAAGCGGAGAAAGGTCGAGGCATAATTGTAGAGTAGTTCCGGTATAATGGCAAGTAATGCATCTGTCAAGGTCTCCACAGCTCAATCACGGATGAGATTCTTGTTCGTTACCCATCCTCCGAACGTGACCACCCCGGTCTTCCGGTCCATGGCAAGGAACCCAAACGCGCGCTTGAACTTGACGTCAATGCAAGTCGCTCTACCGTTGGGGTCAGCAAAGCTGCCAAACCAGCAGGGGTCCGAGACGGCGGCTGCGCTGAAGCCTGATTCCGTGAAGCGGGCCACGGCGACCTGCGACCCTCCGTCGATGCCGAGCTCCCCATCTGCGATGCAGGGGAAGTGGGACCCTGGCTCTACCGCACGTTGCAGACCGAATACGGCGTTCCCCACTAGCTCGTGTTCACCCGTCACCTCAAAAGCGTGGGTGTAGACGGTAACGAAAGGCCTGCCATCGTCTGGCGGTTCGTGCCGCTCGACTTGCCGAACGGAGATGCCCGGTCCAGACAGCCGCTTCGCTTGCTCGTATGTCGTCTTCTTTGGCGTGTGTCGAATGAGCGACAGACCCTTGCCCAGCACTGTCGATGGTGGTTCGCCTTTGATCCCAAGGACGAGGTAGACATCGTGCTTCGGCTTGGAGCTGTACTCGCCGGCCTTGCCCTCAATGCGCACGACGGTGACTTGTCCGTTGGATCGGACAATGTCGAGCCCCTGCGTCGTCCGTACGAGCTGGCTTTGACCTTCCGGCTCGAACATGTCGAGCCACGTCGTCTGCAGCACAATCGTGCTGGCAAGAATGAACTGTCCCAAGTTCTCGGCTTCACAGGGAAACTCGTCGATCAGCCCGTCCGTGTTCTCGCGCGTCCAAATGTCGAGCTTCGCCTTGTCCCCGGCACCGTGCAGGATCCCTCGTGAGGTGGCAGGTACGCGGTCCAGCCACTCTTTCTTGACACTCAGCGTGCGCCGGATCCACACGCCGATGGCGCCATTGAGTCCGGGCGTCTCGCGCAGCCAGTCTAGCACCTTGATCGCCGCTTTCAGTGGGCCGGTCCCGTCTGTCGGGTGGTAGCAGAGTGCCTCCTTCAGGTCGTCAGCGACGGCGCCCGTCGCCGCATCTGCTAAGATTGCAAGGAGAGGCCATACGCCCGCTGGCGAGAAGACGGTCGGAGCGTCTGGCAGCGTTGCGATCCAGCGTTCCGCCAGGTCGTTGATCGCCTTCGTTAGAGGGTCAGCGGGCTTCTTCTGCTTTGGCGGGAATGGGAGTTCAGGCGCAAAGGGCAGGACTGTGTCCATCGGAGCAAGTTCGGGCTGAAGGTCGGCGGTCATCGTTGGGGCATTTGCGAAACATGGGGCAAGACTCAACGGAGTGTCGGCCTTATAAGACCAACGGACGGGAGCACGGCTGGCTCTTGTCACACCAGTTCACGTCACATCAGGCACACTACAACACCATTGCGCAGGCTACTCGAATCAACCTCGCGGAGCATCGTAAGTCGGTCCGAACCTTATCACACGTTCCGCGGATCCGAGCCATGCATGGTTCCGGCTCCGAAGTGCTCAACCAACAGTCATCAGGACATCATCAATGTCATCCGAAGTCGGAATGGCATCGCAGATTCAGTACGAACAGCTTCGGATGGATGAAGGGGAAGCCATGGACCTCGTCCCTGTCTCAGTGGTCGGGAAGGGTTTGGACCATGAGGACAGTCTCGTGTCGGGCTATACAGTCGCGGGTCGCGGGTTGGAAGCTCGATTGGGGCGGCGGGCTCACGAGTGATTGTGGATCCCTTTGCCCTCTGGTTCTTGTGGGGCCTGGCCTACCCAGCTATGGCGCGTTGAAAGAGTTCGGCGTGCGCTTCACACCCGTCGTCCACTTCGAGCCGAAGCTGTCTCGATGCTCAGGTGTAGAACAATATCGCGCGGGGTGGCACGCTCGGCGCTCTGTAAAGCGTTACGCTTCTTCAATGTGCGCACAAGGAGCCGCTACCGATCCGTTGCTGGAAACGCCTTCGCTTCGTAGCCTGGGAGGCCGGGCACCTGCTCTGCGATATATGCCCGATATCGATAGTATATGTTCAATCCCGACGAGATGTGCAGGCTTTTGATGAACGAGGTCAGGTTGCCTTGCTTGTCCCATTCCTTCAGCTTGCGAATAAGCAGCGAAACTCGCGGAGCATGGTTTGAGGAGATGTACGCGGGAAGAGTCTCTGTAGTCTCGCCTGACTCAACAGGAAGTTGCAAGTCCGAATTGTCTTGTCGAAGCTGCGACAGACCCGGAACACGGTCTTCGATGCACTGTCGATGCAGGTAAAACAGGGCCATGGCATTGGGTACGTCCAGGCCTTTGATGAACTTGTGGAACGCGCGCTTGTCCCAGCGGCGTAATGCGAGGATGATTGCCCAAACCCGAGCGGTATGCTTCAACGGGACCGTTGCCGGCAACGGTAAGAGGTCTTCTCCATACCCGCTGCCCTCCTCGGTCCAGTCGTTGATGTCCCGTCGTTCCAACAATCCAGGCACATGCTCCGCAATAGTTTGGTGATGTTGGTAGTATAGTCGCAGCGCTGAGGTAATCGGAAGTCTTCTCAGAAAGTCGGAGAGAGAGCCGCGGCCGTTCCATGTATGGAGTGCTTGAATGATAGCGCGGACGCGAGGTTTGTGATGTTTCGGGATCGTTTTCGGTAGTCGAATAGCGTCTGAATCTCCTTCGCATTCGGCGTCATCGGAATCGACGTCAGGTGCATAGACCCTCTCGGACAAACCTGGGACGTTCTCGTGGATGCACTGGCGATGTTGATAATAAAGGTTGGGTGCCGACGTGATGCCTGTGTCTCGAAGGAAGACCAGCAGACTACCACGTTTACTCCACTTACGAAGCGCGAGAATCAAAAGCTCTACGCGCTTCTTGTGAGCCACGGGCATTGTAGTTGGCAAGTGTATGTTGGCGTCTCGATCACACTCTTCTGAGGCGGCAAAGGGCGGGGATTTTGGAGGCGAGGAATGGGTAGAGACGATAAGTTCTTCAGCAACGATGACGGCAGGTGCCGCGGAAGGCTCCGGGGAAGGTGGTGAATATGCCAATGCAAGAGCTGAGAACGTGCTGCTGGAGGTAGAACTGTTGCTTTTGGGAGAGACATGGCCGGCTGAGATGTCGTCCCCCGAGAGCAAGACCGGAGGAGCCGTCTCCACATCTTGCGCTGGGCCAGTAGGGACCGGAAACTCGGATGGGTCCATGAGCCTGCCCGTTGCCCACGAGCTCCACACCCAGTCCTCAGACACGAGCACTGCGGTTTCTGGACGACCCTTCACTTCCCCGGAGGCGCATACGACATATTCCGCCTCGGCGAGCTGGACCGTTGTCCCTCCTCCACGCTGCGTATTAGCTCATTGGGCGTCGACAGCGGCTTTGCGCCTGAACTGACCTCGAATATCCAGCGAACGGAATCCGACACTCCGCAGAAAAAAGCTCTAATCGGAGCTTCAGTGTTGAAAGGGAGATGTGGTGCTGGGTCATCATCGCTCGTCCGTTGCCGCTTGGACTGCTCGGAGGACGAGGCAGACAGCAGCCGTTTGGTAATCTGCGGTGTCGACGTCAACTCCATGGCGAGGACGAGGGCCGAGCCAGTGTGATTCGTAGGCCCTCATATGATGCCGAAGGTGATGAGGGAGAACGGTGTGCGCGTTAAGGTTGGCGACGGTGTAGTGTGAAGTGGCCGCAGTGCGGTTGCTGCACTGTGCTTTGTTCATTGTTGACAAGCGCAATCCTAGACGACAGAGCCGAGGGTGGCGGAGCCCCACCTTGGGCTCTTCGAGTGATCTCCTTCCGACCCTTCAAGTCCGCCCGCGTCGAATTGCGGGCCACAGCAAAGTGCAGTAGAGCATGCAGAAGTGGAAACATAATACAGCATATACATAGTACAACATTGTCGGCATTACAAGTCTGAGGACGGTTCCGACGACGAGTGACCAAGGCCAGCGAACCAGCGCCGGGTTGATTCGCTGGTCTGCGGACCATCGTCAGGGGTAAGAGAGCTAGAGTCTGTAAACGGTGTGGCTGGCGGTCGCTGCTGCGAGCGGTGTCGTTCCATCGCCTCAGCGTCGCGCTTTGCAAGTTCGCGGCGGCCCGCCTCGCGCAGGGATGGGTGCGGAGGCGCTTCCGGGACGCGGCCGAGGTTGGATGACGATGCACGAGGTGTCCACGCGACGTGCTCGTCTCCAAAGTCGAGGTCCTCCTCGTCCGAAAAGGACTTGTCGAACTCAAGGCTCTTCTGATCCTTCTTCGGGAAGTAGCCAAACGCGCTCAGCTTCGTCTGCTGCGAATCCGAAGGAGTCGACTTTTGAGGTGGCCGTTTGTTCTGTCGCTTCTGAGACGGCAGGGGCTGCTTTGCCTTTGGAGTGTCGTTCAGCGAGGCGAAGATGGCTTCGTTAACACGCTTCGGAGAGCCCGATCGGCGCACGAGCCGCTTCCCAGAAGAGACGGACAGGCGCGGCAAGCGCGGGGGCGAACTCCGCAACGGAAACCCGATGTCCCGTTTCACTGGGGAGGGCTCCTTCTGAGCAGGCGATGACTGAAGCAGGTCCGGGAATGTCTGAGACGGGACCGATGGTGCTATCTGATGGTGTCAATGGATGCTCATGACAGCAACTCACACTCTCGGTGTCATCAGAGTCTTGAGGCGGATCACTCGGGGGAAGTGCAGGCGGGTCACTGGGAGGGAGATTCAGTTCCTGCGCCTCGCTGACGGCCGGCAGCTCCTCGTTATCGACCGGGGGATCGCTGGAAGGCAGATCCCCATTCCGCTCAGCTGATGCCGCACCTCCACCAAGGCTCCAAGTCATCAAGGTTTCCGCTTCCATCTCAACTGGACGCCACTCTGTGAAGGGCCGCGGGGAACGCACGAACACCGGCTGAGGAGGAGGCTTCGGTAATGGGAACACGAATAACGTTTCGGGCTGATTACGCTGCGGTGAACGAGATTTCGGAGGCGTCACTTGATGATGTTGGCGTCTTGGCTTCTTCGGCGTTGTGACGTCAGCCGCTTTATTCGCTGGCGACTCAGATTCGCGAGCGTGTCTTGGTGGTGAACGCTTTGAAGGGCTAGGAGAGCTGTCTCGTGGTCGATCGATGTAGGGCTTAAACGGGGACGTACGCCTCGGCATGGCGGCAAGCCGCGACGACGGCAGAACTTGAGGCTTCGGCCACTGTGTCTCGCGCTCACACACCGGCTCCTCAAAGGCGGACGAGTATGGGCGTAAGTCATTACGCCTGGAGTCTGCTCCCGGTTTCGAAGGGGATGAGGAGTGCGGAGAGGACGATGACTCGCTAGACAAGTGTACTAGGGACTTGAACTGCCCTAAAGCGCGCCTCTGCCTCACTCCTTCGATTCGGTCTTTCGCCTGCTTCTCGACAGTCTCCCGCACATCTAATCGCAGTCGCTTGCGCTCCTTTTCCTTGGCGATCTCCTCCGCCCGCCGCTGGCGATCAGCGCGCCGCTCTTCCAGCTCGACAGCCTCGTCCTCCTCTGTGATCTCCCGCCACGGCGATCGCGTCGCGCGCTTTCGAGCACTGTCCTGGCCGCACAACCGCTGATGTCGGGCGAGGACGGACGGAGGGACTTGTGTGAGTTCTCTCTGTGACGAGGAAGGTTCAGGAGTACGGGGTGAGGGTTTTACTGGCGATCTCGAGTCAGAACGAGCGCGTTGCGTGGCCTTCTTGGGCTGCTGTGCCGGTCGGTCCTTGGGCATAACTCGTTTAGGGGGCTCACTAAGCCACTCTGTGATGGCTGCGTCCGACTGGGCATTTTGGGACACGTTCTTGAGCGGCTTTCTATGCTTGGCGGCCTTTCCTGTGGTAGTTGGGGGTGTGAGATAGGTGTCGAGAGTCCGATTGGCGGCCGCCGTCGGCGTTGCCTGCGGTTGAGTGGCGCGCGGACGCTTCCTCTGCGATGCCGTCAAATTTGAAGCGGGGGCCGAACGCTTGCGACTCGTACTTGAGGGAGGAGTGGAGATGCCGTGGTGAACGTTTGCGTCGAGCTTTACCAACGGGCGCTGAACTGGCTGCTTGGGGTTCTTCGACGCTGTCAACCAGCCGTCAGGGCGAGGTTGCAGTGGCAAACGCGACGACATTGCGAGCAAAGGTGGAGGGGTTCCTGGATGGAGATAGGGGTGTCGGGTGGGCAAAGTCAAGAGTCGGGTCGCGCACTCTAGTAGTTAGAAAATCCCCGATGTTGAAAGTGAGGATGACGTTAGAAGTCGGGCATGGTCGTGCGCTGATGGGAGAGGTTGAGATGGCAAGATGACGATGGTCGCAATGTTCAGGTCGACGCGTCTGGTTGAGTCAGGGTCAGTGTACGCTGGGGCCCAAAATCATGCGCGAGCCTGCGTCAAGTGCCACAACGAGGTAAGCCCGTCCCACCAGCCCGCCGGATTTGGTTCCGTCGCTTCCCTCGGGCGGAGACGGATCCTCACTGCCAATGGGAGCAACCTCTTTCAACGCCTGGCAGCAGGACCACCAGACTCGAGACTCATCAGACTCAACTCACCACTCATCCCTACACCGTCGTCATGGTCGCCCTCCTCCGCTCGCTCCGCGCCGCCCAGGCCGTCGCCCGCCCCGCCCTCGCCGCCCGCCCCGCGGCCCGCGCTTTCTCCCTCTCCGCCATCCGCCTCGGTGGTGCTCAGCCCCCCGAGCTTCTGTACGTCTATCGACACAAGTCTTTCTTCGTTGTTGCATGCTAACTATCGAAGGGGCCCCGGCGTGCAGCCAGGTCAAGTCCCCACTGAGTGAGTGCATTCGCGTCGTGTTTGACGTCGCCGAGAGCAGAAGACGGAGTGTAGAAGGTGGAATGGAGGATTGGACGGGTGGAATAAAGGAACTCCGGATTGCGCAGACAAAGAGGAGACACGCTCACACGCACAGCGAGCAGCAGGCCACCGGTATTGAGCGCTTCGAGCTCATGGGCAAGGTCCAGGGCGTTGACGTCTTCGACATGAAGCCCCTCGAGGCTGACCGCATCGGCACCCTCGCCGACCCCATCGAGGTCCTCTCCTACTACCCCGTTCGCCAGGTCGGCTGCACCGGCTTCCCCGCCGACTCTCACGACACGCTCTGGATCGACGTCACTGCTGAGAAGAAGCACGCCCGTTGCACCGAGTGCGGCTCCGGTAGGTATCGCGTGATTGGCATCCAAGCAGTCGAACTGACGTTCGCCAGTCTACACCCTCAAGTACGAGCCCCACGACACCCTTTCGCACGGCCACCACTAGAAAACAGTCCTCTTGAAAGGGCAAATCCGCATAGGACCACAATGAATATCATATGGCAGTAAAGAAGGAAAAGCGATCGCAGGAATTCGGAACGTCATCGGTATGGGAATCGCTCCGGAACGTGCCAGTGCACGCTCAGGCGAGAGTTAGCTCGGAGACGTCTTGGGCGGGGCTGCGGCGTGCGAGTGAACTGTGTGCTTGGAGGGGGCATGCTGCATGCATCGTGGAGGCAGCGCCTGGGCAGTCAGTGGTGGTGTGGTGTGGATGGATGGACTGGGCGTTGGAGGTGGAACATAATTTTGCCGATCTCACGGTCCGTTCGGCTCCAATGATGAGCCGATTCCGATTGTTGGACACAGGGCAATGCGATGGTCTGGAGGCGTTCCTAAATGCCTCAACAACAGCATGAGTTCGTGGTACGTGCTGTACTGGTCGAGCACTCCGTTTCGAGCTCCCGTGAATGGCAAGACTAATGGCATCATGTTCATGGGCAGGCGCAAGTAGGTGTCTCCGTTCGGCGAGGCACCGTTCGCTGGAGCAGAGGTCAGCGGTAGAGATAGATATGTCAGTGCCATCAGTCGAAGTCTGAAACAGTGGGCTCTCGTCCGTGGGCCTTGGCTCCAGGGTTGCTTGCTGAGCATGGGCCGCAATCCCCATGCCGGAAGCCGGGCCAGACGACGATGAGCTAGAGCGATAGTCCAGGTCCTACCATGCGTAAGGTACTATTATGCGCAGGATGTAGGACAGGACCAAACAAGGCTGAATGGCTGTGATGGCGCTTAAATGGCCCTCCCTTCACACCGCCGCCGGTTGGCACGTCATGGCGTTCGGTGCACGCGCGCACCGACAGATCAACATTTCGCCTTCTCCTCACTTCTTCATCGCTTCCATCACCCCACACGCAACCCGATTCCCTCACAATGAGCCAGGAAGCGGGGAACGCACCCACAAGTGCCCCCGAGGCATCGCCCGCCCCCGCTGTCAACTCCAGCCCCCCCACCGCCGCCGCCACTGCCGCTCCGACACCCGCTGCGGCTCCTGCGGTTCCGGACGTTGCTCCGGTTACTGCTGCCCCGGCATCGGCGCCAGTCGCGCAGCCTAACCACACCACTCCCGCCAAGCACACCTCCCAGCTGCAGATCGTCAATGAGAAGCAGGAGTTTACGTGAGTTACCGACTGGCCGTTGTGACCGTCACGCTACTCCGACACTGACGCTGCATCAGTAAGGACCTGTCGAAGGCCCTGGACAAGTGGGGTATGCTCGACAAAGGCTTTTCCTACGACATTGTGGCCGTCTTTGGCTCGCAGTCGACGGGAAAGTCCACGCTCCTGAACCGGCTGTTCGGTACCAGCTTCGACGTCATGGACGAGTCTAAACGTCAACAGACTACGAAGGGTATTTGGATGTGCCCGTCTGCGTACAGCTCTACGCTAGTCATGGACGTCGAAGGCACGGACGGTCGAGAGCGAGGAGAAGACCAGGACTTCGAGCGCAAGAGTGCGCTCTTCTCGCTCGCGTCGACCGAGGTGTTAATCGTCAACCTCTGGTGAGCTCGGAGCGGCAGCTTGAAACTGACGTCAGGGAGCACCAGATTGGCTTGTACCAGGGAGCCAACATGGGCCTCCTGAAGACCGTGTTCGAGGTCAATCTTGGCCTTTTCGGGGGCGACGCTGACAAGGGCCGCTCCAAGGACAAGACGTTGATCCTTTTCGTCATCCGCGACCACGTCGGCGCCACCCCGCTGTCGAACTTGACGGCGACGCTGACGGCGGACATGGAGAAGATCTGGGCTGGTCTGTCGAAGCCTCCTCATCTTGCCGACACCAAGCTGACCGACTACTTTGACCTGGACTTTGCCGCGCTTCCGCACAAGATTCTTCTGCCCGAAAAGTTCGAAGAGTCCGTGATCGAGCTTCGCAATCGTTTCACCGACCGCACCCGGAAGGACTATGTGTTCCAACCTGCGTACCACAAGCGCATTCCTGCCGACGGCGTGCCGTTCTACATGGACGGTATCTGGCAGCAGGTGCTTGAGAACAAGGATCTGGACCTGCCGACACAGCAGGAGCTGCTCGCTCAGTTCCGATGCGACGAGATTGCGACTGGCGTCATTGAGCTGTTCAACTCGAGTGCAAAGGCGCTGCGCAAGCCGCTCGAGGCTGGCTCGGTCGTTCTCGGCCTCGGCGCCTCGATGGGCGACTGGCTCAAGGTAGCCGCGACCAACTTTGACGCCGCCGCGTCGCGCTACCACTCTGGCGTGTACCAGCGCAAGCGCCTCGACCTGTTGAACACGCTGCACGCGGTGCTTCTGCCAATGTACCTGAACCAGCTGAAGAATGCGCGGAAGCAGGCGACGACGCAATTTGCGGAGGGCATCGCGACCTCGCTCAAGGCGCCGAGCTACGATTTTGCCGAGGTGGTGTCACGGTGCACGCGTGAGGCTCGCGAGACCTTTGTCGAGACGGCGAAGGAGGCGACTCTCGAGGGCAGCGAGTGGGACTACACGACCGAGCTCGACAGCCTGGACGAAGACCTGCAGACGATCGCGGACCGAAGCCGCGCGGACGAGACGAAGAAGATGGTGAACGGCATCGAGCGCACGGTGAAGCGGCAGCTTGCCGAGCCCGTCGAGCTCGCGCTCAGTAAGCCCAACAAGGAGATGTGGGACACGGTTCTGTCGTCGTACAAGACGGCGACCGCAAGCGGAGAGAAGGCGTATCGAGCCAAGGCGGCGAGCTACAACTGCACCGAGGACGAGAACCGCGCCGCGCTCTCCACCCTACACAGCCGCGCGTGGCTCGCGCTGCGCAAGAAGCTCGAGGAGCAGACTGCCGACACGGTCGTGCTCTCGACGCTGAGGGGCAGCTTCGAGGACCGGTTCCGGTACGACGACGCTGGCGTGCCGCGCGTGTGGAAGCCCGAGGACGACCTGGACGGCGCCTTCAAGAAGGCGCGCGAGGAGACCCTCGCCCTGCTCCCGCTGTATGCGACCGTGAGCCCGGTGGAGGAGAAGCTGCCTGAGCTTCCGGAGCCGGACGCGCTGGACGTGGACATGGACCCCGAGGCGTTCGACCCCGCGACGGCATGGACGCTAGTGAGCCCGACGCGGCTACGCGGCCTCGAGGCGCGCTTCAAGCGCGACGCGGACGCAGCCTACGTCGAGGCGAAGCGGAGCATGGTCTCGAGCATCTCCCAGGTGCCGTTGTGGATGTACGGCGCGCTCGTCGTGCTCGGGTGGAACGAGGCGATGGCCGTCCTCTTCAACCCGCTGTACTTTGCCATGCTGCTCGTGGCTGCCGCGTCGGCGTATATTGTCCTGCAGCTTGGACTGGCCGGCCCCCTCTTCCAGATCGCACGCACTGTCACGGGAGAGGTCAAGCGCATCGCGACGGACAAGATGCGCGAGGCATTCGCTGAGCCCCAGCAGCAGCGCGTTGCTGTCCCCGTCGCCGTCAATGCGACGGAGAAGAGGAGAGAGGTCCGCCGCGGACCCTCGGTTCATGAGCTGGACGAGACGAGGCTCGACACCAAGTTTATGGAGAAGTAGTCTGTTAGTGGTAGCAAGGGGCGCAGGAAGGCGCAAGTTAGAAACAAGTCGTTTAGAGTGACACCCCGGTCTTTAGTTTAATCTTTTCACCTTTTGCCAACGTCTCTGAACCCAACGTTCATTTTTATTCCCTATGCATCTGTCGTAGACGCAGAATGACACTCACGCCGCACTCGCTGATTGTTACTATACAAATACAATGCATATGCCGGGAACACTGCCTGCTCTACGTCACTCGTCTACCCCATCTACCTTCTGGAGACTGAAACCGAACTCTGGGACATGATCATCCACACTGCTGGTCCTTGCTGGATCATCCCATGAATCTGGCCATGACCGCATAGGATCGTCTCACTGGATCAGTGAGACGTAAAGGACATCTGGGATTCGACCACCCAGCCATCCACCCCGCACGTCGAGACAGCTCGCTCGATCATCGTGTCTTGACCTTCGGGTCGCGGAAGAGATGCTTGCAGTGCACGCAGTAGTAGAAGAGCGTCATGTTGGTCGTCTGACGCTTCGCCTGGTCCTGGTAGAACACGGCGCCGTGTTGCCCACAGTGTGAGCACTGGATCGGCGAACGCTGCAGCGTCGGATCCGTCTCGAGATCCTTCGTCTCGCCAGGCTGTTCCCTGTATGTTAGCTAATGAAACCGGAGGCGCAGCTCCTTCCACGCCCATCGAGGCGCCTGAAAAAATGAGGGAACAGAGGCCGAGCAGCGGGAGGAAGGGCGACTCACCTCGCAACAGTCAACAGGTCATTCTTGTACACGCACGGCGCTGAGTGCGGGTCGTGCGTCGCGTTCTCGGCGTAGTTGCAGTTACGGCACTGATAGAGAAGCACCTTCGAATTGTTGTCCGACTAAATGTTAGTGAGATGTTGTTGCCACCGAGCTTACTCGAGGGTACAACAGGTTGTTGCTGTAATGTCAGCTAAACTCAACCCCTATGGTACGACAGCGGCAATGGTTGAGAGGTTGAAGAAGGGGAAGAGGCAGGGAGTCAGCCTGTACTCACCACTCGCCACAGAATCGAAGCGACGGCATGATGGCCAGAAGAGTGAGGGATTGATAATGTGTTGTTGATCTGCCAGAGTTGGGCGCCAGAAGTCGATTGTGACGATCGCCAGGAAGGTGGAGGCGCTAGGCCCGCCGCTATATCCCGGTTGGAAGGCGCTCGAAAGCCACCCGCGCCTATATGCTGCAATCACGTGATGCCACATCTTGGTCCAAGCACGCTGAAGGGAGGGCCGTGCATAGCGGCGGAGCATCTATCTATAATTGATGCGCAGCGGGTAACGACAGCCCCCATTCACGTGTGCCTCGGCGATTTTAGGATTTCCTCAGCCATGTGTAAGGATCGACAGTGCTGAATGACATTGCTCTCGGATATGAGAACTTCTATCGCGGAAAGTACTGGCTGTGTTATATGTACGGCTTCGCTGTCCTCGGCGAGCAAGCCGGCTTCCCGTCTTTCTCGGGCGAATCACGAACAGACACAGGCGCCAAGATCCGTCGCAGGGCGGTGTGCAGGTCTAAAGGAAGTAGGAGCGTTTCAACCCCAGCCCTATGCCAATTAGAAGCGGCGTCCTAATTCCTCTGCGACGCGTCTGACACGCAGGCCACACACGCGGCGCTGCCCGCTGATCCGCTGATCGAACGTGTGACCCGCGGCTGTTCTGCGCGGCGTTGTGCAGGTCCGAGACGCCGATGCACCGATGCGCGCGACCACTGCTCCGTTGCCTGTTGCTTCGCTGCCCCAAGGCCCCTCAGCATTCAGCACACTGGTACACTGAGGGCTCCAATTGGAACGGGGGAGCGGTCCTTTCTCCTCCAGATGCGCCACGCCTGCGGCGCTCGCCATTGTCCTGCGCTGGCACGCTAGGAGCGCATCCGTGGGCGGGCTGCACCTGGGGTTCCAGATTCCGCCCTCCACCCGACATTCGAATACGTTCCGCAAGCAGCCTGCAAACAGACACTTTGTGCACCTCAAGCTGTGCAACCCCCTTTTCTGCATCGGTACTATACTCACCACCTTTACCCATCAGGCGTCCGCAAGCTGCATATCATAGTCGGCATCCGGTAGTTTGCGCTGCAAGCATCCCACTCGTGACACGCAGCCGAGCGACTGGCCAGGTACAGCAGCGTTCAACGCTAGCTGAGCGTTCCTAGTGCGTAGTGCACCGGCCCAACCGAACAAGCGGGCACTGCGCGTACGTGCCTGCGTCCTGACTGCGACTCTGTTGCGACACACGCCCCAGGACTACACACCCTCACCCAACCTAAATCGTTTCGTCCCACCCACACGCAGCGTGCGACTGCTTATCCTTCACCTTCCTCCGCATCCCACACCGACACGCAGTCGCCACTTGTATCTTCGCAGCTCGTATCTCACCATTTCCTCGTCGACCTGCCGCCTGCACGCACACACACACAGCGCCACCGGCACCGCACAGATCACGGCTTACGACCACCGAATTTCGCGCAGCACATAGGCTAGCCCGCCCTTAGCCGTGTAGCTCTTTGCTGCAGTCATGGCCGTCACTTTCTCCTTCCCCTGGGCCGCCTGGGCGCGGCCATCCCGACGTATGCTCTACGTGCTGGGCACGATCATGGCCGTCTTCCTCGTCTTGTTCAACTTTGCCCCGCACACACTTCCGCCCGTTATCGCTCCGGGCCGCGGCGGCTACGCCGACTCATCCTACCAGTCCCCGGACAAGTGGATGCCGCCCATCCTCAGCAACTCCAAGTCGCGCCCACCGCCAGAGTGGGATGCGAATGGCAACTGCCTCTTCCTCTCTCCGTTCGATGCGCTTACGGATGAGGAGAAGGCGCTTGCCGACACGATCGAGCTCGATCTCGTGTCCCCCGGCAATGTCCGTCTGAAGAACCACACCAGCGAAGTTCCCGCGGACATCAAGGCAAACCCGATTCTCCGGCTGCTGCGCGATGGAGAGGAGAAGTGGAACAACATGATGAACTCCCAGAGCAAGACGCTCGAGGAGGCCGTCCGCAAGTACGAGGAGAAGTGGCAGCGACCACCGCCCAAGGGCTTCGACCAGTGGTGGCTGTTCGCCCACTCCCAGAACACGCTGCTCATCGATGAGTTTGACTCGTGAGTTATTTCGGGGCCGGTCGTCAACTTCGTCGTCTTGGGGCCATCACTCAGACTTTTTAAGTCCTGTGATTCGGGACTTCGGAGTGGCGTAGAGATCTGGCACACCAAGGCACCGGTCTGGACCGCGATAAAGCGTTGCACGGGCCATCACTGACCACCTTTCAGGATCATGGAGTCGCTTCTGCCGTATTACGGACTTCCGAAGGAGACGCTGGCCGAGCGCACGAAGGAAGCGGAGAAGATTGTGGAGACGTACACCATCATTGTCAAGGACGGCAAGGCGGAGATCCAGTGGAACGACGACTATGCCAGGGATATGTGGTCTAGCTCTCGTCCACGAGCAGATGACCAGGTCAATATCATGGAGCCGTTCTTGCACCTTCTCCACGACTTCCGAGCGACCTTTACGATCCACGACCAGCCCTCTATCCAGCTCGAGGCTGGCCCACAGAAGGAGCTCGTCGACGCTGCTCTTGCCCAACGGCCCGTCAAGTTTGCGCACGACGTTGACCACCTCGAGCGCGACTGGAAGAAGATGTGCGGAGAGGACTCGCCCTTGCACCGCGGTGAGGTCGAGACCCACGGCCCCGGCACTTTCATCCACGACCACCTCCCGGCAATGGACCCGTGCACCCACCCCTCGATCATGGAGAAGCACGGCATGTTCTTGGAGGTGCACAACAAGGACAGTCACCCTCAGCCGCACAACACTCTCTACCCCATCTTCGCCCTGTCGAAGACTGCTCTGAACGGGGACATCCTTGTCACCCCCTTCTTCAGGGCTGGACGCCACGATGTTGGCTACGACCCCAAGTGGAACGACAAGAAAGGCAAGGTGTACTGGCGTGGACGCGCGACCGGAATGGAGCACAACAAGGGCGCGAGCTCCAAGTGGAGGCACTCGCAGCGCGAGCGTCTTCACTGGTTGGCAAACAGCAAAAGCTCTGAGCCCATGACGATCATGGAACCAAAGGATGCCAGCGGCGCAGCCCGGATGGTCAACCGTCCCAAGAACAAGCTGGGCCAGTTCTACACTGATGCTAAGCTCGTTGGTGGCCCCTGGCAATGCGATGGAAACGACGGCACCTGCGACGAGATGGCGGCCGAGATTGACTTTGCTCCGCTCGAGGGCAAGGACAAGGCCAATGAGTTCAAGTACATTCTCGACGTGAGTTAGCCATTTGGTAGGCAATAACTGACAAGCAGGTCGACGGAAACGCCTGGTCGTCAAGATTCCCGCGCCTCATGTTAGCCTTCAACGTCGTCATCAAATCGACCGTGTTCCCCGAGTGGTTCTCCCACATCCTGCCAGAGTGGTATGCGTACGTCCCGACCAAGGTCGACTACTCGGACCTGTACTCGATCATGTCCTTCTTCCGCGGCTCGATGGACGGCAAGGGAGGGCACGATGAGGTCGCGCGCCGCATCGCGCTCAACGGACAATGCTGGGCTGAGAAGACACTACGTTACGAGGATCTGCAAGTCTACATGTTCCGCTTGTACCTCGAGTATGCGCGGTTGACGAGCCCGGACCGTGACAATGGCAAGATGGACTTTGTGCTCGAGGACTACCACCGTGATGGATCTTCGAACGAAAAGAATGCCGGCGACGAGGTCGGCAAGCTTGAGGCTATCCCCGGCATCGACGAGAAGCGATGACGATGGACTTTGTAAGATTAAAACCTAGATACCAACCGTAGATGCGCCTCTAAAAGGCGTGTGCATTCCATGCAGACTTTGACTATCTGTTGACAGGTAGTAGTTGCATTCAAGTGGTCAGAATCCGCCACCGCCACTGGACGGTGGACATTACGGGCGCAGGCGTAAATGAAAAATGACGGCAGCGGCCAGTGGCCAACGGCAGGAAGCTGTGAAACGGCGCACATGGCGACGCGTCTGTAAACAAATCAACTTGACATTCCTTCATCGACATCGCGAACCGACACACGACAAGTCGCTGCACCACGCAGCGCCATCCACCCTGCTCCGAGCACCCAGGCTAAATCCAGCGCGGCTATGCCGCCCTGGGTTCAGCTACTATGACCCCGCTCGCCGACGAGTCATCCACACGAGCGACTCGTCGCGCTCCTTCGCAGCAGCCGTCGCGACCCCGCCAGAGTACGACGTGATCGCCACCTATCCCCAGCGACCACCACACCATCCATCATCACACTCTCCTTCCCTCACTGCCTCGATTCACTCTGATGCAGCTGCGGCCGCATTGGTCGTCGACGGATCAGACGATACCGAGCTCGCGGACGCGTTCTTCGACCACGCACCCGAGGAAGGCACACACCCGCGGTCTTTTGACGACCATCTTCCTCCAGCTCCCTCAGAGGAGCATCCGACGTATGAAGATGCCATGAAGAAGCCGCGCCGGCGGACACGGACCCTCGAGTCAACGTCGCCATTTGACCCTCCTCCGATAGACGGTCCGAGCCGGTTTGACTGGCGTGACCGTCGCCGGCCGAAGTTCGACACGCATGGACTACCCACCTGGCAGAAGTGGTGGTATCCCGAGACGCCGCGTGTCATGCCGAAAATGACGAAGATGAACGAAACGGAGGGCGGATGGGCAGAGCTCAGGCGGTACTCGGACCAGTGAGTGTGGTTGACTCAACCGATCGCGTCAGCTATGCTGTCGCACGCGAAAAGAGCTGACCCCCAGCTTCGTCCCCCTATTACTGGCTGAACAAGCTGAAGCCGAGACGCAGCTCGAGAACCGACTGGCGTCCTGGTCCGACCACCAGTTGCGCTCCGAGGGGTTCATGATCAATGGCCTCGCTGGCTCGACGGAGTGGCAACCTCGGTACAAGGTTCACGGCGTGGTTGTGTCCTTCTCTCGATGGGGAAGCGACGGGACAAAACCTCTGCCACCGAGCCAGTTCGAGCCTGGCGCGACCGTCATCCTGAGCCGAACACACCCTTGTCAGGACGCTTTTGAGATCGAGGGCGAGCGGGTGAAAGGGAGCGTCTTCACCATCAGCCGTGGCGTCGTCAGGGTTCTGTTTCCCGAGCTGCCAAATGATGTCGAACTGGGCTCATGGAGGTGTGTATTTGCTGAAGCAGCTGGAGCGTACAATTCGGCGAGCTAACAACCAGGATCGACCTCGGCGTCAGCGACTTTGCGATACAGAAACAGCGCGAGGCCATCGACCGCCTGAACTTGGACCCGGTGCTACAGGATCAGCAGTCGTTGCCTGCTGCCCCTAGTGATCAGGATCCCGAGGACGAGGCACTGGCGGTGACCATGAGACGCCAGCGACCACAGGAGATTCTCGTCGGTACTGGCTTACGCGATCTCATCCTTCGCCGGTTTCAGTCACACTACGAGCCGCTGCCAGCACCGGGTTCGGGGAAGCTTGACGAGATTGCCGCCCAGGTTGCAGACATGAAGCCTGAGGACATGGAGGCTTCAACTGGCATTGATCATGACGACTACTCGCCTCGAGGTATTCTCAGTGCGAACAAGCTCATTGATTCGTGGGCTCGCCGCTACCGCGTGCCGGAGGGAACGGTTCCGATCGCTATTGAGGGGGACCCACGTGTCCCGCTGAATCCCAGTCAAACGCGTGCTATTGCAATGATGCTCAGCGAGCGTCTCAGCCTGGTTCAAGGAGTAAGCTTCGACGATAATGGGATTTGAAGCTAACGCTAGCCTCCGGGAACGGGGAAGACGCGAGTCATCGTCGAGACAATCAAGTTGCTGAAGCAGCACTGGCAGATCCCACATCCCGTCCTGGTGTGCGCGCACACAAACGTGGCTGTCGACAACCTCGTTGAGGGTCTCAAGACGCAAGGTGTAAACGCGGTGCGCTTCGGATCGCCAGATCGTGTGTCACCCCGCGTTGAAGCCCATACACTCGAGGCGCGAATCGAACAGCACCCCGCCTACCCCGTTCTGAACCGGGCGCGCAACTCGAAGGAGTCGCTGCAGGCCGAGCTCAGCGAGAATCTGGCCGGCCCACAGCGGGAAGCAAAACAAAAGGAGATCGGCAAGCTTAACGGGCGAATCTACCTCCTGAAAAGGCTGCTACAGGCTGAAGTACTGCACGAAGCTGACGTCGTGTGCACTACCTGTCTCTCAGCCACCTCTCGCGTGCTCGAGGTCATCGACTTTCCCTTTGTCTTCCTCGACGAGGCAAGCATGGCCACTGAACCCCTCTCGATTGTCCCACTCACCAAGGGAAGTGCCCAAGTCGCCATCATCGGTGACCACAAGCAGCTTCCACCTGTCATCGTCTCAGAAGCGGCGCAGCAAGGTGGTTTGGGCACCAGTCTTTTTGAGCGCCTCATTCATGAGCAAGGTAAGCTAACGAGCTGTGTTTCGTGAGCTAACCACAGCCGTGCCCTCCATCATGCTCGACACGCAGTACCGCATGCACCCGTCCATTGCGGCCTTCTCCAGCGAGGCTTTCTACAACGGCCAACTGAGGGACGGAACTGTGGTGGACGGTCAAGTCGACCCTGTTCTGCATCCGCCGACGACTGCGTTCCTATTGCCGGACGGCGACAGCTCCAAGTCGTTGACCTTCCTGAACCACGATTTTCCGGAGTCGCCGCAGAACCGCTCCATCGCGAACCACCATGAGGCTGGACGAGTATGCGACATCGTTGCTGACCTGCTAGCCTCAAACCCCGACCTGAAGGGGGCCGATATTGGTGTGATCGCACCGTACAGTGCGCAGATCCGCCTTATTACTGAGTTCCTCACGATTGATGAGCGACGCCAGCGCGCGTTCCGGCAGTGGCTTGGACCAGAGCGTGCACGCGAGATCGAGGACATTGAGATTCGGACCGTGGACGGCTTCGAAGGTCGAGAGAAGTCTGTCATCATCTTCAGCACGGTGCGCAGCAATACGGGCGGCTTCCTCGGATTCCTGGGTGATTGGAGGCGACTGAATGTCGGTCTGACACGTGCGAAGCGCGCACTCATCATGCTCGGCTCACTTCGCACGCTCAGCAATGGTGTACCTTCCGCCACAGCTCTTGAGAAGAAGGGCATCCCTATTGACGGCACGAGGGTCTGGAAACGCTTCGTCGCTTGGCTTAGGAAGAATGGGCTCGTCATGGAGGACCCCGCATAGACTGTATCTTCTAGTGTATCACTATCTGCATTGCATCTTGAGCATCAACTTTTGTGGCATCGAGCAGCTAGCCTTCCAATATCTGGTAACTAGACGCAGCCGTAACTCTGTTTATCACGACACACTCAGCACACCCCCCATCTCCTCCCTCTCACTCTAACCACTCGTTCGAACGGCAAAAGATAGGCGTAAGGGAGTATGTTACTACTCGCTTGACGAGAGTGGGATTCGAACCCACGTCCGAAGACTGCGGAGGAGAACTGATGATTCACCTTAACACAGCGCCTTAGACCGCTCGGCCATCTCGCCTTGATGTTTGTCACTGGCTGACGTAAGCCTCGAGGGCGTCCGTGCCTGGGCAACTGTTCCATCGTTGTGCGCTCCGGCTCCGCGTCTGTTTACTGGTGTCTACGAGGCGAATGCTCGGTAGAAACAGATGCAAAGACGACTGAGCAGAGCTTCTGACCTCAAGGCTGGAACCTGTGTTTGTTGCGAGGGAATGCCGCAATGCGTATGACGTTGTGAGAGCTGAGGTGGGCATTTTGAGTCGACACTTGCCTTTGGCGGAGACATGCGCCCCCGCGGCATCGGCGCGAAGGCGTGCACGGGCCCTTGCGCGTGTTCACATGTTGTGCCTGCATAGCGCAACTCTGTGGCTTACGCTCGCGGGCCTCCAAGGCCCAGAACCAGGCCTCCATGCCCAGGAGGCGCCGTTCGTATATCAATATACGCAGTGCCCGACGACGGGAATACACGATTCGTTGCTTGGCATGTTGCCGTGCCAAGTGGTGGGCCGTTGCTATGCATCTGTAGTCAGTGGAGGCCGCGTTCTGTGGGAGCTGGATGTTCCGCGCCACCAGAGAAAAGCAGAGGCCGCATCTGGGCCCGAAACCGGTCTCGGCACGTCGGCACGCCATGCAGAACGCGGCCTGCGAATGAGAGTGGACGGTCAGGCTGGCGGGCACCTGCCCGCCCTGGCCGGCCTGGCCGACCATGAGCCCGGATTCGACTGCTTCGCATGGCATAAGATGCCGGATTCTGGTTTGGGACTGGATTTCTGCGGCGAGTTCGGACCTAGCCGAAATCCTCGGAATCCCATTGCTCGCTGCTGCGAGAGCACGCAAGTGACAGCAGTGGATGCGCGGAGCAACTTGAAGTCCCGAAAACAGAGGAACGAAGTATAAGAAGGCAGTCAGGTGGACATGTGCTCCCGTTTCCATTCCGTAGATCCAGAACACATACTGGCCGCGGCCAACTCACCAACACCCAGGTTACGCCCGAACTTACGTCCCGACCTCTCCACGCTGCGAGGTTTCCACAGTCAGCAATTCTCCGAGACGCCCTCACGACGAGCTGCATCTTACAGCGCTGTTCTATTTCCGCACGCTACGGACGGAAGAAGTCCGACGCACCACCAAACACGGCGGGGAGAACCGAGCAAAACTTCCAGGCACCGCCGCGGCGTACCCAGAAGGCTCAGAATCCACGCGGGCCGCTCCACCACTGCAGCGGGCAGTCACCCTCCATTCCGAGCTTTTGCGAGGTTTGCCGACATATTTCTCACCGCTCGTCGGCCAGATTGCCAGCATCATTGGATCGCGCCGCGGCCAAGCTAGAAGGGTGGGCCGTTCGCCGCTCGATCTCTGCACGCCCAATCCATACCGGACGTAGCGGATATCTTTGGAACCGGTTCCGTCATCGCTACGCCTGCTTCGGCTCTTCTGTTTGCAACGAAAGTTGCCCGCAGCGGGCAACGTAGAGGCGAAAGGCGAGAGGAGCGAAATCACGAACGAGTCAGACTCGCATTTGGCCGAATCACGCACGCAGTGCACGCGCAAACGCAGGGCCGCGGTCGGGGTGGGTGGATCCCAGTATCCACCGGCCGAGCATAAGAACCATGACACCTGGACACCATGGAATGTCAAAACTCCCTCTTCCAGACCATCACCCATCCCGGATTCTGTTCACGGAGTACGACGACGCGCCCTCCTCTTCCTCTAGCAGCGCTTCGTCTACGCCCATGTCGGTGCTCCGCTATCTGAGCCAGCCGAAGGCGGCTTCGTCCCGCACCGCCCGCGGCACCAGCGACACCCCGACACTCACGCTCCGCGTTCCCAACTATGGCATCCTCTTCGTCCCCGTCCCCGAACAACCGTCTGGAGAGTTTGAAGAAGCGAAGCCGAGAGAAGACCATGTGCTCGCCGGTGAGCTCGAGGTGCAGCTCCGCGACGCCCGGCGAGTTAAACGAATCCGCGTTGGCCTCAAGACGGTCATGATCGCCGATTTTGGCGGCAAGAAGCTCGACGAGGACGTTCTCTTCGAGCGCAAGGTCGAGATGATTGGGGGCAACTCGGAGGGTCTCTGGCTGCCGAGTGGGTCACAGAAGTGAGTGTTCCGCGGTCGGCAGGCACCAAGCTCGGTATTCTTCGGCAAGCTCTGGCACCCAGTGCGAGCTTGGTCAGCCAAAAGCACGCCAGCACGCCACGCCAAGACTCGAGTCTGGACCGTCACGCCATGTTCGGGGCGTCAATGGCGATCAATGCTGCGGATTGGGTTGTTTGTGTGCGTAGCTGACATCCAGGTTCAAGTTCTCCATCATCGTACCCGCCAATCACCCCGTGCACGACTGGCACCCCAATGCGAAGATCACGCACCACCTCTACGCCGAGCTCGAGGGCTTGCCTAACGCTGCCGCTGCGCCGCCGCGCGTGGGCTCCTCCAGCTCCCTCTTCAGCTTCATGGGCGGTAAGCGCTCGTCGCCTCCACACTCATCCCGCCCGTCACGATCTGGCTCCCCTGCCCCCGGCTCTGCTGGGCCCCGAGTGGGCAGCCCTCCGCGATCCGGTACCAGCACGCCCGTGAGCGCCACCAGCGCAGCAGCCGGCCCCATGGCCATCGAGGCAGCGCTCGCCGGACTCCAGGTCGCGACGGGGCGAAGCGGCATCTCGACGGCGCCTACCTCGCCGGTCGGCTCGCCCGGCGCCGAGGTCGACGACCCCATTCACAAGATGCAGGCCAGCTCCATGAGCATCACAAGGCAGGAGGTCTTTCCGCAGGCGCCGGCGTACGAGTCGAAGGGCGAGCCCGAGTGGCTCACCGGCACCGTACACACTAAGCGCAGCATCATGCTCATGTACAACCCGGACCCGCAAGGCGGCGTGACGGAGTACGATGACTGTGCCAACGGCTATGCGCCAGGACTGGGAATCTGGAACGCCCGCTTCAGCTCTGATGTTTGGACTGTTTGTGCTGTGATGAAGTTCCGCTTCTCCCTCGACTCAATTCCGCCCACAGCTACAATCTTCACTGTTCGCCTCGCTCTCGAGCAGACGCACACGATTGTATCGCCGCGCGACGCTGGCGGGGAAGCGAAGAAAGTCATCACGACACGACACTTTGCGCTGCAGGAGAGTGGCCGCCGTCCGCCGCAGGGAACAATCTATCCAGGCAAGGACTACATTGCTGCGTGGCGCGGCCCTGCTGCCGGCGGGAAGGAGGTCTGCGGTCCGGACGGAGGCAAGTTCTCGATTGACACGAACGTTCGTCTGCCGAAGGACGATGTCGCGCGGCCGACGACGCCGGAGGGAGTTGTCACCCCCATCACGGTCACTCACAAGCTTCTCCTTGAGGTCTTCTTCAGTGTGTACGGCGAGGACGACCGGGGCAAGCCACTCAAGAACCCCGGCCCCGGCGGACTCCGGATGCTCCGCGTCAGCCGCCCCGCCATGATTCCTTCTTGCTCCATGATCCCGCCCATTCTCAACTTGCCGACATACGAGGCACACGTCCACGACCCGCTAGCTAGCGACGACCCCGTCGAGGCTGCGCGGGAGGATATTGGCTGGGAGTGGTGTGCCTGTGGTCAGAAGCTGGAGGACATGGAGGCTCGTATGCGCTCCCATGGCATCATGGATGAGTGCTCGCGGAACCGCATTTCTGCAGATGACAAGATCTGGGCCGAGAGAGGCCACCGATGAGACGAAAGTCTGAATAATCCAGAAGAAGTGTGAAGAAGTGGACAATGAACGCTAGAGATAGAAGTTGTTTGTAACATTAGTCATAACATTCATGTGCGCATAATGGGATGTCAAGTTTCTTATAATCTGTGGACTATCATGTGCAGGGCAACCGGGCATGGCGGCGCAGCTCCTGGCTTCATCTGTGCGATCCATTGCATCACTGTTATCAGAGGACCGCGTCCCGGACACATCCGCCCTGACAAGTTGCCAAGGAGAACTTCGTCTCCACAGAACGGAATTGGACATCCCGGGCCAAGGTCCCAGGCCCACCTGGTTTTGTCCAGTCGAGACTGCAGGTGACTAGTCGAGCGCTTCAGTTCGGGCCTTAGCTGTGGGCAGAGCAGCAGTTGGGTGACTAGCTCTTTGGCGCCTAAGTTGGGACGCATTGGCGCTTGAGCGGCCTTACTCCCATTTGCATCCTTGAGGAGGTGAGCCGAGAAGTTGCAGCACTGGCTCGTCATGGACAGGGCGGAAGTGACTTCCTACACTCTGTCCAGAAGTTAACCTTGCCATTTAGTGTTGCGTAACGAATACGAGAGTATGGACCTCGAAGTCATCTCGACTCTCCGCGACCTCGGGATTCGGCAAAGCCGGCGGTGGGTCGGATCAAGGCCGTACTCGCCGTGACATGTGGGCTCGGTGGGCACCGTATACGGTGACCAACGCCGGGCCCGCACTCTCGCTCATGTCTTCGCACGCTCGGCCACCATAACGTTATCTATCAGGAGCTCTATACTGACGGGCGAAACGGGGGCCGATAGAGGTAGCGAGCCGTCTTCCTCTGCTCAATTGGACCTGTCTGCCGGAATTCCCTCGTGTGCAGGGGTCTTTTGTAGGATTGGCTCGTCTGGGGATTACTCCGATTGACCAACCGAGTCGGAGAGTGATGCAGAAGAGGGGTGTGGATCACGCAACCCCCGTACCCCGTGCTGATTGTCTTGGCGTTCAGCTGCCCCTCGTGCCTTAGTGTCGTGGGGGATGTTCGCAGCCTCTTGCTGCAATTCAGCCAAAGGGTCGGGAACGCGCGAGAATGCGGAGGTGCAATTAGGCGCGGTATGGCGTCGTTCCAGTGCAGTAGTGCGAACGCGACCACACAACTGCTGTTCGTTGGATGAGCGCGGGCTGCTGCTGGACCGCGATATCGGGAGGTCTTTGCTGGAAAAGGGAAGGGGAAAGAAAGAAGTCAAACGCGGTAACATCCGTCCGATTCACCCAGCCACGGCCAAGCTGCGAGAAGTCTACGCCAAGTTGGGCATCTGAGAAAGGCCAGAACGAAGAGCGCGACTCGGGCGGATCAGATCTGGAACCCAGAGCTAACCAATGCCCCACTTCGCTCTCCGCTCCGCGCTCGACGTCCGTATCCTCCCGGTTCCTCGCCGTACCTGTGGACCTGGTGCCCTCTCGGCCCTCTCGTCTTCCATAATACCCCGCGCTGATTGGAAAAGAGTGACATGCTTAGGACTCCAGCCCTTAAAACGTTATGTGCAGAGGTCTTGTGCACCGTTCGTATTCGCTGAGTGCTTGCCCCACAGACGTCAACGCTGTGCGTCGACGTTGGTGGAGCACGAGCCCAGATCGCAGCCGGCGAAGGACCAGATGGCAGGAACAGAACGCCAAGACCCCGTGCGCACCCCGTCGGGCCGGTGATAAGCTAGCGCACTAGCGAGAGCCAGCCTTATCCTTGGACCAGTAGTTGTGCGTCGTCGAAGCAACCCAGTTTCAGGCCAAAAAGTCTTGGCACTTATCTGATACGCAGGAAACGCAGTACGCAGCTGCCACTGGCCATCCTCGATGCTCCTGACGTCCTGAACTGGGCCTGGCTGCAGTCTGTGCGCCCCATCGCATGCTCTCGTACATCGAGGGCATCACTGCGGACGTCATGCCCCTCCTGCTTGTTGCCCTCGTGGTCCCCCTCGAGACGCGCCCAACCCCAGATCCAGCACAGCTGTCTCACCAGAAGGCGGGGCTGGGGCAGGGCGTGCACCGATCCCCGCACGGCCTGAGCTGTCTCGGCCTTGTGTCGACCCCCACACCACTTCCCCACCGACCAACGTGCTAGCGTCTGCGCAGTCTGTGATCGCTCCACCACCAATTGATAAAGACTAGTCTGACCCGTGTTCAACGCCCTCTCCCTCTCGACATACTTAAGCCCCAGTCCTCGATCTAGTCTTTCCTCGTCCACACGCCTCCAGACTTCCATCCCCTCCTATCTGTTTCTTGTCTTCTTCACGCATACACATACCTAGAGCCATGTTCGGTATCACCGCCGCCGCCATCGCGGCCTTCAGCGCTGTCGCTTCCGCCGCGCCTGCCGCCACCTCCGCTGCCGCCAACAGCTCCGACACTGAGTTCCCCGAGCTCGCGCACTTCTTCAGCAACAACTCGCAGTGGGCGAACGCCAAGGCGAAGGAGGACCCCAGCTTCTTCCCTACCCTCAACGCGAGCCAGCACCCAGGCATCGTCTGGGTCGGCTGCTCGGACTCTCGTGTCCCCGAGAGCGTTATCACGCACCAGAACCCGGGTTCTATTTTCACACTGGTGAGTCACTCCGAGCGATCGCGAGCGACGAGTGCCCCGAATAAGCGTGGTCGATGCGAGCCCTGTGGTTGGGCCACAGAGACGTAGGACGTAAGAGCAGGGCGCACCTGTGTCAGCTGGGGGCACCTGATGAGGTTCTCATGCTAGTCTGTGAAGTCCGGTGTGCGGTGTGCACCGGTCTCTGGGCTGCGGTCTGCGGCCATCGGTCTCCTGTCAATTGTGATAAGCCCACAATCGGTCCGATCAGAATTGAGCCTGAGACCTGGGGTCAATACTTATCAATCCAAAAGAACGTGATCATTCACGTTTTGGACAATGATAACGAGAAACCTGGCGTCATCTGGGCCTGAAAAGTGGGGAATGTGGCAGAAGCCCTAGACACACATGAGCACCTATGAGCCGTCTGCTGACATCACTCAGCGCAACATCGCCAACCAAATCCACGCCGACGACTGGTCCGCCCAGGCCGTGGTCGAGTACGCCCTGGGCCACCTGAACGTATCGCACGTGGTCATCGTCGGCCACACGAACTGCGGTGGAGCCGCTGCAGCCTTCGCGGCCCCGAACCCGGACGCGAACAAGACCGAGGGCGCGGGCGGTGCCAACTCGTGCCCCAACGGCACGGCGGCTGCCGGTGGCACCCACGGCCGCGGCGACGGCAAGGACGGCAACGACAGCAAGTGCCCGTGCTTCACGCCCGACCAGGTCGAGCCCGGCACCGAGCCGGGTCTAAACCAGTTCCTCGCCCCGCTCATCAAGCTCCGCTGGTCGCTGCCCGAGAACGCGACGGCGGCCGACCTCATCATCGCCAATGTCAAGCAGAGCGTCGACGTTATGGCCTCGACGAACGCGGTCCAGAACCAGTGGGTTCAAAACAAGCGTGTCTGCGTTCACGGCTGGCTCTACGATGTCGGCACGGGTCTTCTCAAGGACCTCGGCTTCTCGCGCTGCAAGTGAGCGCAGCGCACCGAAAAGTAGAAAAAATTGCCCATGTGGCAGTCATAAACTCCCCCCATCTTGAAAAATCTAAAGCGATCACATGCCTCGGAACACAAATAATCTCCAGCAAGCGATGATGTCAACGTCCCCTCCATCCTTAATTGATAAGTAGCCGTAAAGATGAAGAAAGAATGGAAAGCTTCCGCTGGTGTCTGATACAGATTGCGTCTGGGTTCCCAGGCTCTAGCGTCTCACGAAGCACGGAGAAGATACCCTCCAATCCAAAGCTTCTCTGGGCGTCAGGCCGGTCTTTGTTCTTTGGTCAGAGTCTTGGAACCGGAAGTCCACCGGCGTCCACCGGCGTCCACCGGCCTCGCAGCACTGATGCCGTACAATGAGGAAGGCGTCATGAGCTCTCAGTCCCAGCCATTCGACCCCCTTGTCACTCGGCACTTCCTGCCCAACCTCTGATATGCATCTCCTCAGCGGAGCAGCATGTCTGCAGCCCACCAATAACCAGAGGACCGTGACAGCAGACGACACTCATTACGGTGGGCTGGTTTATAGGAATCGGCAATCGGATGCAGGAATCTCTCGTCTGCGTCTGCGGGGTCTGATGCCACATTCCACACATTCCGCACACCTCCACACCTCCACGCCTCCCTCTCCCTCTGCACGCGGGCGTGCAAGGACACATGTGTGCAATGCGTGCCCTCAGCCGTTCACGCCCAGAGTGGGCTTGCCCGGTCCCCAGTCGCCAGGTCGCGGGTGTTTCAAACCCTCCACGTTCCACCCTGGTCTCTTGCTCCGCAGCTAACTCACTGATTTAGCGCTTCTTGGCATTATGCCTCGACGCGAAAGGACGCGTCGCGGGACGTTTTTGGCTTCCATCCATGCCGTACGGGCACCCGATACCTTCTGCATCAGGCTCTGATCCTGTGAGCGTACACGTCGCAGGCTTGCTTCCTGCATGCCATGCACCGACACTGGGCACACTCAAGCTGCAAGTCTCAGATTCGTACATATAAGGGGCCAGAGCAAGGGGGAGGGATGGCTCCCGGCTGTGTCTTCAGACTCTTCAGACTGTCAACACACGATAAATCCGCAGCGCATCGATCTGCATTCTGCACACGTATTGATACGCGCAAACACGCTATAAATATGCATTGTAGGGCTCTACACCTGCACACGATCTAACCTATTTGTGTGCGCATCGGTAAGGCTGCCAAGGGCGCAGCAGAGGGAGATTTACACCCGTCGTCCTGTTGCGCAGCAGAATGTCGATCGCTCAAACTGAATTTTTGACTTTACGGCTCCTTGGTTAAATCGTTAAGCTTGCCTAAAGACACTCGCGCCCACCCCCGTACAGCACTCGTCAGTTGGGCACACTTTGGGGGACGACACTCCCCGTAAACAATGCTTATGCCCGTGCCTGCCATCGTAGCTCGGCCCGCCTGCTTCGTAACTTCGAGCTGGGAACCTTAGTTGCTCTGCATGCGCGGTCTAGACTGAGTTCATTACTTGTTGCATTCTCCTACGGAAATGTCCAGGGTTGTAGTCGTAGTATATGGGCAGAGTTATTGTACGTGAGATGGATGGGATGTGTGGGTTTCTATCTACAGTTTTAGAAAGATGCTGGGCTGGCTCGAGTTTGCGTTGGTGCTGCAGACCAGATGACGCTTGCTCGAGCTGAAAAGTCGGACGCTGGCTACGCTCGCTGCTCGCTTCGCTCGCACTCGCACTGCGCTTACTTGCCAGTGGGGCACTTCTGGTTCTGGAAGAGAGTAGGCGAAGCAGTGACCTTCATGTCACCGCCGACACCGTTCGAGATCGTGTCCCAGGTGTGGCAGTTGGACTTCTTGGGGTAGAAGGCCGGGGCGGAGGGAGTGGGGTGCTGGCCCTGGTAGAAGGTGGAGGCGCCGTAGACACCGGGGGCAGCAGCAATGTCGCCCTCGCACGACTCGAACTTGTTCATGTTGTAGTAGTCGTCGTCGTCGATGGCCATGACCCACTGGCAGCCCATGAGGTCGTAGATGTGGTCGCACTGCTTGGCGACAGTGACGCCATTGACCTCGGCGGTACAGATACGAGCGCAGAACTGGTCGTACGAGATGAACATCATCCACTCCTCGTAGAAGGTGTCGCCCTGGCGGCCCTGGATGTTGGTCGTGACGTTGCCGCCGACGGGGTTGCCCTCGCCCGTAGCGCCGTGGGGGTCGAGCTCACCACCGTTGTCGCCGTGGGGGATGTTGAGCTTGGTGCCGTCCCACCAGCCGGCGACCTGGACGTACGCGGGGGTGCGGATGAACTGGGCAGCGTGGATCGTGCCGTCAGGGATGAGTCTGTGGGTGTCAGCTCGGTGCGTCGTCACTCGAGGTGGTGCCTGGTGTTTGGGCCGCACGGATCGTAGTCCGAGACTAACCGGCGCCCCAGGGCGAGTAGGGCGCCGAGGCATGGGGCGCGCTGTCTCTCCGCATGTCTTCGCCGTAGATGCATGTCCGAAGCACACCCAAGACATTGACCGCCCCACCGCAAACAAACGAGCTAGACTTACCGAGCGCCGTTACGGGGCTTGGTGCACCAAGCGACGAGGTCGTGCTCGTGGTTACCGATGGTCGAGTCGGGTCCAGGCTCCATGGGAGCGTACATGCAGAAGTCGTCGATGGCGTTGACCGAGATGAGACGCGAGAGCGAGCCCTGGTTGACAGTCTCGCCGACGGGGATGAACTCGGGGTGGTCGGGGTTGGTGGGGCCGTTGGGACCGGTGGGGATGACCTGGGCACAGACGGCCGGGACAGCGAGGAGAGCGAGAACGGAGGCCCACATGTTGCACAGGAAACGATTAGCGGTGAAGAAAGAAGATGAGAATGAGAAAAGTGATAAAAGTGTCCAAGGGGTGAGCCGGAGTGGACGGGTGTTGTGGGAGGAAGGAGCAAGGTTGGTCAGTGGATATATAGATGTGTTGCAGCGGAGGCGGAGCGAGGCAGCATAGGCTAGCAGCAGATTGGGGGTAAGCGTCGTCCTTCCCTCAGAAGGAATCCGTTCTCTGTTACGCTGCACAGCTGATGCGCGGCAGTCAGCCCGAGGCAAGGGGGTGCGGCAGAGGCGAGAGACGAGAGGTCAGGGGGGAGTTGAGCATTAGACTGGGATGGGACAGTTTGAGTGACCCTCGCTCGCCCTCGATCCTGTCGTACGCTGTGTCCGGGGCTTGCGAGTTTGTGCAGTGTGTTCGGGGCTGCGGTGATCCGCCGTGGATTCTCTCATTTGCGCTGGCCCTGAGCTGGCTTCCTGGCCATGTCAGTGTTCTGTCGCTCGCTCGTCCCTGCCTTGCTTCCTGGCTTCGCTTCAGGCAGTGCAACGTCTTCTTTCTATCGAGCGGCTGGCGGCTGGGGATGTTTGCTCGTTTTGGCCGACGAGCCGACAGTCGATGCCAGACGCCAGGGTGCGGGCCGGGCATACCGGGGGCAAGTGCCGGGCGAGCCAGGGCCAGTACGTACAGTTGAGCGTCACACATGTCTGGCGCTCGAGGCATCGGGGCAGAGGGAGACACGTAAACCGCACCGTCCAGGAATCCAGGATACACACACCCAAATTCAGGGACGGATCCTAGACAGCTTGAGTGCGTTTGAATTGGCTCGCGTTAGGATTAGAGTTGTAATTACACACAAGACAAGCCCCTCCACCATCCTCCATCGTACTTTCGGCCCTCCGTCAACTGCGTCACTGCCTTAGGACTGTCGGACCCTCCCTCGGTGTCGGCCAAAGACGCTAGCGGCAGGCACGTTCCGAAGACCCAGGACCATTGCTAGAGCAGTGCAAGGGCCGCCGGAGATACGCTGGAAGACTTGTCCTTTTTCCTCGCTAGGCTTTCGAGGGTTCCGAAGGTACGGGGTGGCCGTAACCCTTTGACCTTGACGCCGACAAACAACACCGTAAGCCGGATGCGCCAGAGACGTCACTGCTGTCTGCTCTTTGCAGGTACCGTATCCTCGGCACTCTCTACGGCGCATGTAATCGATCCCTGTTGCATAGCATTCGTGTGGCGTTTACTGTTCTGACCGACGTAGCGCAGCGACGTACTGATGTACGCGGCCGGCGGCCCGAAGAGCGAACAGGCAACGATCGGATTGTCTTTACGCCAGTATGTCAGACAAGCCAAGCGCAGTCCCCACACACTCATCCGCCCACACGCCCACAGCCCACAGCCCACAGTCACGCAGAGAATGCCAAGCTTCGCTTCGAGCGGTACGGTGCGGCGTACTATCAGCTTCGTTCACATCTTCACATGACCCATGAGGTGCATTACTGTCATTACTGCCTGATCTGACGACCGGCAGAGGAGGCGGTGGGTCACACAGTCACACTACTGAGGATCCGGAGCCGAGAGACAAGGCGTACCGACGTAGCAAGTAGCCAAGTTGGTCTTGTGCGTACCCAGCGTACGGAAATAGACGAAATGGCCCCTGCGCCGGCAGACGCCCTTGCACAGGCCACAGGGCCGGGCAAGCCACTCAGGTTTGCCCCAGGTCGGATCAGGTCCTCGATCCTCGTATGCAGTCATCGACATGCGCACAGGCATGCCTGTGCGTTGGAATCTGCGTTACGACATTGCGAGACCCGTGCTCACCCCTCGACTTCTCCGGCATGGCGGCGCGTAGGTGAGGCACGCACATCTGCGGCACAGAGGAGGCGGTATGTACCCCGATGTCGGCGCCGCGGTCGAAAGATGCGGAGCATCGTGACAGAGGCACCCGGAGACATAGTGACGGCCGTAGGGTGGCAAGGCGTCGAGGGTGGAGATCCGTATGCATAGGGCCATCTTAAGGGCTGGGGACTCGGCGCTGAGGAGATATGACAGCTGACCGAGGCAGGTCTTGGCGGACCCTAGCACCGAGAGCACCACTCAGGAATCCGAATACGCAGCACATGATGTCAGCGCTTTGCCTGGCATGGAATGAACGAGGTGAGCCGTCATGCAGGCCTCGCAGACGTCGCAGACGTCGATGCGCGCTGCTGTCTGACGCCGAAGCTAGAGGATCAAGGGTCTCCGATGTCATAGGCCAAGTTGCCCGATAGTGGTGCCCGCGGCCGAACCGATGCAGGCCCTGCGTCATGACCTTGCGATCCTCCTTGCATCTTAGTTTCCTAGCTACGTCTTGCACAGCCCGCTCTATTCCTAGCCAATGCAGTACATGCCTATCCGTGCAGATCCATGCAGGTAGTCGCCGTCGTCAAGTGGTCAAGTGATCAGTAGAGAACATGGGAATCTCAGGTCTGCACTCGTCCCAAAGGTGCACTCGGCGCCCAGCCATCGCCTCATGTCGGCTATCGAGGGTGGGTCGGGTGTCCATCTGCTGGAGGCACGGCTCGTGACGCTGCTTAACTGCCCCCGGGTACACCCGGCGGGCTGCACGAGCTGGCTGCGAGGTACGATCGGGTCGCTCTATGGTGGATTTGGATCCGTCGCCGGCAGTAGCGGAGGAATAGAGTTCTGGATCGGGGCAAACGAGCAGGAGACGGACCCAAGACTTGCACGCTGAGCTACGAGATGACCAGCCATCTGAGCGTACACACCCACCCCTCGCGCTCCCCCACAGCAGGCGAGAGGGACATATTCTGGACAACTGCAAGCCTTCAGTGCCGATCACTCCCACAATCTCGGAGTCGTATGCATGCAGCTTGAGAGTTTGAGGTGCAAAACTCTGTTCTTTTCGATTGACACTTGCCCAAACCCAGAGTTGGAATGTGGAGATGTCCGAGATTGCGGTTCTTGTCATATTGGGTGGCTGGCACAATTCACGGATGCGACCTCGCTTCTATGGTGGCTGGGCGCACATCTGGATAGGCTCTCCTCCGGTTTTTTGGGAGTGAAGAGAATGCATGTGCGAGGCACATTACTAAAAATGGGGAGGATCTGAGAAGTGGAAGAGGCGCGGAATAGATAGTTGACGTGGCGGAGAGGAAGGGGAAGAGAAGGCACACCCGCTCCTCTTTGGCCCTGCACTCGAACCTACTCTGCGTACCTTTCCTCACCACCTCGACGACGTCTCGACTATGTAGGCGTGGCTGCTCATTGCAAGCGTCACGGAAAGCTGAGCAGCCCTGTTGTCGATCATGGAGGATCGCAACCCAGAATGACAGGTGACAGGCTTCTTGAACACCGACGTTACAAACATTGGCCCGAATGCCTTCGAGCGCGCCGAGATCACGCTGCGAACTCGCTTAGCAAGTGTTGCAACGGACGCCGGTCGCCGGTGCACATGCCTCCAATCCTTGCACCGCCATGCACGCCACGCATGATAAGGCATGGTAGCAGTAGCGAGCGTACCGAGACGTCGAGCACCGAGACACGACGGCCGCAGGCCTGGAATCCAGGTGAGACAGGCAAAGGAAGGGCGCAACTGTCATGCTGCCTTTTTAGTCACCACACCAATGATCAGAGAGATGCAGCCATGGGCAGCTCTGTCATGTCGCGAATCTACAGTTACATCGAAATCAGAACAAAGCAATATCCGGAAACTTCAGAATTCTCAGACAACAAATACTACAGGCCTGTAAGCCCGAGCTGCTCCAGCAGCGCCTTGTTCTCTGCTATTTGCTTCAGACGCTCAACCTCATAGTCGTTCTCATCGCCTGCATCACAGTTAGCCTTGACCTAATACACAAACTTACCTTGCACGGGCTTTCTTGCAGCGGCGAGGTACGCCTCGACGATCCGCTGACAACTTCTTCCTATGCGCCGATTGAGCTCGGCCGCCGTGTACCAAGCCTCCTCTTCTATCATTCCGTCGTAGCCCAGTCGCACAAGATACACGTTCCTCTTTCGGTGTATTCCTTTCTTCTGATACTTGTCTCGTCGCAAGCCGATGATCTCGACGCCTACAGTCAGCTTCAGCGTCGGGCGCCAAAGCTCAGCTGCCTCCGTCTACGATCTGGCGGTCGGTGGCGGGGCGACTGGGCGACGGGGCGACTAACCTTCGTTGCTGTGGTTGCTTGCGGCGTCGTAGGCATCCTCTGCCTCGTCTCCATTCTCCCCAGTGCCCTCAGCGTGCTCGTCGTCTTTGGCGTCCTCTGCCTTTGCTTCATCCTCAGCCTCTTGCAGAGCATCGGGCTGGACGTCCTCAGCCTCGACCTCGACCTCGATGCCTTCATCCTCCTCCTTCTTCGGGATCTCATGCTTTACCCGACCCTCGCCGGTTTCCTCCCTCTTCTTTGCCTTGTCCAGGACGTCGCGGCTGACATTATGCGCACGCATTCCGGCACGAGTAAGCCAGACTTCCTCATACAGGGGTGACGGTTGCAAACGAGGCCTGTTCTGTCCAAAGCGGACGAGGTGCTCAGGACCCTTGTCTCCCTCGCGCCAACCAAGGAGCTTGACCGGGTGCGCTGACGTCAGCTTATGTAACCGGTATGAAGCAGCCTCGAGTCAAAGGAAATTCTATGTCCCCGACAGCACGAGTACCTGGTGTATGTGTTGCAGTACTGGCAACCGGAGGACGGACGCTCACGCTTAGCGTCGAACTCCTGCACGAGACGGGACGATCCCACCATCACATTTGAGCGCGGCTCCCACGTGTCATCTCTGGGGCCATAGCCATCCCAGCGCACGATGTAGAAGTACTCCGGGCGACCTTGCTCATTAGGCTCTTGCTCGAGAGATCGCGCCAGGATCTCGGCGACCTCAAAGACCTTCCCTCCAGAAGAAGCCTGTTAGGTCAGCGATATCGATCGCTGCGGACATGCAGGAAGGAAGCTACCCAGGTTCATCATCTCTCGAAGAGACGAGTGATCTGCATCAATGAAGCGCACGATTACTCACCTTGCGTTGTTTGCGCTTGATGATGCGCGCCGGAGGCGGCGCTGTTATCGTCGCGCCTTTCGCACCAGGCGCGTAATGGACAGCGACATGCCGCTGCTGTTAGCTCGAGCTTCGGGCTTCAGTTCACCTCTCGCGTAGAGCGCCTGGGAGCTGTGGCCTTCCTAGTGATTGCCATAATCAGTGGCGACCTGCTTTGAGGTGGATGGTGGATGGAGTCTTCTCATTGTCATGAGCGAGGAAGGCGCGCCTTGTGAGAGCCCTCCACTTCGGAACGCGTGCACGGAGTTGAATCAGACTCCGTGATGTCAAGAGAAAGTTGAGAGCTCAATCAACGACTCGTCGCTCTGCATGCGTCCCACCACTACTTCAAGTCGACCAGCACTTCCGTGAACACCAGCAATCAGTTCAACATGCTAACCAACCACTTCATCAAAACATTTGAGACCAACGCCATGCAGCGATATCTCGGAGCCCCGTTGCTCGTTTGTTGGTGGGCTTCTGTTGCAGGGTCGTTGTATTCTGAACCTGAACGTAGATCCGAGGAAGTTCCTGAGACCCTTCTCCGCCTTCGATTTTGGCCTGCTCGTTTACCTCGCAGCCTCCGGGAGGACATCGTTCTGTCACCCTTGCACCGCCGAACCCGACGGCGGACACCGCCTTAAGCCTCCCCGGGAAGATGCGGTGAGAGCTCCCTGCTCGTCCGGAACGGTGATCAACAACGTGGTCCCTCGCACCTCTAAATTTCGATCGACTGACCTATCTCAACCCCCGGATTCCTCGGACATGATCGATATGACGTACTTTGACACAGGGCGACTCCATGTCCGACGGCGTACTTCTTCTGCCGCACCGTCACCTGCGCACGAACGCTCCGCCGAGGTCCGCAGCGTACGTCCGTCTCGTTTAAGCGCCTCAGGCGGTAACAAGACGCTCGCTCGGAGCACCCCGCGGATCCGATAGAGATCTAATGTCACGCAGACCCACATGCCCGCACAACTGATGATCAAGCATAGTTTCGAGAATCAGACTTAAAAGACAGGCTCCAAGTCTCTTCGTTTGCCCACCTCAACAACTTCAACATGCTCGCTATCTACGCCCTCCTTCCTCTGCTCGGGCTTACGCTCGCTGCCCCCATCGAGAAGCGTTATAACCGCGTCCGTATCCGCTCGGGCCGTGATGGGAAGTGTCTTACGGCTGCTCCCAAAACTTGGGTCGGTGCGCCGGTGTACACTACCGACTGCTCCAATGCGCTGCTCTGGTCTATCAGCCCCGGTTCCGGCTCGGTTCTGATGGGCTCACTCGCTCTTGACGCTGGCGAGAACCCTCACAACAACGGAGCCCTCAAGGTCTGGACATCGTACCCCGGCTTGTTCCAGCAGACGTGAGTTCATGAAGCCTAGAGCGGCCAGAACTGACCTGAACAGCTGGTACCTCACCGATGACAACCGCATTGCTATTACTGGCGGCGACCAGTGTCTTGACGAGGGCGACAACGGCGTCCAGACGTACCAGTGCACCCCCTGGAACGACAATCAGGTCTGGTACATCGAGGACGAGAACGGACAGCCTCCTACGAACCCCACTCCTTCCTCCTCCTCATCCGCTGCTCCTTCGCCCTCCGCCACGGACCCCACTGACCCACTCCCCGAGATCGCCAAGAGCCAGTACATCTTCCCTGACCCCAAGGACGGCGGCCGCCGTATCCGCATCACCGGCCGCGACGACCTTTGTGTCGTCGTGCAAGGCGGCTACCCCGGCCGCGGCGCCGCTGTTCAGATGTGAGTTTAGGCTTCGGATTCCGTAAAACTGACAATCAGCTCGTCCTGCATCGCTAGCAATGACACCTTCATCGCCGAGCACCTCTGGGACATGCCGCAGGGCACCGGCCAGGTGAAGCTGCACGCCAACCCCAACCTCTGCCTCGACGCGGGTGACAACCCGGCCAACGGCTCTGGCATCAAGATCTGGGACTGTCTCGATGTGCCCCAGCAGAAGTGGACGCTCGAGGATGGTCTGCTCAAGCTCAAGGATTTGAACCAGTGTCTCGACGTTGAGAAGGAGTCAACCCGCTCCTACTCGAAGCCCTACATCTCGCTCAAGGACCTCCAGACCTGGGAGTGCTCCAAGCCCGACCCCTTCCAGCAGTTCCACCTTTACGACGGCCCCGGCAACGACGGTTCCCAGTAAACGCCCTGACATTCAACAACTAACGCACATTGCACGGACAATGAACACGACGGACTATGCATAGCTTTCACGACCATCCAAGGGGTTCTGACCCTCGTTGTCGCGACATACGCATCTGACTTCAACCAATGTGTCCTCGCAGGCTACGCTCACCGATTCCTCTTCCACTGACCGATGTCCCCAGCACTGTGTTCATCCACTTCACTAATTTGAAAAGCTTTCCCCCAGATATCCCAGCAGGAATTTTGTCCAGTATGTGGCACGACTCTCTGTAGCCTCCGGGCCACTCGACGGGCTTAGTCGCCCCAGAAACCGCCGTTGGCCCTACCGCAGTTGACATTAGAGCGGCACGAGTAGTACAGACCCTGGTTAAAGGCCTCGTCGAAGTCAGGGAACCAGCCGCCACCGCGGCAGACCCAGACGACGTCGTTCGGAACGTGTTGTCCGGACAAAAGGACTTTGTATCCGGCAACGTGCTTCTCGCAGTTCCCGTGGCCGAAGCTGTTCAGACCGTCGAGCCAGGGCTGAGGTGGGTCGAGATACTTTCCGAGAGCGGCGAAGAGGTAGGCGTCCTCTTTGGCCCAGTCGTGGAAGATGTGTTCAATTGTGGCGGGGTAGTAGCGTGCTTCGAGATGGGCTCTGGCGGCCAGCTCGGCGGCGGCAGCACCACCGGCAGCAGGGCCAACGGGGGCAGCAAGGCCATCGGGGGCAGCAGGCGCCGCGGCGTCACCAACCGAGGCGGCGACGGAACCAGGGGGAAGGGCGACGATGCCAGCAGGAGCGGCGGCGCCACCAGGTTCACTGACAGCTCCGGCAGCGGCAGGAGCGGCAGGAGCGGCAGGGTAGGGGCGGCGGTGGCCGTTCCAGCGAGTAGCCCGACAGTGGCTGTCACAAAGCTTGTAATCGCAAGCATATGTAGCGTGGCAATCTTGTAAGGTGTTTACGAGGAGGTTCAGGAGGGTCTTAGGGTTGGCGGCTTGCTCGCACGCTGGACACAAACGACCTCCTTTTATACCTATCACGTCGAACACGGAAACCTGAAAGATCTGCTGCGTCCTCACCAGCTCACCCCAAGAGGGCGCTGACACAGCTTTGAAATCGACGTTAGGTCGAGAGTGCCCGCTCCGACGCCGAACTACAGCGGCTAGTTCCATCTGTGCCGGGAGTTCCGGCGAGTCCTGTGCATGACTGCGCAGTTAGCATCAGAGCGGAGCGAGTGGGATGTGGGTTGCATAACCTGACGGCTTCAGACGACGGCATGAAACGACCTAATAGATGAGCCAAAGGTGCGGAGTCAGGTTTGGTGAGCGGCGATGGCTAGATCGTACTACAGCCGTCAGTGCTATTCTCCAAGCGTCGGCGGCAGTCTGCACTACACGTTCCGAAAGTGATTGGATCGTCATTGGCTGTATTGTTAAGGCCGGTGCTAACGGCGGTCAGTGATTTAGGTCATGCAGAGAAGGTGTGCTGCCTGGGTAGGATATGCTGGGCTGAGCCAGGATGCGGTCTCCGCCTCGTTAACTTGTACCCAGAGGTTCGCGACCACACATACCTGCCAAAGGTGCCGGTAGCCCAGCTCTAACTTTTAAACTATTCCGCGCCGACTACGCCAAGAGTCCTCAAAACGGATAAGGGCCAACAGCACCCACCTTTTCGTTGGGCGCAGAGGAGGACGATAGCTGGGCAATCTTCGGAGGGGTACTGACACCACCCACCAGGGTCATCCACCCCCCCTCCGCCACTTGCACCCTCACACCCTCGCACCTCTTCAACTCCAAAAACAACCCTCTCTTCTTCTTGAGGAGAGGGGGTATACATCCAGGGGGAATCGAACCCCCACCGCATCCATGGCAAGGATGCATGATACCATTTCACCATAGATGTTTGATGACCTCCTTCGAACGATGACGGACTCGGTGGCGGCGCCGCGAGGGCGAGCTGAAGAGCTCTTTCCCTAGGCTGTCCAGGACATATTTCTGCAACACAGGATGAAGTCTGCGTTTTGGGAACAACCAACTGGATTGCACATCGATGGTGGTGAGGACAGAGGGTACGTCACGCCGAGAGGTCGCTGAGACGATGCAGTTCTGGAAGATGGCTGTTTCGGACCAGCGTATTGACACTCGCTTGAACGAGATGCCCGACACATCAGCAACGACAACCAGAGGTACCAGTCATGCATGTTGTGGATTTACTGATCCTCGATTATAAACTGAAGTGGACGGGGAAGTGGCGGTATCTCTTTAGGTCGGCAACTTTAGTTGCCCCAAAGGCCACCGTCGTTGACGCCGCAACCGTTCGCGTCGGGGCAAACGCGATTGAGACCTTCCTTCTCAGCTTGCTGGTAGTTGGGGAACCAACCGCCCCCGTGGCAAACCCACATGGTCCGAGCCGGACGCAGGGTGCCAGACATCACCGACCCGTCTGGGCTCTTGCGGCAGTTTCCTCCGGCGAAACCCTTCATGTTCTCCTCGAACCACCAATAGTCCCTCCACCCATTGATGCCGAAGATGTACGCGCCTGGGTTCTCCTGGACGTAGCGGGTGAGGGCAAGGAAGAGCTCTGGGGTCAGGCCATAGCGAGCTTCGAGCCTGTGGTCTGAGGCAGGTGTGGCCGGCGCAGCGGAGGCGGCCGTGGCGAGAAGGCCCATGGTGGCAGTGAAGAGGCTGGTAATTGCGACCATGTTGTGCAGTTGTAGGGCGGGTTATGTCGCAGGAGAGACTAAGTGTCGGTGCTGACTTGTTCATCGACTGCAGACAGGCCTCTTATATATGCGGCCTTGAGAGAACGGTGGCTTGAGCGACGGCGTTCCGTGTGAACAGTGCTCAGCGGGATCGGCGAAGTCTCAAGTGTGCCCGCATCGTCGCCGGCACCATGTGCTTCAGTGACGTTGACTGAATAAGTTGTCGTTGGGATGCAGGGCTCTTGCAGTCGCCGTCGCCGTTTCAATGAGTCAGTGACATGTTCTGACAATGTGAGTGGGGTGCTTGCTGCGTTGATTCATCGATGGCCGACGTGACCGAGGGCCTCCGCTGGTCGGTTGTGCGGTTGACCAGGTCGCGGAGCCGTAGTTCTCGTCATTATTCAGGTCATTAGTTGCGGAACATGAAGCTTATCGAATGGCGACACGTTCTTCCCCGGGCGCTAATGGATATACACAAGGCTCACGTCGTCATGTCCTGCAGGTGGAAGGCATGTAGATGGACTAGAGAAGCGGTGTACGGTCATGGAAGCCGTCGCCGTGCGCTAGTCCGGTGCCTGAAATCGGTCCAAACCTGTGGTCCGCCTGCCTTTATCTACCATCTCGGCGCGTTCATTGGGTGGCCTCATTGCGTAAGGCGGCCTCGCGGCCACTTGAGAGCACATGCTTACCGTGCAACCAGTCAGGAAAGGGCGGGGTAGCGAGATAATGACGGCGAGCCTGCCCGTCCAAGTCAATCGGAAGGCAAGGGGGAAGAAGCGCACTCGGATACATCGAAGTCGGTGCCAATACTCAGCAGCGGAACACAAGGCAGAGAGTGGAACGGGAGTGCGGACGTGTAACAGAGCAAAGGCTGCGTAGTACATAGTACAGTGAAGGCGGTCGGAACCTCACCGTCGAGGCTACAGGCAGACTCCGCTAGTCCCAATATCTCCCACGATCACCCTGCTGGAAGTCTGTTGGAACCTCACCGCTCGAGTTCAGATGAAGCTCCGTCCAGTTTCAACATTTCCCACGATTGCTTCCACCACGCCCCTTGCGCACACAGCACACGTACGACAGCAGAATGTCTGCATGCATCCTCGACATGCGACAGGGTCCAGACGCCCAACGAACTCGCGGTTGGAAAGGCTTCGCTCATTTCAGTGTCTCCCACGGTGTCTTCTTGGCAGCACGTATGTAGACAGCCGAGAGATGTGTGGCTCGTCACTCAGCTCGATTGCAGATTGACCACAGACCAGAGTCGCCAGAAACCAATGGAGGAGGTTATACTTGAAACATTCCGCCCAACGACAATTCGAGCAGGCTGCACGCTGGCCCACTGGCAGCTCAGCGCGAGATGTTCGTCATTGCTCGACCCAACACAGTGGTATTGTCAGGGTCTGCCTGACGTGCGGTATGCTGTACTCATGGTCGGACGACCGCAAGTTTGCTATCTCATTCCGCTGATCCGCCAAGAACACCAGAAACAGTCAGTGGACTCCAGCAGGAGAGCAAAGTGTTGACTGATAGGGTGGTGGCGACAAACGTGTGACTGCTTCGCGCTCTCGTTGCTCCGCATCTTCCGCAGGCCCGTGGGCATGTGTCCGTGCTGATCTCATCGGCTTGGCCGTGCACCGTGCTCAGCGTCACGCCAGTTGCTATCACTGGACAATGAGTGCTTGGCGTCTCCCGTTCAGTTTCCGTTCGCATCGGCCACGGTTACGAATCTGACCCCATACTGGTGAGATTTCGTGGTATATCTGCGGCAAAAATGGGCGCTGGTGGCGACTCTGCGAGTGAGAGATCTCAGTGTCTAGACCGGGGCTCGCCTGGATTCGCCAACGCGGCGAACGGTCGGTGAAACTGGAGACCGGTCTGGTCCTCACCCTCATTGATCGCTCGAGTCGAGGCAAGGGTGATCTCTCTTGCTACCGATGATCCGAGGATTTCCATTCCTATCAATCTGCAACTACTTCGGCCACAGATCGAAGGCGTTCTGGCGTTCCGGGTTCCGGCGGCTGGGCGGTCCAGAGCAGCCCACGTTGTGCGGTATCAGAGATCAGGCGAATTGCAGGCCCGGAAAGATGCCGACTTCTTGGCAAACTTTCGACAGACCCTTTTTGGGATCCTGACGGTGCTTGGCCGAAAGATTTGCTCTCTACCCGTAGAACCTCCCTTCACAAGTGCGAAGTGCATTCGTGCAGTGCCCGAACAGCATGTGTGCGCTCTCGCGGGCGACAGAGGGTTCATAGGTATGTTTCCCATAGCCATCCATCCCCTCAGGTAATCTGGAGAGCACAAAATGAATGGAGATGAGACCCACACAAACGCATCATTGAAGCAGGAACGCCCTCGGGCGCTCGCTTGCGCTGACATTGTGGCTACATTGTGGAGCAAGGAAGCAGCGGCGCGGAAAGTAGGCGCAAGGCGTACGGCACACGGCGTATGGCGCGCTTGGAGCTGGCTTGGCTGCTGTATTCGGCGATCATCAGGTGGAACTGTCGCCAGTCCCCCGTCAACGTCAGGGCTGTCTGGACCACTTTCACCAGGTTGAATGCGGAACATGTGGGTACATGCTCGGACGGACTATCTCGCACACACTTACGCAGCGAGCTCACTCCGCATCAGCTTGCGGGCGGCACTCCAGGCTGAGGAAAGCGAGCGGTCGCCATGTCGGAACGTCGGAAAGCCAAGAATGCCGGATCCACGCTCGGATTCAGGCACGAGTCAGCATCTGCCAAGGTGCCGAGCTTCTTGGCAGGTGTAAGTGAGACGAATCGACGAAAAGAGCTGCACACACGTTCGTGTGCATGCAAGAAACGTTCGTTTCTCGTCGCTAAGAATCGAAACATTTGCCTTTTGCATGCACACGACCGCATGCAGAAGGAGGATCCGGCAGCAGACCGGCAGGCGCTCGTGTGACTGGTCGTGTGCCGCGGCCAGTTGTCGTGCGAGCGCTCGTGTGACCTGTATAAGAGCTATGCATGTCCATAGCTCTTCTTGCTCATCCAACTCACCCTGCTCTCCGCCTGCAGCTGTAGGCTTCTGCACGCAGCCCGTCAACCCCAAGCGCAGAGCAAAACCACCAAAATGCCCACGCTCCACCAGTACGACTACATCTTCGCCATCGGCCTGCTCTTCGCGGCGCTCGATGCGTACAACATCGGTGCCAACGATGTCGCCAACTCGTTTGCGACGTCGGTCGCCTCCCGTGCTCTGACTATGCGTCAGGCGACGGTCCTCGCGGCCATCTGCGAGTTCCTCGGAGCTGTCCTCGTCGGTGCCAAGGTTTCGGACACGATCAAGAACGGCATCATCGACCTGACGCTCTTCAAGGGCAACGCCGGCATTGAGATGCTCGGCTTCACGTGTGCTCTCGTCGCCTCGGCCACCTGGCTCATGATCGCGACCAAGAACTCCTGGCCCGTCTCGACCACGTATTCCCTTGTTTCGGCTCTTGCCGGTGTCGGTGTCGCGACGGGCGGCGGTGAGGCTGTCAACTGGGGCTGGAACGGCGGCAAGGGTCTTGCGACCATCTTCGCCGGCTTTGGTGTCGCGCCCGCTATGTCTGGTGGCTTTGCCGTCGCCGTCTACCTTATCACCAAGTTCGCCGTCCTCGACCGCGCCAACTCGGTTATCAAGGGCCTGTACCTGTCGCCATTCTACTTCTTCACCGTCATCGCCGTCCTGACGATGTCGATCGTGTACAAGGGTTCCCCGTCGCTGAACCTCGACGACCTCCCCGAGGTGACTGTCGCGCTGGCCATTGTCCTGACCGCGCTCGTGTGTGCCATCCTCGCCGCGGTCTTCTGGCTCCCTTACGTCTACCGCATGGTCGTCAAGAAGGACCACACTCTCCGCTGGTGGCACTTCGTCTACGGCCCTCTCCTCTGGAAGCGCCCCGACCCCGAGCCGCTCCCCGAGGGCGAGGCCGGCAACACTCTTGTCAAGGACTACCGTGTTGTCGGTCGCGACTCGCCCCAGGCTACCCCCGAGGGCCAGGTTGAGGACCCCGAGAAGGGTGGCGCGGATGACAAGAACGCCACGACCCCCGAGATCGAGGACACCCACGTCTGCACTTGCCGCCCCGTCGTTGGCCTCGCCGAGGTCGACCAGAAGGAGGAGACCATCGGCCACAAGCTCCACCCCCGCAACGTCTGGATCTGGATCAAGGCCCTTCCTAGGCGCATCCTGTCTGGCGCCAGCGTCGACATCCACGAGCGCCAGGCGCAGAGCGGCGAGTCGGAGCGCCTCAAGAAGATCCACGCCATCGCCCACCAGTACGACAACGACACGGAGCACCTCTACACCTACCTGCAGGTCCTGACTGCGTGTGTCAACTCGTTCGCTCACGGCGCCAACGACGTCTCGAACGCCGTCGGACCCTTCAGCGCGATCTACTACATTTGGTCCACGGGCAACAACCTGGGCAAGAACGTCCCCACGCCCACTTGGGTGCTCGTCTTTGGTGCGGCGTTCATCGTCATCGGTCTGGCCACGTACGGCTACAAGATCATGGCCGCGCTCGGCAACCGTCTGACGCTGCACTCGCCCTCGCGCGGCTTCTCGATGCAGTTCGGCGCCTCGATCACCGTCCTCCTCGCGTCGCAGTACGGTATCCCCGTTTCCTCGACCATGTGTCTCGCCGGCGCCACTGCCGGTGTCGGACTTGCCTCGGGCGGCCCCAAGGCCGTCAACTGGAAGGCCTTTGGATGGATTGTCCTCGGATGGATCCTCACTGTCCCCGTCGCCGGCACGGCGGCCGGATGCCTCATGGGCCTCTTCATCAATGCTCCCCACTGGTAGAGCACTTAGACACTGTTCATAGACTCAGGATTAGACAGAGCGGTGCGCCGCTATGTATACACTAGTGTACTTAGGTTACAGACTGGGCTGGGTGCATCGCGGGAGATCACTGACCACTGGTAGTACGGCAGGCAGCCTGCAAGTAATGCACGAGAGAGGTGGTTCTATTGATTATACGCGAAGGAAGGCCACCAAAGTTACGTGAGAGGCGGACTGCCACGCTCCGTCCGGCACAATGTAGCGCGTGGTGAGGATCATTGCCGCGGTTACAGCTGCGGTGCTCGACGATCGCCGCCGCGATCGAGAACACGGACCGTGCATGCAAGGGGGTCAGATAAGGTGAGATCGTCCGCAATCTGATGCACGTTGAAGCAATAGGAGGCCGGAAGCCGGAGGTACCGGATGGCCGGCTTTGTCAGCGGCCCAGCGGAAGGACGGAAGAGCAGAGGTTGTGGCGCCTGGGCCGAACTTGATACGACACCACCTGGTGTCATGGTAAACAGTCTTAGATGATGTCTTCTGCACCACAAGTTAGCCTCCGGAGCACCCGGTAGAAGCATGCTATTTACGCCCTCGACCGTTCAACTGCTCAACTGCTTCCTTCCTCCATCACTGGGCGTCGTGGAAGCTGTAGGAGAAGGTGGAGAAGCTTGGAGGCACAGCGAAAGCGGACAGCGGGACCTTTACGACCTTCGCTGCCGCAGCTAGAAGCTTCTTTTGCGCGCTCTGCGGCTCCCTTCGCCTGGAACCTAGATTAAGATGTACGCGCTGCTCACACAGCACTCACAGCACACCGCGCGGCGTCAGCTCCGCCTTTGCGCCCGAGCGCAGCGTGCGCTGTGTGGGCTGTGGCGTGCAATATTGGATCGGCATCAGATCGGCGCATCATTCTGTGTCGGGCGCACTGTGCAACGCGTGGGCGACAGCCGCTGCGGTGCGCGGAGAGGGAACGTGGGCGCGTGGGTATAGGTACGTGGACAGCAGCTGAGCAAGTCGACCGTGTGGGCAGGAGGGCGCAAGAGGGCTGGAGCCAAGGGCGGAGGCTGAGAGGTGAGTGTGCAGCGATCCGGACTCAGACGGATAGGCGCCTAGGGTCCAGGTAGATGATCGAAAGGATGCAGATGCGCAGACACAACACCGTACGCGATACACGAGTACAACCGTACACGCGGGTGAGTACTCATCCGGCCTGTAAACGTTGCAGAGGCGGTAGGCAAGATCGTCTTGCCGGGTCAACTCGCAACTTTGACGAAGCAACATTCTTCACAAACACCCATTCCATCGACCTTCCTCACTCCTTCGCAGTACTGATTCCGACTCAATACGGCCTTGATCGAACACAGACATATGGGTCCCAACATACCCGCTAGTCACTCTGCAGATGGGCCGGCCATTGCTCCTCTTCCCCCATCTTCCCTTCATCCTCCCCAACGTCCGCCGCCGCCACAGCGCAATGCGTCAAGCTCCTCCCTCACGCTGAACAAGGGTACCTCAAAGGAAGTGCAGCGCCAGAAGTCGACCTTCATCTCTTGCACACACTGGTGCGTGGACTCTACCTCATCAGCTCCGCTGGGTTTGGTACGTTAGCTGACAACAGCCGCGCGCGTAAGGTCAAGTGCTCCGGCGACAAGCCTCTTTGCACCAACTGCTTGAAGCGCGGTCTGAACTGTCACTATGATGCCTTCGTCAAGCGCCGCGGACCTGACAAGGAGCCCGGAGGTGAGTCCTACGAAGGTGATACCGGAGGCAGACGTGCGATGTGGTGCCGCAACGGAGGCAGAGAGTGGGCGTGGGCTGTGTACTGCCGTGTGTATGCTGACGCAGCAGGCCGCCTGCGTGCTCGCGGGACGTTTGTGAACTACGCCGCCCCCAGGAGTGGAAGCAATGGTGCCGTCCATGTCAACCGCGTTCCTTCTGCGCCGCATGCGCCCGGTGTTGTGGGCATGGGCTTGGGCGGGCAACAAGGTCCGGTGCGCTTTGCGCGGATCGTCTCTGCCGGTCCGCCGCTGAGCCACCTTCGCCACCCTGCCGGACCGGGTCTTGGTATTGGTCTGGGCAGGCCGTCCGAGTCGAAGAACCACAGCGTCGCCGATCCCCCACACTCCACCCCGCATGCACCGCAGGCTCATGCGCAGATGCAGACGCAGCAGGACGCCATCCAGGCCGCGCACCGCGACGGATGGGCGCTGCTGCTCAAGGACTACACCTTGCCCCAGCTGACGCAGATCTGCCACCTTTTGTAAGCTCATATTCAGGAATTCATCAGCTAATGGCAGCTTCGTCCAACTCGACTTGTGGTTCAACTTCTTCCACCAGGGCCTCTTCTTCCGCAATCTTGCCTCGCAGCGCACGCCGCCACACGTGCTCTGCGCAGTGCTAGCCCACACGACGCTCTTCACCGAGGGCGATACCAAGCGCGGCCAGCTCCGCGCGCTGTACTTCGCTCAAGAAGCTGGGCGCCAGATCGACACCTGCCTCACCGCCGGAGCGCGCGATGTCGCGCTAGTCCAGACCAGCGTCCTGCTCGCCGCGTTCGAGTTTCAGCCGCACGTGCACCAGAACCTGTCCCGCGCCATTGCCGCATGGTCGTTCGTCGAGAGCTGCGCGACGTCGTGCATTCCCGAGTCTCAGGAACCGCCAGAAGGAGGCGCTAAGGGCACCACTGCGGCCATCGAGGCGGCCGAAATGAGGAGACTCGACTGGACGTTCTCCCAGCTCTCGGCCAGTTTGACGATCTGGGACTGTCTGCTGGACAAGGCGCACGGGCAGTCGTTGCCGTCGCTGTCTAGGGTGAGCTCCCCAGCGTGACGGTAGCTGACAAACAGCCCACTCTGTTCATCGGGAAGGAAGCCAGCGCCACGCCAAAGGGAAAGCCTTGGCGGCTGTATCAGCAGAGTATCTCCCTGTGGTGAGCTGTCCTACCCCAGTTGCGTAGCTGACAACAGGCACCAAGCCGTTCGGCTAGCACATGGCCCAACGCACGCGCAGATGGTCAACTACGCTCGTTCACTTCTGCGCGAAGCTCAGGCGACGCAAGACTCCGGCACGCGCAACTACGCCTGGCAAGCGACGGACTGGACCAAGGTCGCCTTAGGCATGCTGGGCGATCTGGACGACAGCGACGTCGCGCGCTGGATGGCCGACCAGAAGAAGGCGCTCATGAATGTCTCGAACCCGACCGATCTGCAGGAGAGGCAGCAGCTCCAGTCCTTCTGCTGGTGGTACCTCATGGTTGCTTACACGTGAGCTGCACGAGCCAGTTCCCAGCTAACGACAGGACGATCCGACTCGCAAACTACTCGCCTGCCAACAGGCACAGCGCGGAGAGCGTGCTCGCCGAGGTCGACAAGGCGCTAAACATCATCAGTGGACAGTGGTCGTGTTCTGGTGAGTTTTGTGCGCCAAAGTTGAACTGACATGCAGCTCTCGAGCATCAATGCAACATCATCAAGCAATGGCAGGCGCGCCTGCACGACCTGGCTCACTGAGCCGGGTGCATGCAGCATGCCCACTCGGCCGGGCGGCGTGCCTGTGATCCGGCCAGAGTCGGCAAAGGCCGGCCCCGAAACCCTGAAGTTGGCCGCGGCCAAGCTGCAGATCTCTCGGCCAAGCAACTCTATCCTATGACGCCGAGCTCGACTCGGCCATAATAACTGTCCGACTTCCAACTTTCTCCTCTCATCTGCTCTTCCCTATTCCCCTCTTGCTCCTCCTCGCCTCTCACTTCTCCCCCCTCATACCAAAAGTACAAGCGAAGCACAATGTCGGCCTACGGCGCTATCCAAGTTAAGCCCCTCGACGCCGACCTGCCCACCTACTCCTACACCCTGCCGAATGGGGAGCTCCTGACGACGCACGCGGTGCACAACGGCAATGCGCCTGCTGCGCTGATCGCGTACCTCCACGATGTATTCAGTGAGGAGCTCGAGGGTGAGTTTGTTACCTGGCTTATAGTCTAACTGACGCGCAGAGGGCAAGACGTACCCCCAAGAAGGACCCATGACGCTCGACGAGTTCAAGAACTACTTCTTCGGCGCGACGACGATCATCGGCGTCCTCTCGCCCGCGGGCACGGATCCGAAGGCAGTGCAGACGCTCGAGGACGCGCACGCCGGACGGGACTGGAAGGAGTGCGTCGCCGGGTGCTACTACATCAAGCCCAACTACCCGGGGCGCAGCAGCCATGTGAGTCGGTTCTCGCCCTTCCAAGGCAGTTTCCTTCGCCTACCTAGCTGCTTGCTTAGTCGCTCTCAGCTGACAGCAGAACTGCAACGCGGGCTTCCTCGTGCCCAACTCGCAGCGCGGCAAGAAGATTGGCAACGCCCTCGCCGAGTCGTACACGCACTACGCCCCGGCGCTGGGATACCGCGGCTCAGTCTTCAACCTTGTGTACGAGAACAATGTCGCGAGCCTGCGTCTCTGGGAGAAGCTCGGCTTCACCAAGGTCGGCGTCATTCCCGGTGCTGGACGACTGAAGACGGGCAACGGCGACGAGGAGAAGTACTACGACGCGCACATCATCTACAAGTCTTGGGTCTAATGGCATTTGTGCGTATGTGATATGATATGATATAGATTTGGGATGCACGGAGTGTGCCTGTTAATGTACGGTGATGACATGCTTGAGGGTGTGCTGAAGGGGGAAGACGGTGAGGGTGCTCAGAGAGCAGTCTTGCGCGGCTCAGCGGGCTTGTCAGCAGCGGTGTCGGAAGCAGACGGCTCCTGGATAGGCTCGACAGGCTGGAAGATGTGCTCGCGGTAGAACTTGAGCTCGTTGATGCTAGCCTGAATGTCGTCCAGCGCGCTGCTGTCAGTTGTTTATTCCGACTTTTCAACTCACCGATGCGCGCTCTCCTTCTGTCGCGACTCCTTCTCCCGCTTGATGAGCTGCGGGTACCATCTCCGCGCGATTTCCTGTGCATCGTTAGCTTCCAGCGCCCAAGCGCGTAGCTAAGGAGTACGCAGCCCGTACTCACCTTGACACTCGACACGTCCACAATGCGGTACGACAGGTGCTTCATGACCTCGGGCATGCCGATGAGGAGGAATCTGCAGGTTAGCTGAGGACCGTAACCACAGAGCTGTAGAAGAGGACGATATACTGCAGATCGAACGTCTTCCTTCTGAGGAAGACAAGCTCAGACATCATGTACTCACCGCATGTCGGCATGCACCGTGCTGCCAGCAAGCAGACCGGCGCCCTTCTCCGGGATCCACTTCTGAATGTACTCGAGCACCTTCTGCGCGACGTCGGCGTACCTGTACGGCGAGTCGAGACACTGCTGAATCAGACCCGAGTTGCCGTGTGTCGTCTGGCACCACTCGTCCATGCTGGTGTACGTCAACTTCTGGTTACTTCTTCCGCCTCCAGCTGAGAGCGGCATAATCACACTCACCCGTCAAGGAGAGCCTTGTCCGTGTTGATAACGTAGCAGATGCCGTCGTCGACCGGGTTCAGGTGTCCGTCGGTGATGATCACGGCAATCTCGATGATGACGTCCTTGCTCGTGTCGAGGCCGGTCATCTCGCAGTCGACCCAGACCATCGGTCCGTCGTCGTACGTGAGCGGCGTGTCTCTGGCCATTATGGTCGGAAGGTTTGATAAGATAAGAGAGTGGAGAACGACTGAAATCTGACGAGTCGAATCGCGAAAGCGCTTCGAATTATTTGTTTACATCCGGCGACCACCGGGAAAAACGTCATGCGCAATCTTCAAACACGTGCAACACTCATTTTCTTGCGGACTGCCGGACACGGATCTCATCACGGAACACAAATGTATACAAGATTTATCGGCCACCGTTGCCGCCAGCACCGCTCTGGCCGCCGAGGCCGCCCTGGCCCATGAACTGCTGCGCGAGGTCGCGCATAGCGGGGTCCTGAGCGAGCTGGTTGAAGTCGGGCATGCCGCCGCCGTTCTGCATGTTGTCCGCCATGTTGCGGAGGGTGGGGTTGTTCATGAGACGCTCCATGCCGCCGTTGGCCATGAGCTGCTGCGCCATCTGCATCATCTGGGGGTTCTGCATGAGCGAGGCAATGTCGGGCATGCCACCACCACCACCGCCGAGGCCGCCCATGAGGCCAGCGAGAGACGAAAGGTCGGGCATGCCACCAGCGCCGGCGCCAGCGCCTCCACCGCTGCGCGGCTCACGGTCCGAAACGGCGTTCGACTTCTGGTCGTCGGCACGGCTCTTCGCGGTCGCGAGGGAGTTCTTCATGTTCTGGTTCGAGGGGTCGATCTTCAGTCCGTTCTCGTACGCCTCGACGGCATCGGCGAACTTGTTCAGGCAGTAGTAGGCGTGACTGATGTTAGCTTCGTGTGCGACCGCGAGCTTACCCAAGACGAGAGTATCCCTTGGCGAACTTGGGGTCAAGCTCGATCGCACGCTCGGCGTCCTCGACGGCAGACTCATGCTTGCCCAGTCCGCTCCAGGCGGCAGCACGGTTCGAGTAGTAGACGGGGTTGGGGTCAAGGGCGATGGCGGCAGTATACTCCTTAATGGCGTCAGAGTACTTCTTCTGAGACATGAGCTGGTTGCCCTTGACCTTGTGGGCCTCGGCCTCCTTCTTGTCGGCCTCAGAGGGTCCCGAAGAGGACGAAGAGGCCTCAGCGGCGGGCGCCTGGGAGGCAGCCGGGGCAGACTTGCTCCTCGTCTTGTTGAGGACGTCGAGAAGGCTCAGGAGCGTGGCGGGTGCAATCGAGTAGGCAGCCTTGTCCTCAGCCGAGTCAGGGTCAACACCGAACGACTCTCCAAGACACTGGACTGGTCGTCAGCTCAGGTCAGTTGGGCGTAACTCACTCGCCACCTCGAGCGACTCCTTGTCATCGTCCTTGATGGTCCCGTCCTCGGCGGACTGGCGGAGGAAGTCGATGCTGCAAAGTCAGCTACACAGCGGGAGTTCTGAGCTCACAAGTTCCAGACGAGCTGCTTTTTCCTGGCGTCAGACATGGTGGTATGGATAAGTTGAGGAAGAGTTGGGACCAAGGGGCGAAAAGAAGGAAGGTGGTGGAATGACGCATCGGTCGTGGGCCGGTGGTGTCCAGCTCCACGTGGCCATACACGCCCAACCGGGGTGAAGGGGCACCGCAGCCGGTAGCGTCAGCGTCAGCGTTCTGATGGCTTGAGATGCTCCCTGCGAACTGCTAGTGTAGTCCGATGTCGCACAGCATCTACCCAGAGTCAGATAGCCGTCTGGAAAGGACAGACTGCGCAGAGCGGTATGGGCAGTAGCTATGGACACTTGAGCCTCGGGCCGGCGATCAGCAGCCAAAGGAGGACTTCCCGCGCAGCGCGCTTGGTTTTGCCCGCAGACATGTGAGTTGCGACATATGTGCTGCTGTTTCCGCGTTCCAGCTACTCGTCGGTGTGCGATGGTGCCGGGCTACGTGCTCAGCAAGGGATACATGTACAATGGTCAAGCCGAGGCTGATGACCCCCGTGCCGACCAGCTGAGACACCCGAAAGCAACGACACAGACAGAAGCTCCTCCAGTGGTGGCGAAACGAGCAACCTTGCCTAGCCTGCATCGGCTTTGCAGCAACAGGCTCTGCAGTCCCTCTGCGCCTGCCTGAAGTAGAGATCCTCTCAACAGAATGCGAGGACGGGGGATGTGAGATCGCAGACGAGCGCAGATTCGGCGTTGCGCAAGTGTATATGCCTCCGCCTCGATCGACCGTCAACCGTGTTACATGTCGTGACCCTGACTGGTCCTTGCTACCATCCACTCCATCAGCCCATCGACGCACACTTCACGCCTAATCGGCATCCCGACGACATCAATCTTGCAGATCCTTCGCATCAGCGCGTGTCCAAGCATACCTACTGCCGGCACATACATCACTGCACCTCAACCCTGTCGCCATGTCCGTCCCGTCGGCCCCTGAGGGCCCGATGAGGATGCCCTCGGTGTCGCGACCGACTCGTCGGCCGTCTCAATCAAACCCGTCTGGAGCCTCTGTTGTCCGTCGGCCATCGCGAGCAGGCCACCAGCTTCCCGTTCCCCACAAGCCCCTCTCCCATCAGGAGGCCCTCGAGGCCCTGCGGTCTTTCCTCAAGGAGCGCTCCTCCTACGACGTGTTCCCCGTGAGCTTCCGCCTCATCGTCCTGGACAGTCAACTCAAGGTCAAGAAGGCACTGGACGTGATGCTGCTCTACGGTATGTGGGAATGTCAGATGATTGTTGACACGGACAGGTGTTGTTTCTGCGCCACTATGGAACACGGCCACTGCGTCCTTCGCGGGAATGTTTACCGTCCAGGACGTTATCCATCTCATCCAGTACTACTACCACACCTCCAGCTGGGAGGGAGCTGCGGCTGATGTCGAGCAGTTCCGTCTGGGAAGCCTCCGAGGTTCGTATCTTGCTTTGGCAAAGCTCTGATCACCAGACATCGAGAGGGAACTGCAGGTGCCTCCACCTCCCCTTGTCTCCGTCCACCCGCTGCGGCCGCTCTTCGACGCGTGCAAGTGTCTGATTGAGACGCATGCTCGTCGTCTGCCGCTGATTGACCGGGACTCTCAAACGGACGGCGAGGTTGTCATCAGTGTTCTCACCCAGTACCGTGTCCTTAAGTTCATTGCGATGAACGTGAGTTTTGATTCTGAACGAGGAACTGACGGGCAGTGCCGAGACATCACTCAGTATCTCACCTACGGTGTCCGCGAGTTGGGAATTGGTACCTACATCGAGAACCCCACGGCAGAGAAGCCCTTCGGAAAGATTGCGACGGCCACCATGAAGACGACTGTGTTCGACGTTGTCCACATGTTCTCGGAGCTCGGTATCAGTGCTGTGCCCATTGTCGACGATGATGGCAAGGTCATCGACCTCTACGAGACGGTCGACGTCATTGTGAGCTGAGGAGCTGTTGCCAAGCTAACGACAGACTCTTGTTCGTCTCGGAGCTTACCAGTCGCTCGACTTCACGATCGAGCAAGCACTGAAGCAGCGTGCCCCTGATTTCGAGGGCGTTGTCACTTGCCACCCGAAGGACTCTCTCGGCGCCATCTTCTCTCTGATCAAGGTCCGCCGGGTCCACCGCCTCGTGGTCGTTAGCGGCGAAGACGACCCTCACCCTGGCCGACTTGTTGGCGTCATCAGCCTCAGCGACATCATGCGACACCTGATCGTGAGTTGGTTGGAGACGCTGTTTGGACTGACAGGCAGAACGAGACCCCGACCGCTAGCAGCGGCCTCGCGCCTCCCCAGGAGTCGGCCGAGTCCCAGGAGACTCCCCCGAACGAGGCTGCTGGAGACGACAAGCAGTGAGAGTTTCTTGCCTAGAGAGAGTACTTTGTAACATTGTTTTGTAAATGCGTTGAACGCCTTCAGACCAGTAGCAGTACCGGCGGTCTTCCTCAGCGCATACACTTAGATTCGGTACGGATGCATGTACATGACGTTAGAAGCCATTCCTTGTTCTGCCTCGATGCTCTAACAGTGTCAAATCTGTTCATTCTACAGTATAGGAATACATCGCGCTGGTCTGTGTATCTCTTACTCGTCGTCGCGCTCGCTGCGGAACCGCTTGCCCTCGTCGCCGTCCTGGTCGTCATAGTCCTCGTGACTCCTCGCCCTCTTAGAACGCTCCGCAGCCTCTCCAGTGGGCACGTCGGCGCCCGCCTGTCCGAGACCGCCAATAGCGGCGTACGTGTCGAACTGGACCTGCTGACGGAAGCGGTCCTGCTCTTGCTGCCTGCGCTCCATCTCGAGCCGCTGGTGGCCCCATCCTCCTCGTCCGCTGTCATACTCCTGCCTAAACTCGTCACGGACCTGGCCACCACTTCGGCCACGGCCGAACTGACGTCCCTCCTTGTATCCCGGGTCGAGATCGCAGCGGATGATACGCTCGTCGAGCTTCGTGCCAGAGATGTAGCGCAGGCAGGCGACAGCTTCAGAGTGAAGGTAGTACTCAACGAAAGCAAATCCACATGGCGTCCTGACATGTTAGCCCTCTGGGAAGGAGGACAGCTGCATTCACTCACTTTTGGTGTCGGTCGAGACCCATGATAATTCTGGCCTGTCAGCTTCCTTCTACATACGGCAGCATACCTCTTGATACCACCTCCTTCCTCAGGCTTCGCACATGTCGCAAACACTGGCATGAGTTGAGCTGCTAGCCGCCGAAACTCACGTTCGTAGATCTGCGCCTCGGTCGTGTAGAAGCTCAGGTTTCCGACGTAGAGAGTGGACGAGGCCGAGAGCAATCGGCGTTCGGTCTCGCGATCGAGCTGGAACGAGTTAACAAACACCAAACGTGGAGCTCACCTCCGACTGGCTGTCCTTGTAGCTGGACGGAAGGTCCAGGGGTGCGACGACGTGCGACATGGTACTTGCTGCTACAACCGTGTCGCGAGCTTTTGTTGTGACCAAGTGCGAGCCAAGGGGCACGAAGTTCAGGTCGATCGCACACAGGCGGAACCAACGGTGGGCCCACCGTGGGAGAACGCGTCACCATCTCTCGCCTCTGGCATCACCGGCTGACTGACCCGATTAGCACTTGCTGCACACGCTGCATAGTCTCACATTCGGACAGCTAGACACCATGTCCGCCAACGACCCCAACCTGAGCGATGCGGAGAAGGTAACTTGAGCTATGCTCGTCGTTGGGTGAGATAGCTGACGCTGCAGATGCGCTTGAAGCGTCTGGCACGCCTCGGCGGCTCTGTCTCGCAGGAGCCCCGGGCAGCCTCCCCGCAGACCCCATCAGAGGAGCAGGCTCAGTCCGGCAGCTCGACCCCTCACGTCCCCCCGTCGTCTGGCTCGCGTCTCCTCTCTCAGGCTATCCCGTCGCCAGCGCGCGTGCCCTCGCCAGCTGCCAAGCCGGCGGCTCCCCCCGCGCCCAAGCCTACACCCGCCCCCGCCACCCCCAAGGCGTCCCCTTCACCGAAGCCTACTGCGCCCAGCGGACCGTCCAGGAGCTCTTCCACCAGCACTCCCGTGCAGTCCAAGCCTCGCCCCGCCGCCTCGTCCCCCGTCAAGCCTACGCAGAGCTACGCAGACTGGGAGGCGCAGGCCGTCGGCAAGGTCTTCAATGTCACTCTTGACGTAAGCTAAGCGGAGGAACAGGTGAGCTGACAGCAGAAATCCGAGGCTGAGGCGTCCGACTGGAAGAAGACATGGCTGAAGGAGCTTCGCAGCGAAATGCAGGAGGAGAACCCTGGTATGTGTGCAGAGCTGTGTACTGGCTTGTCTCAGCTGACGGACAGCCTCCACGCCAATGGTGTCCCTCGAGTCGCGCGACCGTCTACTGATCGCTCGTCTGTCACTTGACCCGATGTCAATGGCGTCTAGGTAGGTGATTCATCGCCTTCATCATCTAACGTCCAGTGACGACCCCGACCAACTCACTGTCCTGGCGGGCATGCCCGAGGGCGAGACTGTGTTCGAATATCTGACCGGATGTTGGAAGCGACTGAATGGCGTCAACCGCGAGATGTCCAGGTTGGGCTACAGCAAGGAGGAGAAGGCCAAGTGGCACGAGGCGTACAACGAGCTGAAGCGATTGATCATCTCCTACAGTGGCATGACTCTGGAGGACCCTACGATGTTCCCTCAGCCAGCCGAGTGAGTTGCAGCATTGTCTCCGAACTGACATCAGCAAACCCGTTGGGCCGGCCGAGTTCCTTCCCCTGTTGCTGGGTGTTTCGGGAACAGGTGCTGCCGGCGATCCGTTGACCTCGTCTGCGCCGCAGCCCGTGGTCCAGCGCAACCCCAACGCGCTTGCACCGGCAGACCTCCTGCCCTTCCTCAACGACCTTGCGACCGGCTTCCCCGAGGGCGGCATGGCGGACGTGATCACGCCGACTCTGAGCCTGTTCTTCCAGGAGTGGTTCAAGATCACGCCGACACCAGACCTTCTCGGCCAGGACTGGCAGAAGTACCTCGGCGCCATGACGCTTCTGGTGCAGGTCAAGGCGATCGCTGCCATTGTAAGCTGGCCACCCTCCAAGCAAAGCTAATGCCAGCTCCCGTCGCTCCCCATCTGGGTCGCCCCGAATGTCGACGCTGCCAAGATCGAGTGGCAGTCACTGCTGGGACCGCTCACCAGGTTGAGCGTGTTCCCGAGGGAATTCGTAGGTATCGCAGGAGGAGCAGACCTGACATTCGCAGCCGCAGATCTGGAAGACGTACTTCTCCAACCCTACGGAGCGGAAGACGGCGGATATTGACGCCAACAAGTCCAACCTTCGCCACGGCCTCGGGGCTCTGCAGGTGTGTACTGCTATTCTGCGCGCTCGCTAACCTAGCAGAATGGTCTGTTCACCCTGTACAACGCCATTGTCCGTGCCTCACCCGAGTCACGAGAAGGCGCTCTCGACTTCTTCGCCAAGGTCGTGTCCTTGAACGTGAAGCGAGCGGGCAGTCATGTAAGCTTCCGGCGTACCTCATCAGCTAACAGCAGGTTGACTACCGCACTGTCTCATCTGACGGCTTCATGATTAACCTGCAGTATGTTCTGCTGAAGTTGTTCGAGCCCGTTATGGACTTTAACTACTCGAAGGTATGGGTCTCATAGCGTACTTGATCTGACTCCCAGATTGACAAAGTCGACCCCGAGTACTACCGTCACTCCAAGCGTCTCGACGTCTCAGAAGAGACCAAGATCCACGCCGAGAAAGCTGAGGCGGACGAGTACTTCGGCCAGGCTATGGATACTGACTCGAAGCCCGGCTTCATTCCTGACATCTTCTACCTGCTGAACCACGTGCACCACCTTGGTACGATCAAGACGATCAGCACCCGCACTAAGCTGGAGCGCAACATCAGCGATATCGAGAAGGAGTTGAAGCGTCTGGAGGGGATGAGGGGCCAGTGGGCTGGTAACCCTACCGCCGAGGCGCAGGGCGAGGCTGCCATCAAGAAGTACAAGGGCGACCTTGCAACGATACACGCCTCCATCCATGCCTATGACACCCAGCTGCTCGACCCGGCCATGGTGCGCCTCAACGTCAGCTTCTGTGGCTTCCTCATGAACTGGCTCCTCCGTATGGTCGACCCTGATCATGCCCATCCTCAGAAGCCCATCGCGTGGGTTGCTCACTGGATCTCCGCAACTGACAACTGCAGTCTCCCGCTTTCGTCCGAATCGCCGGTGCAGTTCCGCATGCTGCCCGAGTTCTTCTTTGAGAACGTCGTCGAGTACTACGACTTCCTCGCTCGCTACAGCCCGGACGCGCTTGACGATGCCGACAAGGACATTCTCATCACCTTCGCCATCGCCTTCGTGAACCCCACTCATGTCAACAACCCCTTCCTCAAGGCCAAGCTTGTAGCGGTGAGTTCTTTCTGCCATGGCTGTGGGCCCTCTTTAAGCCACTTAGCTAACGTGCAGGCGCTGGCTAATGGCCTGTACCCCGTCGGATACTGGCGCAAGGGACCTCTTTTCGACCGCCTGAGCACGCACCCGCAATCTACTGCTCACCTCATGCCCATGATCCTCCGCTTCTGGATCGACGTCGAGTCCACCGGTGGTCACACGCAGTTCTGGGGTGAGTTACGTGGTGCGGAGCCTTCTAACTCTCAGACAAATTCAACTTCCGTCGCGACCTCAGTCGTATCCTGAAGTCCATGTGGACGAATCCGCTGCACCGTGAAGCCTTTGTCAAGTCGAGACAGTAAGCTATCTTGACGATTTGGGTAAGCTGACATGCAGCGACAACCTCGACCAGTTCATCAAGTTTGTCAACATGCTCATGAGCGACACGACGTTCCACCTGGAGGAGTCCCTGACGAACTTGGCGGCTGTGCACAGTTTACGTGCAGAGAAGGAGGACGAGGAGAGCTGGAACGCCAAGACGCAGGCGGAGAAGGACGACACTGAGTCGCAGCTGCGCCAGGCGGAGCAGCAGGCGCCGTACCACACGCACATGGGTCTCGACCACATCGAGCTCATCCGCGATATCACTGCGACGGAGAAGGAGCCCTTCCTCGTCGGCGAGATCGTCGACCGTCTGACCGCTGTGAGTGATCTTCAGTTCCTGTGGTCTTTCGTCCTAACTGACTCCAGTCCCTCGACGAGAGTCTCGCAACGCTCGTCGGCCCCAAGATGCAGGAGCTCAAGCTGAAGGACCCGGAGCGCTTCGGTTTCAAGCCGAAGCAGCTGCTGGCTGCTCTTGCGCAGATTTACCTGAACCTGGGCTCGGAGCAGGACTTCATCCGTGCTGTTGCGAACGACGGCCGCTCGTACTCGAAGGAGGTGTTTGAGCGCTTCGCGCGGATCCTCAAGAACCGCGCGATCATGACCGACGGCGAGGTGCAGGAGATTGTTGCGTTCACGCAGCGCGTCGAGGACGCCAAGGCCACGATCGAGATTGAGGACGAGCGCGAGATCCCCGACGAGTTCCTCGGTGAGTTTGAAAAGAGTAGTCCCAAACTGACGATCCCAGACCCGCTGCTCGCTACTCGTAAGTTGTCTACCGTGGTCGCGATCAAGCTGACCCTCAGTCATGAAGGACCCTGTGATCCTGCCCGTGTCGCGCGTCACAGTCGACCGGAGCACGATCCGTGCGGCTTTGCTCTCGAAGGAGCTCGACCCCTTCAACAACGTTCCGTAAGTCTCCAGCTGACCGGTGTGCTTCCAGCTGACCACGCACAGGCTCAAGTACGAGGACGTCATTCCCAACGACGAGCTCAAGGCGCAGATCGACGAGTGGATCGCGCAGGGCAAGGTCGCCAAGCCGCAAGAGGTCAAGATGGACCTGGACGTTTAGGTGCGAGCGCAGTGTACGTGTCAAGGATGATGGAGGCACGATTGTCATATATGAACGAAGAGAAGATACGCCGTAGAAGTCATGCAGATTATTCCAAACACGTCTATGTACCTGCGGAGCGACGTTGTGCCGCTTCAGACCTCTGCTTCAGATCTGACACAAGCTTCAGAGCCAGAAGCAAGAGAACAAGCAGTCCGATCTTCTGGATGCGAGGCACCGCGACAGGGGAGGCGGCATGGTGGCATAGTCACTTGCATGGCATAGTCGCTCGCACCAGGCTCGCATTGTCTTGCGCGTGGCACTTCATATTGGAGAGGTAGTCACCAACGACCTCCCGCATCGTTTCCTTCCGGCTTCTGCTCCAGAACGACATGCGTCATCCCATTCCACACTAGCCCACCCAGAGTCGGATGCAGAAGACCTCGCGAACACCTCGCGAAGCATCCGGTCGCATCCCGACTGCCGCGGGGTGTTGCGAGCCGATCGGTCAACGCCGAGAATGTCCGCCCGGCCAGCCTAGCCAACGCTTGGTCAGGCTCCTCGGCTCTTGTCGAAACAAGCCGCCGAGCCACCGACATCGGTCCAAGCCGTTCAAGCACTTTAGTCCAGTCTGCTAGCTCGGCCAGGTTGTCACCATGCATCTCGAGATCCGACGTTGGCACGTGAGCATACCACTCTCTCATGGCGCCCAGTCGTGTGCCTTCAGCCAAGTTCTTGTTGGAAGCCAAGGAGGTGACAATTCGCCACTTGGAGGCCCTGTTCACATGTCGCTGAGGCGGTGCAAGCTTGGCGGACCCCCACAACCGCCCTCGATTCGTGGCGAGGCATGCACGTTCATGAAGTGAGATCTTGGCCACGGCGATTGAGGGCGACTTGTGGCCATGTGGTAATGAGGTCATAACATCAGACGCCATCATCAACTTATCCCGCCCTCGAGATTGTAGTCGGGATGTCGGGGAATCTGCCCAACAGGCTGATGACGGCCACGGGCCACGGGACATGGCTGTGCCCAGGCTCTGCAGGCTCTCTGACCGCCAAGCTCAAGCGAAGGGCCAGGAACCGAGAGCAAGGCCAAGCATTACAGCCCGATGACCAGCACCTACGAGCCTACAAGCCCGCACGGCCAGATCGGATCCAGATCTGGCTCCCATATCATAGTTCGTGGAGCCTCTGCACACCGTGGACAGCTGATGCAACTGTTGCAGAAGAGACGCGGGAGGCTGAAGCTGGCCAACCGGCCAGCTACACTGCATACTTCTTTGTGGCCCCGACCCCTCGACCCTAACAGCCCACGGGCAGAGTGACAGGGGTAGAGTGACCCAGCTCCGCACTCCGTACCGCGGGCACCGCACGACCCGCTGTTGGTGTACCAGGAATGCCAAGACATTTCCTCGTTGCTATGATCGTTCAGGCCCAGCTGTCATTGGCGCGTCATCATCTGGGCCAAATGACCGAGAATAAAATCGCGCACTTGGCACTGGCAGGCTTCTTTCATTGCATGGCCCCTCTGCGCCTCTGCGCCTCTGCGTTAGTGACGGGGAAGGCGGACCGTTATTTTGTCGCTTTTCCGTACTGCGTGCAGAGCAGCTGAGCAGGCTGGCTGCGTACCAAGCAGAACTGCGAAAGGATGTCACTCTAACAAGGGGAAGCATGCAGCAAATACCCAGGGTTCGGTGCTATTGGAAAAGAATCCTGTGGGCAAACCACATGCAACCATGCGGCCATGCGCTGTGCGGAAGTCTGGGATGCAAGCAATGGCTAAAAAGGCGATCTCACCGACCTCGCAGGCTTACAGTGGCAAACGGCTGTATGCAGAGGAGGGTCTGTCGGGTTTCCCCGAAGATCGTCCGTGTCTATCTCATTGTGGATTGGCCAGAAAACGATCGGGGGCATCTCTTGTGCGGGCAGGGGATCGCGCGGGGGCGCCGCGCGCCGGGGGCGTGATCGCACGACGCAGAGCAGAGCGTGCCCGCGTGCATTGGCTCTTCATTTCTGCCGCACTTACAGATCCATTAATCGCCGAGTAACATGTTAATTACCAGGTAAACTATCTATGACACGTCCTGTACTGCTGTGCAAGATGACGGAGCTGTCCGCTGACGAGGTCGAGATACGCCGACCCGACAGCGGGTGGCGACGCTGTCTGGGTGGCGACAGCCTGCATACGGGGTGTGCACTGTTGCACCGAGTGGATCCAGTGGAACGACAGGCCCATCAGTCAATGGCAGGCCGGCAGCTGGCAGGGCTGGGCACAAACATGGGATTGGGCAACAATAATGGGCCAACTGACGCGCCGTTTCGCGCGCTCGCGCTCTGTCGCGCCGTCGCACTGGCAGAATTAAGCAGAATGCAGCATTGCAGGCTGGCCCCGCCCCGGCTTCGAACACCCTGGCGGCTGGCGCCAAGCCAAAGAAGCCAAACACCCGGGTGCTAACTGACGCGCGATTGCTCGAGCTGCTCGTTATTGCTCCATGGGGGCGCTCGTATTCGTTATGCCCAACGTCCAGCAGGCCAGCAGGCAGAACTTGCACTCACGCTCCCACACACACTTGCAAAAGCTGTCCTGCGCAAGTCCCGGACAGGCACATGGTGAACTCACTCACGGTGAGCAAGCGTGCACTGCGGTGTGCCAAGCTCCGGGAGATTCAAGGAAAGTGAAAGGGGCGATCGCCGTATGGGCATCGGCACTCGGAGCGCCCCCTTACTGCCGCTTGCGGGCTTGCCTCGATCTTGAGCTCGCTAGCTCGAGGTCAGGCAGAGATTAGGGAGAGATTAGACCAAGCGATTAAGCAGAAATATCGGATGGACTAACATCCACGCGGTGGACCCAGGGGCCAGCCCCTAGCGGCCAAGAACGCGCCAGAGAGAAAAGGACGGACCTCAGGGCGTAGACCAGGATCGAGCCAGGACGGAGCCAGGACACAGGGCCCCAATGTGCGGTTCTGCCTTGGTCTCCCTGAGCAAAGCGAGCCATGCTAGCATGGGCTTGGCTCAAACCGCACCGCGGCAGACCAGAGGGCGCTGCCCCACTCACTTCAGGCACCACCTGCACCGCCTCACTTGGATCACCAGTATTGCTGCTGCTGCACGCGCGACTCTCTCACCGCACCACACCGTGCCACCGTAGGTGTGTCCAACTCCAGTGCCATCACTGTCCCAAACGACCACTCCATCTTACATCTATAACCTTCAACACACCAACTGTCATCGTCGCTCACTCCCTCTTCCACCTTCTCAGAGACACTCGACACACCCATCCTTCTAACCTTTTCACCATTTTCGCCACCTAGTTCTCTCCGCTTCCAGCCCTCTCTCTCACCCCCTCCGAGAGCGTCAAGCTCATTACGGGCGGCCACAATGCCCTCCCCTCCACAGATCGTCACCACCGACCTCGACGGGCCGCAGTCCCCGGACCCAGTCAACAACTCGCCGCACACCCCCGTCAACCAGCACCCGGCAAACGATCCCAGCCATCTTTCCCCCTCCAACCAGGGCGCCCTCGCCCCCGGCTCTCCTACGCTCACGACGAGCTCGTCTGTCCACTTCAACGAGGATGGATCCCCGACGTCCCAGCTCCCGCCGTCATACCACAGCGACGCCGGTGGCGCTACCACCGCCAACAACAGCCTGAGCGTTCCCGACAGCCCATCGAAGCACAAGCGGAAATGGAGCATCGGCACCTGGTCCTCAAACGGCAAGGAGCGTGATCTCTCTGTTGTTGAACCCACCGAGAGCGACTCGGACGAGGACGGCGACAAGAAGAAGAAGAAGAAGAAGGGCAAGGAGGAGCTTGTCTCCCACCTCGACCCGTCCAAGGACACGACCGACCCCGCCCCCTTCACCGAGAAGCCCTCGACGCTCGCCATGCTTGTGGACCCCAAGTCGCTTGACGATCTCCAGAAGATTGGTGGAGTCCAGGGCCTGCTGAATGGTCTGGGTGTTGACCCGTCACGTGGTCTTCCCGCCGAAAACGGTGCTAGTAGCGGTGCTCCCCGCTCATCCTCTGAGCAGAGGGCTATCGACGGTGGCGATGGCCCCCAGTGGAGCGCTACCTACGAGCAGCGCCGCAAGGTCTACGGACGCAATGACCTGCCCGAGCGCAAGTCCAAGTCCATCTTCCAGCTCATGTGGGATGCCTTCAAGGACAAGGTCCTGGTACGTACTTGTGCTGCTGCGCCCCCCTGTGTTTTTGTTTCTCCCATACTGACACAACCCAGATCCTGCTTTCCGTCGCGGCTGTCGTCTCGCTCGCCCTCGGTCTCTACCAGGACTTCGGTGCCCCTCCTCACATCACCTACTCCGACGAGTGCCCCAATGGTTGTGAGGACCCCAAGGTTGATTGGATTGAGGGTGTTGCCATTATGGTCGCCATCATCATTGTTGTTCTGGTTGGCTCTATCAACGACTGGCAGAAAGAGCGCCAGTTTAAGAAGCTGAACGAGAAGCGCGAGGACCGTACCGTCAAGGTTCTCCGTGGCGGAAGTGAGCAGGTCATCAACGTCCGCGACATTGTCGTCGGTGACATTGCCATGCTCGAGCCCGGAGAGATTCTTCCTGTCGATGGTGTCTTCCTTAGGGGTCACAACGTCCGCTGCGACGAGTCTGGCGCGACTGGTGAATCGGACGCGATTAAGAAGTCGTCCTACGACGAGTGCATCCGCGAGCGCGACAACCTTCAGCCCGGCCAGCGCGCCAAGCTCGACTGCTTCATGGTTTCCGGTTCGAAGGTCCTGGAGGGTGTCGGCGAGTACGTCGTCACCTCTGTCGGCACCTACTCGTTCAACGGCCGTATCATGATGGCGATGCGTACCGACACTGAGGAGACGCCCCTCCAGCTCAAGCTCAACAAGCTCGCCGAGCTTATCGCCAAGGCTGGTGCTGGCTCAGGTCTCATCCTGTTCATCTCGCTCATGATCCGCTTCTTCGTCCAGCTCCGCACCGACCCCGATCGCACGCCGAACGAAAAGGCGCAGTCTTTCGTCCAGATTCTCATTATTTCCGTCACCCTTATCGTGGTTGCCGTTCCTGAGGGTCTTCCGCTCGCTGTCACTCTCGCACTCGCCTTCGCCACAAAGCGTATGACGAAGCAGAACCTGCTCGTCCGTGTGCTCGGCTCTTGTGAGACCATGGGTCACGCCACTGTCATCTGTACCGACAAGACCGGTACCCTCACGCAGAACGTGATGTCGGTCGTTGCTGGATCCCTCGGTGTCCACGGCAAGTTTGTTCGCAACCTTAAGGAGAACGCCGAGCGCAACATTGCCAACGACGCGGACCCCGACCGCCAGGACTTTGCCTTTGACTCTTCCGAGATGAACGAGGTCGCCTCGCCCGAGGTTATTACTCTGTTCAACGAGGCCATCTGCATCAACTCGACTGCTTTCGAGGACACCGACCAGGACGGTAACACCGAATTTGTCGGTTCCAAGACTGAGACTGCTCTTCTCCGCTTCGCCAAGGAGCTCGGCTGGCCCAACTACAAGACCACCCGTGAGAGCGCCCAGGTCGTTCAGATGATTCCGTTCTCGTCCGAGCTCAAGAGCATGGGAGTTGTCATCAAGACTGCGACTGGCTACCGTCTCTACGTCAAGGGTGCTTCCGAGGTCATCACCGCCAAGTGCACCCACTACATTGATGTCACACGCCACACCGAGGGTCTCCACGTCAGCGAGTACGACGCCGCTGCCGCCGAGAACATTCAGAACACCATCATGTTCTACGCCAACCAGACCCTCCGTACTCTCGCTCTCTGCTACCGCGACTTCCCCCAGTGGCCTCCTGCGGGCGCCGAGGGCACCGACCCCGAGCAGGTTCCCTTCGCCCTCACCAACCAGGACCTCACTCTCATCGCCATCACCGGTATCGAGGACCCGCTCCGCCCTGGTGTCGCCGAGGCTGTTAGAGCCTGCCAAGGCGCTGGTGTTGCGGTCAAGATGTGCACTGGTGACAACGTTCTGACTGCCCGCTCCATTGCCCGCCAGTGTGGCATCTTCACTGCTGGTGGCATTGTCATGGAAGGCCCCGTGTTCCGTGCTCTTTCCGACGCCGACCGCCACATGGTCGCCCCGCGTCTCCAGATTCTGGCGCGTTCTTCTCCCGAGGACAAGAAGCTGCTCGTCCGCACCCTCAAGGAGCAGGGTGAGGTCGTCGGTGTCACTGGTGACGGTACCAATGACGGTCCAGCGCTCAAGCTCGCCAACGTCGGTTTCGCCATGGGTATCGCCGGTACTGAGGTCGCCAAGGAGGCTTCGGACATTATTCTCATGGACGACTCGTTCTCGAACATTGTCCTCGCCATCATGTGGGGTCGCTGTGTCAACGACTCGGTCAAGAAGTTCCTCCAGTTCCAGATCTCCGTCAACATCACTGCCGTCGTCATCACTTACGTTTCCGCCGTTGCCTCTGCTTCCGAGTCCTCGGTCCTGACTGCCGTTCAGCTTCTCTGGGTCAACCTGATCATGGACACCTTTGCCGCGCTTGCTCTCGCCACCGACCCCGCTACGCCCGCGTCGCTTAGGCGCAAGCCCGACCGCAAGGACGAGCCCCTCATCAACACCGACATGGTCAAGATGATCGTCATCCAGGCTATCTACCAGATCTGTGTCTGTCTGGTCCTCCACTTTGCTGGTGCGAAGATCATTGGTCTCGACCCCAACGATGTAGGAGACGTTGCCGACCTCCGTACCCTCGTCTTCAACTGCTTCGTGTTCTGCCAGATCTTCAACCAGCTCAACTGTCGCCGTCTCGACCGTCACTTCAACGTTCTCGAGGGCTTCTTCAAGAACTACTGGTTCATGGCCATTTTCCTTATCATGGTTGGTGGTCAGATTCTCATCATTGAGGTCGGTGGCGCCGCCTTCCAGGTCACCCGTCTCTACGGCCGTGACTGGGGAATTTCGATCATTGTCGGCTTCATCTCTCTTCCCCTCGGTGTCATTGTCCGTCTCCTCCCGACCGCCCCTGTCACGCGCTTCCTCATCAAGATCCACGTCTACAAGGACCCCTCGAAGAAGGCTCAGGAGGACCTCGAGCTCATGGAGGAGAATGTTGGTGACTACACCTACAACCCGGCTCTCGAGAAGGTCAAGAACGACCTCACCACCTTTGCCAGCATCCGTGGTGGCCGTCTCCGTGGCTCGTCTCTGATGACTGGTGGTCGCTCGCACCACAAGGAGCTCAAGAAGGCCAACATTGCTCTTCCCTCTCTCCTCACCATGGTCCCTACCCTTATCGCGGGTACGGTCGGTGCGGGTTCGCACTGGATCTACCAGACGAACCCCGAGGCGCTCGCGGACCCGGCCAACCAGGAGCAGACCAAGTCGACCGTCGACCTGTACAAGGACAAGGTGCAGCTGCACCCCGACACGGACCCGAACGACCCGCTCTACGCCAAGTTCGGCTTAACGCCTCCCAGCCAGGATGAGAAGAGGCAGTAAATCAACTCCTCCCTCGCCTGCTCTAACACTCACTCTCCCTAACTCTCCCTCTCTCCCTCAAAACAACGACTTCGCCTTTCGCAATGTTTAATTGCATATTCACTTTCGGTTCACCTGTACACACAGCAACGTATACCCCCTTCGCAAGGGATCATAGATGGGTTTTTAACATACAAGGTTGTTTTCATTTTTCTCTCTCCTCAATAGATGGGTTCTCATAGACTATAGCGAAAGGGTGTAAGGAAGGAAGAAGAAATGAAAGTAGCTGTGCTGCCACGAACTACGAACACTCGGTGCAATTGGTGCGAGTGATCTTGTAGAATGATTGACCTGGTCCGTGACTTGTATGGTTCTCGGAGTTCCGAACATCGCATCGACAAGCAGTGCGCATCATGCGCGCTGATAGCGTGCATGGATCTTGTATGTAGTCGACGAGAAGCGACCGAGCTACAGCCAGGCGGGAGATTACGAATCGCTCACCACTGCAGTCGGAACGAGGAACGACGTCAGAGAGGCGACCCGGGGCGATTTGCTTCCGCGCCTCCGCCGAGCAAAGGACGTCAGCGAGTTTCTTTGCCGTTCTCATAATTCTACAGCCGGGTCACCAGCTTCGACAGCTCACTACACCGCAACAACAACACCAGGATGGCCTTCGCTCAGAACCTCGGACGGTTTGTCGGTGCGTATTGCCTTGTGGCGATTCTCGGCGCTTGGGAGGAAAGTCGTTTGTTGGAATCGGGCGACTGTCGACGGCAAATGACCTTTCCCTCGAGCGGCGCCGGGACGTCTAGCTTACCCAATGATGAGATGTGATAGCTGACGCTCAGTCCCCCTCGCGCTCGGCGCGGCCGTCATTGACTCGGCCATGTACGACGTCCCCGGTGGATACCGTGCCGTCATGTTCGACCGTTTCAAGGGTGTTCTTCCCAACGTGAGTGCCCTGTCCTCCCACTCAGCTTTCGCAGTTGCGCACGAGCTAATGTCAGTCTGTCGGTGAGGGAACGCACCTGCTCGTGCCCTGGATGCAGCGCGCGATTCTGTACGACATCCGCATCAAGCCGCGCAACATCTCGACAACGACGGGATCCAAGGACATGCAGATGGTCTCGATCACGCTCCGTGTCATGTCCAGGCCGAACATTAACAAGCTCCCGCAGATCTACCAGAATCTCGGACAGGAGTGGGTTTTTGCACAGCTGTTCGGCGGAACTGTCAGCTGACACACACAGTTACGACGAGCGTGTCCTTCCCTCGATCGGCAACGAGGTCCTGAAGGCTATTGTGGCCCAGTTCGACGCGTCCGAGCTCATCACGAACCGTGAGATCGTCTCGGCGCGTATCCGCGACGACCTCCTGAACCGTGCCAAGGACTTCGGTATTGAGCTCGAGGATGTTTCTATTGTGCGTATTGCCATGCTGTCCTGAGTGGATGATCACAGCTGACAACAGACCCACATGACGTACGCTACGGAGACGCCTGTGCAAGCTAACCACACAGGTTCGGAAAGGAGTTCACGTCGGCCGTCGAGCAGAAGCAGATCGCGCAGCAGGACGCCGAGCGTGCCAAGTTCGTCGTCGAGAAGGCCGAGCAGGAGCGCCAGGCCGCCGTCATCCGCGCCGAGGGAGAGGCTGAGGCTGCCGCCGTCATCTCCGCCGCCCTCAACAAGGCCGGAGACGCTTTCGTCCAGTTCCGCAAGATCGAGACGGCACGGGATGTCGGTGAGTACCAGCAGCCTATCTGGCTGGCTGTGCTGCATCTCGCCAGCTCGCACATTAGCTTCCACAATGGAGGTTCGATCAGCTAACATGCCAGCCAACACGCTCGCCCAGTCGCGCAACGTCTCGTACGTCCCCTCAAGCTCGTCGAACCTCCTGCTCCAGGTCCAGGACCAGAACAGCAAGGTGTAAATCTAGGCAGAAGCAGTCACAACAAGCAGTGTATGAACATTCACCATTCTAATCACCCCGTTAGTTGCATGTGCCGGCCGAATCCGGTGGTTGAGGAGTGCGGAGGAAGGTGCGGGAGCCTTTACCCAGGTCAGCGACTGTCCTCGGCGAGCTACGAGCTTTATTGCACAGTGCATGTCAGCAGAAGTTGAGGCATTCTCTTGTAGCTGCGACAGCAAATAACTAGAAGCACGGTCGTCTGAGTCGGACGAATCACTTAGGACAGGGGGTTGTGTTCATTGCGTTCGGAACTCGGTGGCAACGTCAGGGGTGATGTGCACGTGACCTCAAATTCCGAGCCCAGGAGCTGAGCCATCGACATGACCGATCCTTAACCGCCGCCCCTTGGCTTGGTCGTCTTTGTCCTCGTCACCCATCTCAAAAACAAACACGATGCTCTGCGCCGGCTGCGAATGCAGGGAGGCGTCTCGCCTCGAGTGCCCCATGTGCAAGAAGTGAGTTGTCCGTTGCACAGGTCAACTGACAGAGTTCCAGGCTCGGCATCCAGAACAGTTTTTTCTGTGACCAAGACTGCTTCAAGAAGAACTGTGAGTTTTGTGATGCGACGAGTTGTTGCGCAAGCGGCGGCGTGCACTCTAGCTGCCTGCACCGGATTATGAGCTGACGATACAGGGGTATGTCTACCGCAATTGAATGGGCGGCCGTAGTCAGCTGACAATTGCAGGTCCAGCACAAGCTCGTGCACAACATTGTGCAGATGGCGGTCGAGAAGAACGAGGAGGCCGACGCCACGATCCCGCCCCAGATGCGCGACTACAAGTTCACTGGTCCGCTGCGACCCGTCTACCCCCTGTCCGAGAAGCGCGAGGTCCCCGCGCACATCCCCCGTCCAGACTACGCCGATCACCGTGAGTTAGCGGTTCCGTGAGTTTGAACTGACATTCAGCGCAGGGCTTCTCCGCCGCCGAGGCTGTGCGCGAGCGCGGCGTCAAGGTGTGCAACGCCGAGGAGATTGAGGGCATGCGTAAGGTGTGCAAGGTGAGTATCACTCGGGGACAGCTGCAGGGTGTGTGGATGATCACCTGACCTTCAGCTCTCGCGCGAGGTGCTCGACTACACTGCGTCGTTCATCCGCCCCGGCATCACGACGGACGAGCTCGATGCGATCTGCCACCAGGCCTGTGTTGACCGCGGAGCGTACCCCTCGCCGCTGAACTATGCCAAGTTCCCCAAGTCGGTGTGCACGAGTGTGAACGAGGTCATCTGCCACGGTATCCCCGACAAGCGGCCGCTGGAGGAGGGCGACATCATCAACCTGGATGTGTCGCTGTTCTACGGCGGCTTCCACGGCGACCTGAACGCGACGTACCCCGTGGGCAAGTGCGACGAGAAGTCGCTCGACCTGATCAAGACGACAAAGGAGGCGATGGACGAGGCCATCAAGATCTGCAAGCCCGGCGTGCCCTACCGCGAGATCGGCAACAAGATCGAGTCCATCGTCAAGCCCAAGGGCTACAGCATCGTGCGCCGGTATACGGGCCACGGCATTCACCACCTGTTCCACTGCGCGCCGACAATCGTGCACTACGCGAACAGCAAGACGCCCGGCCGCATGGAGCCGGGCAACATCTTCACGATCGAGCCCATGATCAACATGGGCACGGCCAACCTCGACCATTGGCGCGACGACTGGACCGCCGTCACGCTCGACGGCAAGCGCAGCGCCCAGTTTGAGGAGACCATTCTCATCACCGAGACCGGATACGAGATCCTCACCCGGACGAGCGCGAGCAAGAAGAAGAAGAACAAGAAGAAGAACAAGAAGAAGAACGCCGCTAACGGCGCCGCGGCTGCCAACGGGGCCGCCGAGGCCGAGGAGGAGGAAGAGGACGACGACGCCACCCCCGATGCTGGCACACCCGCCGCCACTGATTAGATAGAATGGTCTTCTGTTTGTCCCCCTTCGCCGCGCGAGTTCGGATCCGTTGCGTTCCCACTGTCCCAGCATGCAGCATGCGGCCGTATACTGTCATAACAATGCATAGTTTGTGTACATGAGCTGCGAGATGTATAGAGATAAATGTGTTGCCTCTCGTCTTTTTTCCCGTCTAGAATGCATGCAGCGATGTCGCCTTACTCGTCCTTCTCGGCGATCGTCTTGAGCTGCATGTCAGCTTGCACGTGGGTAAACCAGTAGCTCACCTGCAGACCGTGGATGCCGGCAATGTCCTCCTTGAGGCAGTCGTTGACGAGCTTGTGCTGCTTGACCATGGACAGGCCGGCAAACTCGGGGGACGAGATGAGGATGGCGTAGAACGAGCCGCAGCCGCCTGCACAATTCATGTCAGCTATCCGTCTCATGGACACCTGGCTGTGTCTGAAGCTGAAGTCAAGACTCACCCGAGACGTCCTGGACCTCGAGCTGCTTTCCGGGGAAGCGCTTGTCGAGCTTGTCGTAGATGGACTTCTCGCCCTCGCCCATGCCCTCGCGAGCGACACGGGCCGAGTATGACCGCAGCGCCGCGAGCTGGGCAATGGGCGCTGACCGGGCCAGGCGGGGGAAGGCGGATCGGAGGAGGGACATTGCTCAAAAAGATTAGATATTTAGAAACAACAAGAGCTGGTAACTTCAGGCCCAATGAATTCTCAGTCATCTCATGCATCCTCCCGCCTGGTCTGGTCGCCGCTCCCCGCCTGACCGCCTCATGTACTGCCGAAGTTGGCTGAGAAAGAAAGTGGAGGTCCTGTCCTATTCTGGACCTGAGCTGCTTGGGCGGGAGCAAATTGAGATACTTACGGGCTGGCCGAAGCCACAGCCACGATGTCACGATCGGGCGCGACCTGACCTGACACTGCTGGGTGCACCCTGCAGCATACGCACTGCGACTGCTCGACGTGTGGTCGGCACTCCTCGACAACAACATCACAGATCTCTCTTCTTGCTTTCTGACAGAACAAGTTACGACTCTCTATTTCCGCCCTACACGACCCATACGCTTACGCCTACCCTCTCCCTCTCCCTCTGTAGCGCAGCGCGCACCTCCACCTAGACCTTACGTTCCAGCACTCGTCCTCCTACCACCGATCGACTACCGCCCAGAGCGGATCAGAGACGCGTCCCACCATGGCCGACGCAAAGCTCTTCAGTGAGTTATGAATTCGCCGATGTCAACTGACATTCCAGCCCGTGGGAAGATTCAGGACCTCCGCGATGAACTCCGGAACGCGGGCGACAGGCGCGACAAGGCGTTCCAGCGCAAGAAGACGACCGCGCTCAAGAAGATCGTCGCCAACATGACGATGGGCAACGACAGTGAGTCGACAGCTCCTTCAATTGAACTGACAGCAGTGTCGCCGTTGTTCCCAGAGATCATCCAGGCTATGCAGATCCAGGTGCTGGAGATCAAGAAGAGTGAGTTGGCATGGAGTCGCCTCAACTGACCGGCAGTGGTATATCTGTATCTCGTCAACTATGGACGATCGAGACCGGACGAGGTGGCCCATGCGATCGGAGGCTTCCTCTCGGTAAGCTAGCTTTCTTGCTCTTAGCTGACGACAGGATTGTGCGGATAGGAATCCGCTGATCCGCGCTCTCGCCATCCGCACAATGTCATCCATCCCGCTCCCGTCTATCATACAGGCGCTGGTGGACCCGTTGCGGCACGCGCTCGAGGATCAGGACCCGTATGTGCGCAAGACGGCCGCGATCGCGGTTGCCAAGCTCTACGCGTCCGACTACGGGAAGAAGACGATTGAGCGGGAGAACTTTGTCGCGATGCTGCGCGACCTGCTGGCCGACCACAACCCGACGGTTGTTGCGAACGCCGTCGCTTCGCTCGTCGAGATCTCGGACCGCTCCTCGGACATCACGCTAAGGCTCAACGCCACGGTGGCGGGCAAGCTTGTCGCGGCGCTCGGAGAGTGCTCGGAATGGGGCCAGATCTACATCCTCGAGTCGCTCATGAGCTTCATCCCGCAGACGGCGATGGACGCCGAGATGCTCGCGGAGCGCATCTCCGTCCGCCTGCAGCATGCCAACAGCGCCGTCGTCCTGACCACGATCAAGGTCGTGCTCTACCTCATGAATTACATGGAGGACGAGCAGCTGATCCGCATGCTCGAGCGGAAAATGGGTCCGCCCCTTGTTACACTGCTCAGCTCTGGCCCGGAGGTGCAGTACGTCGGACTGCGCAACATTCTCCTCATCATCCAGCGGCGGCCGACCGTGCTCCAGAACGAGGTCAAGGTCTTCTTCTGCAAGTACAACGACCCGGTATACGTCAAGCTCGCCAAGCTCGAGATTATGTATCGCCTGACGCGGGAGGAGAATGTGTCCGAGGTCCTGACAGAGCTGAAAGAGTATGCGTCCGAGGTCGACGTCGACTTTGTGCGCAAGGCGGTGCGCTCCATCGGCCGTCTCGCGATCAAGATCGGCACCGCGGCCGACCAGTGCGTCATGGTGCTGCTCGAGTTGATGAAGACCAAGATCTCGTACGTCGTCCAAGAGGCCATTGTCGTCATCAAGGACATCTTCCGGAGATACCCGTCCAAGTACGAACGTGTCATCAGCATTCTGTGCGAGAACCTCGACGTGCTCGACGAGCCCGAGGCCAAGGCCGCCATGATCTGGATCGTCGGACAATACTCGGACCGCATCGAGAACTCGGACGAGTTACTCGAGGACTTCATGTTCACGTTCAAGGAGGAGACGAACGAGGTCCAGCTCGCGCTGCTTACCGCGACTGTGAAGTTGTTCATCCGCCGGCCGACGGCGGCGCAGGAGTTGCTCCCGAAGATCCTGAAGCTCGCGACGGAAGAGGCGGAGAACCCGGATCTGCGTGATCGAGTGAGTAGCGACTTTTCTCTCCAGCTAGGTGAAACTTGTTCGTTTAGCTGACCCCGCAGGGATTCATGTACTGGCGTCTACTGACGACGAACCCAACGGCAGCCCGCGAAGTCGTGCTGAGCGACAAGCCGGTGATTTCGACAGAAACGGACCGGATGGACCGGGGCATGCTGGACCAGCTACTCCTGCACACGGGCACACTTGGGTCGATCTACCACAAGAACCCCGAGACGTTTATCCGGACGGCCAAGCCGCGCTTCCTACCCGACTCGCCGGCGCTCAACCTCGCCTCGAAGCGGCACCTGATCACGTCCTTTGGCGGCCCGGCGTCGCGGCCACGCGCCCCGCGCTCCTCCGACGTTGCGCCGCAGCCGACCGGCGCCCCCGCCGCCGCCTCTGCTGGTGCCGAGCAGCCGTCGGTTCCCGCCCGCCCAGCGATGAACGGGACCGGAACTGAGAACGGACAAGCGGCGCCGCAGCAGGTATCCAACGACCCGTACTCGCAGCTGGCGGAGATTGATCTCCTCGGCGGGGGAGGGTAC